CTGCATCTATACATCTTTATGCACAAATCCTGACATCATCATGTTACACTCAGTTTGCACAAAGCAAAACCAGCCACAAGGAAGAGTAAAAAACGCCCGGCTTTCTGAGTCACATAACAAAGTCACCACTCAGTAATTTAGAGAGACATCTGATCTGCAGCTGTTGAGACTGAGCTCAGCGTTGCATTGTGTCTGTGCAGCAGCGCCCCCTGCAGTTGAGAAATGTTGTAGTGTTTTGAGGTAACCTTACAGATGGAGTGTTGTAGAGTGCTGATTCTCTCTGGGAAACATATTCAGCTTACTGCCTCTTTCACACGGAAGTCAGATTATTGACATAAGCATATTGTTAGGTTGATTTCCTAGCATCAAGTTTGTGGTTAATCAAACTTAATTTTTACCTCTTTTAACTTGTATGACAATTTTTTTTCGCATATTTTATTGGTATTTCCGTCAGTATGGACACTGGGCCTCCATTTCCTTCGACTGTGTGTGAAGCCAAAATACTACCTCCGTATGTGCTGGTGCAGCCGAGGCATGGGTATACTACAGCAATCTGGCAGCAGCTGCAAGACAGATGTTACACCTTTGCACAAACCAAAACATGTGTTTAACTCGTTGATAAAACATCAGGTTGGTACAGTCTTCAGAAGAATAAATTCTTCTGGTGATTGGCAGAGGACACTTGTGGCTTGGCTATGAAAAGTTCTGTTACTCTTGTGTTCTGTCATTGTCCCTCCCCTACTCTCCTGATCAGGTAAAGAAAGCAGCAGGAGGCCACATCTGTCGATCAATCTGGTTTCTAACATCAAAACACAAACAAATACCAAGTTTATATGAAGACTAAACACTTTTCGATAAATGAAAGTGTTAGGAATCAAACGCTTCGACAGGGAGCACGTTTGAGACAAAGTTATTCATCATGCATTTTAATTTTCTAGTCTGACCCATCTCTTTCAATGGAGGAGGCAGGCTTTATAACTCGAACCACTGCCAGTCAGCAGGCTCTGAAAGTTCTGGCTCCAGTTCAGGATGGCTGTTGTTCTCAAACACGTATACATGAAGACCCTCATTGAATGGCTGGATCGTACAATGTCACAACCACAGCACTGGTAGTGGCATTCTGGAGAGATGCACATTCACAAGTATCCAGAAAAATGGGGGCGCTGCTGGTTTGACTCTGATTCCTTTCCTGCATGTAGCTCCCTGCTCTCTGCTCTATCCACTGTCCTATCCTGTCAAAATAAAGGCCAAAACACCCTCCAAAGTGTTTTAGATGACTAAACAGTCTTTCATTAAATGTCATCTTCGACAAGAAAAAGGTTGTCTGTCATTGAGTCTATTATTCCACTTACTAAAGAAAAGAAAGCCGACCTTCTTCTGGTTGCAATGTAACTAGATGGGTGATTTGATTATAAGACTGTAAGACTGTTGTATTAGTTAGCAAATTAATATAAACTAATAAACACAATAACAAGACACTATGTCCAATTAAATGTAAATGTAAGTATTTATCAATAATATTTCACCCAAATCTCTGCTTGTATTTATTTACACAATGGACCTGCCGCCACCAAATATGGGATACATGCTGGTTATTTCCCAGCAGGCTTTCACAGCCAGGGCAGCATCTTTGTAAATGTTATTTATGGTTGCATATCTACATTGTGTTCTACTTTCTAAGGGATGCACCAAAACATTTTGCAGTAATATTAAGTTGAGTCATAAAGATTTAAGGAAACATTTTAGAACTGGTGCCTTTACTTTCTTTTGCAAGAGTATACTGAAAATACAAATCCCATTTATTGAAAAGTTGCTAAAAGTTTGTGTCTTACATGAGACATTCAGATTACACAGCAAAACATGCATGCACATGCAAACATTTGCACACCTTTTGTGTACTTAAAAATAAGGTCACAATTTAACTGTTTGTTTTTGTCTGCATTTGTGTTGGTTTCATCTTTGTCATAGTCCTATATTTTATTGGACACACTGATACTACTGCCTGTGTCTACTGTTTGTAGTATTTTAAACTTAATAATTCTGCTTTAATCTGTACAGCACCTTGGTCAACCCACGTTGTTTTAAATGTGCTCTATGAATAAAGTTTGAATTGAGTTAAGTAGAGTAAATACTCCATAATCTCTATTTTCATTTATGGTAACCAGAGACAGGAGTTGCAAATTGGCCTCTATGACATCTACTTTGTGTGCACGATGAAGCAATGCCTTGTGCATTTTCCTTGTTACATAAACAAGTAAATAAGATGAAAAAAAAAAAAAAAACACAACTAGATCAGCAAAGAGCTCAGTTACTCCACTTGGTCCACTGGGGGCACCAAAATCATCCTAAAGTTCCTCACAGGAGCTTTAAATGAGTCCTTGATGATCTCTGACTCAAACAGAGAGCACACAGAATGAAAGAAATCAGGGCCTTGCCAAAAATCCTTATCTCAGCTCAGGTTTGGCTTCAATAGAAAGAACTTGCTCGTGTCTCGATAAAGGGAAATTAAACTTTTAAGACCGATTTCCTGTGGTTGTGTTTGTCTCTACTCTGCACTCATTGCCAGATTGCAGGGAGCACAGAGCTGAGTGAATCACACTCTCTTATGCAGTTAAACCATTATGAGGGACTTTCCACCAACTGATGTTCTTTGTTGTAGAGAAATCCCCATGAGTTCAGCGTCAAACTGGGTTGTTAGTTTCTGTGCATGAGTGTGCAGTAACTGTATTTAACCTATAGATGACACTGTAACACATACTCTCCCTGTGCAGTTAACACTTCATCTCTGTTTAAGTGTCAAAAGGTGACAGAGCCATAAATAGCTCTACTGGAATGCATATACTTATCAGCACCACTTAAATCATCTTATTTATGATGTTCTCCTCCTTATTATCTTTGTTTCCATCAACTTTAACAGCACTGCTTTAAGAAACTGTCAATAAGTTGTCAACTATGAGTGCTTGGTGGTTTGCTTCCTCACTGTATGCGGGTATCCAGGTGTGGTTAGTGAGGAATGACAGGGTGTGTTTCTTTGAACAAATGTAGCGTTTTAATAGGTATGAGGGAATCCGGCTGGTGTCTGACAGTGATACTAACACTGATCACAATCTTTCCCTTGTGTGTCTTCTACTTTAAACATCCCGCTGTTGCATGTCAGCTCCAAGCACCCTTTTTTTCCAGCGCTGAGACTGTGGGCAGACATTCCTTTAAACTCCAAACACTGCCATTAGTGTTGTTGGCTTCTGGTACGCAGACACACCCAACTCTCACTCTCCTTTTCTTTCCTCTATTTTATGTTTTCCTTTCCCTCTGTTGCCATAGAAATAAGCCTTGGCAGGAAGTGACAGCCTCTTGCCCATGCAAAGGAGGAAATTTGTTTTGTTGGGTAAACAAATCTAAAGCATGAAGGTGGTTCTCAAGGACGATAGTTGGGAAGTTTCCCTTAAAAGACTTCTTCTTTACAGACAAACAGATGTAAGTAGAAGCACACAAACACATGCTCATTTGCTCACCCACTCCTTCGGTCCGTCTGGGTGCATTTCGCACAACTTCTCTCACTTACTCATCACCTCAGCTGAACAGTCAGCACTTGCGGGTAAAGCCAGCTTTTGCAATCAGAATGTTCGAGGAAACGCTCCAAACAAACAATCTGTCATTGGAGAAGACAGACTATAAGACATACTGCACCCGCTGCATTTATACTGATGAACAAGCTTTTTCATTCATGACAGCTTAGAATGTTTGAGCCAATTTAAAGCTCAGGGTAAAAAAAAAAATGCTGTAATAAGTCATATTGCTGTAGGTGTTTGAACACAGCAAATATAGAAACAAGTAACTCAAGGTTTTATGAAAGGAATGAACTCAGTATTAAACACTACTATTGACTGCATCTGTTGAATAGTGTATTCCTGGACTAAGGAGACTGATACACGATAGAGTACAGCTGCATTTAACCTCAGACCCCCTTCACGTGTGTTATTTCGATTTTCATCACAACATATTTCTTTATTAAGTGCTGTTACTTGAGAGTTTCGATTGAAAGATGTATTTTGGGGGGCAAACTATCAAGAACAATACGTGTCAAAAGGGAGAGCTAACACAAGCATGTACACCAAACTACCATACTACCATTTAATACCATGAGCCACCTCGCAGCCTCAGATCCTCTGGCGAAGGCCTCCTGGTCGTTCCAAAGTCTGGGCTCAAAACTTAAGGTGACAGAGCGTTCTCCATCAGAGCTCCATGACTTTGGAATGACCTGCCAGAGGAGATTAGGCGTACAGCAGAGACAGTCACTTTGTTTAAGTCAACTTTAAAAACTCACTTTTACAGACTTGCTTTTACGTGATGCCGTCTTTTATCTTTTATCTCTATCTATTTATCTGTCATCCCTAATCTCTTTTACCTCTATCTTATTTCGGTTTTATTGTCTTTACAGCTTTTGTTGTACTTGTATTCTTTTCTTAATTAACCTTTTAGGCCTTTTATTGTTTTTATCTCTTGCTCATTTCTATTGCTTTATTTTATCATTACTTTTATTATCAGTATTATCTGTTATTATTTTATTATCATTGTTGATATTGCCTTTTATATTTACTATCCTGTTTCCTTTTTTCTTAACCAATTTATTTTATTTTTTATTTTGGTCCTTATGGTCTAATTTTCTGTTGCATGGTTCTTGTATTGTCTGGGTTCTTTGTGACATGAAAATTGCCTTCAATTCTGTTTTTAACTGAGCTTTTTGTTTTCATTAGTATTTCTCCATGTGCTCCACGACTACATGTCAAAGCACTTTGTAAACATCTGTTTTTAAAAGTGCTATACAAATAATGGCATGGGAATACACAAGTTCAGGCATTAAGACATAGTTTCACCGTGTATTAGCATAACTTTACATAACTTAAACAAGTGGTGCTCACCTGACCGACGCTCTATTGTCTCCCTCTAAACTCACCTTGATTGTATCTATCAGTCACTGTCTATTCCGCCTACGTCACTCTATGGTCCGTTCAAAAGCCATTGCGCCCCAGCTGTGTTCTCCGCCCCCTTTTCACGTTCTCACATGTGATTGGCTTCTCCGAACGTCACTTACTCCTTCCCAAACGAGTCAGCCCCGCCTCTTTCACGAAGCCCTAGCAGCGAAACGAGGAACAGAAGCCCTAAAAGACAGGTACAGAGTGTCTCTACTCTGTCGGGATGCTTTAACCTTCGCCACAGAACCGTAAGACTTTCTTCTAATTTATTCTCATCTTTCGTGTTGAATTATCTGTGTTTGTTTTTACCAGCTTAGTCTCGCTTCTGTTTGAATTAAGCGGCAGAGTTAACAGCGCTCGTGTCTCCCCCTTTGCTCTCAGTGACAGCGTTGAAGTGAAAAAACGCTGTCGATAGAATTACTAATGGACTTCCTTGTGTTATTTGCTACAAAACTGCTGTGTGTTTTCCTCCCTGGTAACCAATTGAGCGTAATTTGTGTGTTGTATGGAGGCTGTGCTGCGTTTAGGACCACATTTGAATACAATATCATATTTGAATGCGCTGACAACTTTGAACTGCTGTGTTGGCTGTTGCTGCCGAGAGGAACTCAACTGAGCTATGTGGATTCAAACGGGACACCTGTGGTTTCAGCCTATAGAGACTGTCCCCTGTAAATTATTCAGACAATCTAACTCACCAAACTAACTCTGATATCATTCAAATTATAACACTATTGTAAGATTACATACAACACCGGTGTATTTTTTTATTATCATGAACATATGATATAGAGAAGATGTCTTGTTTTTGTTTTGTGAATGGAGATAGTCCCTAAAAGTTCATATGATGTAATCATTCAGATGAATAAGGTTCAGGTTTTTCCCAGATGACTACACCGTGCACATGCACAACAATGAAGCTATTAATGCTGAGTCATTTATTGATAAACAGACATTTTTGATCATATTAGATCAAACTTTCAGTGGTCTGTTACCTACAAATGTCAACAGCTCTTTGGTTCTAGTTTCCAAACTGCAAAACTTTGCTTGAAGATCAACCTTTTTTGAATCCAGTGTCTTCAATCAGTCAATCAATCAATAACTTCTTGTTTATTTATGCATTGCAAGGACCATGTTTTGTATGGAAACCTTTAGTGGACATCCATCCGTTCATTTGTTTGATTTCAACATCAGTGTCACCTCACTATTATTATTCATTGGTGAGTTAATCATGAACCACTCATCGCTTTCACCTCAAGTCTTTGTGGTGCTTTGAGTGTTGTTATTGTCGTCTGTAAATCAATCCTTTCAGTTCAGACAGGATCCTTTTATGCATGAGTGGTGGTGGCATCACTGTCACCATGCCATTCTCAAGTTGTCTGTGCTCACACACACACTGCGAGCTCATGATCAAGCTTGAGTGAGAAGAAATTGATGATGTCATTTTACTGTAAATACATATACTAGCATTGTAGAATCAAGTTGTATTTGTAACAAAAGCCCAAGTAATATTCATATGGCCTTTCAAAGGGCCTCCACCAGCAATTGTTGACTGTCTTCAATAGGGGTAGACTGATAATTGACCTTGGCCTTTTATTGTATATTCAGCATATTCTATATCAGCCTTTTATTTTACAGTTGGACGATTAACTGATCAAAGTGCACTACTTTGGCTCTGCTGTTAGTGTGTCTTCCCCTCTGGGTCTGTTTTCTTGCACTGTTTTGTCTCACCTTACGTCCCGCCTACAACAGGATCTGACAGGGTAGACATGATGTCAGTGTGACGTAACTGTGCTCTAAGTGTAACTGGTTAAGTGTTAACCCCTTTCTGTGTTGTTGATTAAACATTTGCTAAAGGTAGCCTATTCAGTAAAAAAAGGAGTATTTTATATTCCACATCCTAAATTTTGATAGTTTTTCATTGTTGTTGTTAATTCAAATCAGTCTCACTCATATTAGCTCTAAAAACCTGATTTCTGTCCCTGGTCTTAAATCACACTTAATACAGCAGCAGATTCTGAGTTACTAAAGCAGTCATGAAAGCTATGCAAGATTGTGTCACACACAAATTGCCTATCAGATTTGTATAGACCAAATGGTACATCAGTACAACCTGAAACTAAGATCCTTGTAGTTATTTTGGAGCCTGCCCTGGAGCCAGTCATGTGTTTCGTCCCAGTGCCCTTGTGCAATCCTCTGATTCCCTGCTGGTTTTAAGGGGCATTGTTCTGTGCTATTCTTGCACTTGTGTGATTTCAAGGCCAGCAGAGGATTTCTCCAAAGAAATCAATAAAGCTGTCAATCAGCTGATTAGTCTTTACTCCTTCCTCAGAGTTTCCGGGCGTTAACATCCAGCGTGGCTGACTTGACTCACTGAGTTGCCTCTGTGTCACTCCCTCCTTAATACAACTCCCACTTTAAAGCTGGTAAACTCAAAGCTTTCATGTTTCGGCTAACTCTGCAAGGGTCCTTACAAAGATCAGCCTGCAGTGGACCTCCTTTGGTTTCATGAGGTTACAGGATGCTTTGCCCTACTTCCAGCAAAGCTGTCAGGATTGACACGTAGGCTCATGAGAAATCACGTTTTTTGCTGGTAACAGCACAGAATCTATAAATAGCCCCATGTATTATGCCCTCAGATTTCACACACAGAACAAACAAATTGAATATATATTCTCGCCTTTGCCTTTTTGTATCCATAGCAACCAGAGATTGGGCAGTAACACGGAGTGTCCCTTGTCTCTGCAGGAAAAATACATCATTTGCGGTGCATCTCTTTTGAGAAACATCAGATAAAACAGTTTGAGCACGCTGGTTCTCAAGCTTGTTTTCTTTGTGTTCAAATTTGGGTGGATGTGAAAAAGTAATGCTGAATGGCAGATTGGGGCTGCTGTTTACTCTTTGATCACTCGCTGATGCTCACTTCATATGTTCTCCCCCTGCATACAGGAAATACAGGAAGAACTGTATGACTCTTAAGGTTATAAATAATATTAAAACCACACTCTGCCAGACATCAAGTCAGAGGTCAGATTAGCTAAGTGCCAATGCCACTAAATGGATGTGAGCTCCCACACATCCATTCCTGTAGACCGCCATGATATTTAGGTGTTGATGTATCAAGTAGCTTGAAAATACCGCCAGATGTGTGTCTATTTAAAGCATCTTACGCCGGCTCTCAACTTGATTATCAGCGGATCATGCACAGCTTTAACTGGATAATTCTGTAGAGCTGTACCGGAAGATGCTTTATTGGAGGTAGAGCCACAGATGGACCATCTGTGTAAGGACCTTTTTGCAGTCCCAGTCAGCCCCTAATGGGGAGGATATACAGCTATGTGGATTGAGGGGTTGATGGCAGCCCTGCTGTTGAAAGAATGTGTATAGGCAGAGAGCAGATGGACAAGCTGCAGAGTCAATGTGTGTGTGTGTGTTTGTCATGTCAGGACTGGAAACTCAAGCCTGACAAATCCTCCGGCTGCAGCCTCATCGTCTCGAGATCTTGTCATGGAAACTGGTGAACAACAGATGAGACTTTGCTTTACAAAAGCCATGGGGCTTTCAGTGTACACAATATGTGTCGCTCGTGGCTGTGACCAACACAAAAAGGTTGTAATGACGCACTTGTAGACTTGTTGAATCATTCTTGCTTGAGCGCAATGATTCTTGTAAGAGCAGCATTCCTGAACTGTTAAAAAAGGCATTTATATCAGTGAACACCACTGGTTATGTGACTGACTGCCACTGTCAGTCACTCAGCCCTGAAGCTCCACTAATGTGACAGTTTGAAGACTGAATCTGATTCCAGGGGCGAAAACAGTTCAGTTCAGCAATGACAGAGAAAGCTCTTGAATGAGGATATTTTCCTGACTTTCACAAAAATCAGACTTTTTGTCTTTTTATAAAATGTTCACATATTTGCACCAAATACAGTACAAATGTTCTCAGAAGGCTGTTTTCACCATCAAAATACAACATTTAAAGACTTATGATGCGTTCCATTTACCTCAGAAGTCAGTGCTGGGATTGACGTCACACCCGAGTTATCAACGTTTCAGATACAAAGTCAGAAAAAAGTAGCCAACAGCCAAAAACGGAAGCGGAAACAAGATGGCTACATCTATGAAAGTTATTCTTGCGCTTGCCCTGTCCAAATATGAACAACTTCTGGACAAATATGCGGTCCTTATGCAACCTGCAAACACAGTGGATGAAGAGGAAACACAAAGGCGCAGAGGGTAGCCTAGTTTTTCTCATTACAGGAGCTTCTTCTTACTTTTTACAATTGGTGCCGTGATCTTTAAATGCCAACTCGGGGGTTCTGTGGATCGTCCGACTTTCCGAGTCAGAAATCCAACCTTGAGGATCGTTATTTTTGAAAGTGGAAATCTCGACTTCCGAGTACAACTTGAATGCACAATTATAACATCCAGTGATAGCACAGCTCTCTTATCTGGCATGCTTTAATGCTCTAGCTGCAGACAGTGATCGCAGTATTGCAGATTATCAGCCACCCCGAGCATTGTTTTTCTGCATGATATGTTCCCAATAAAAACTTTCCAGGCTGATTTATACTCAAAACAAAGTACACTGATATTAACATACCTGTAACAGGCCCATGTCAACAGCTAGAATATCTTAAAGAGATATTATCTAAGTTCTAAAGTGACAAATCTCCAAGTCAACAACCCTTTAAATGCTGATTAGTCAAAGGGTTAGGAAACACAGAGTAAATAATTGAAAATCAGCTGTTTTTTGACACAGTTAAACACAAGGTCAAAGACTCTGCAGATAAACAAAGACATGACACTTGTTTGCAGAGTGGGGCTACAGTTGCAGAACTAGCCTTTACTTTTCCCTGCAGGTCAACATTCACTTGTATGTGCTGGTTATACATGACTCAGGCCAGGAGGCTATTTACCTATTACCAAACAGAATTTATCTCCATTTTCTAGCTTAAATTACTGTCAAACAGCACTGTCGGACCAGGTACCATCTGTGGTTGTTTATATCTGGGTAGTAGAGTATTATAGCATAACATCAGAGACATGAGATCTGCAGCAGGTTAGTAGTGGTTGGGCTGCAACTTGGACACAGCACATGACTCACTTTGTGTCTACAATAACAACATATTATTCGTTTTTTGACTTGTTATTTTGATACCAACGAACAAGGGTGTCAACATTTAATTGCTAAGCTGTCCAAACACACATCTTTAATATGATCTGGTATCAAATGTCTAAAGTTTGTCATATAAAACCCTCGAGTTATGATGAGAGGCTGGTGTGGCATTTGTTTTTGAGACTGGTTGGTTTAACTGGTACCAATAGAAAACAAAGCCTTCTTCTTGAGCGTGTTTCTTTTAACATGTTTGCTTTTATCTCCTCACATGAAACAGGCCAGTGTCCACTTTACAAACTGGTTTTATATCCCATTATTAAAGCTTTAATAAGTTTTTTTTAATGTTTCTTAAACTGTTAACTTTGAAGGCCAATAAATCTATTTATTGATCAGTGTGCAAACTGGTGCAGATGCAAATAGAGACCCCACATCTAAGGCTGTATCTGATGAATTTCTGATCCTGGTATCTGTTACAGTTGTGTCACAATAAGTGACAGTCAGAGGATGTATCTGTTTAAGTTTTTAAGTATTCATGGAGGACTCTGACTGATAGTCGTCTGTGGTCATTTTGCAAATCTACAAATAGGAATCTATTTTTATCTTTATAAATACAGTAGTTAGAGTTGTAAAATCCTGATGATAAGGTGTCACTTTATATTCTGAGTGAATATTTACATAATACAACCCCTCTGTCGCTTCCTGCATCCCATCAGCTGATCTCCTGAATGCTGACGAATGTTAAAAAGCAAAGAGAAACCCATAAAGCAGCCCGGTCCTTCACCTTGAAACCTTTTATTCCCTCATTGAGGCCTTGTGACTCAGGTATTTGTCCGGTCTCGCTGCAACAATGACCCCTTTTCCATGTTAACAGATCATTTACAAGTTGTTGTACCATTAATGATTGACTCCCATTACGTAAGTCTGAATGTAAAACCTCAGCACTTCTAGTCTTTCAGTGCAGGTGGCTCTTACCGTGGTGTACAATACTACAGTAATCACTCAGGCAGGGTAAGTAGGGCACTCAGTTGGGGGACTGACATCTCCCAGGTTCATTTATAGATTTGTACAGTTCATGTGTGGCACAAAGTACTCCAGGCTGATAGCTTTTGTGCAGGCTTTCAAGCTCTTGTCGTTAGGTTGTGACACTTCAAACGCAATCTTCTCAGAGGTGCGGGGACAATTTTTGAGGTTTCGCTCAAAAAGAAGGCAAACTTTGCTGCTGAGTTGTGCGAAAAGGGGGGGAAAAAAGGCTGAGGATTGGAAGGCAAGGCTGAGTTTGTTACGTAAGATAGTGCTTCATGCTGCTGCTCTTACTCACCAACCATTGTGTTTGTAATCATGGTGGTTTTCATCTCAGAATGCAGTCAGAGCGGGAGATTTACCACCGAGGCCCTGAGCGGTTACACTACACTACATGCTGGTTCATCATGTTTCACATATTTTAAGGTCTAGACCAACGGGGATGTATTTACACTTATGCGGATGTACAGATCAGAAGGTACATGCGCTGAATTCCTGAACTTTTTTTTACATCCTTATAAAGCTGCAGCCGAAGTCGCCAGACATGTCACAGCCTGGGAAGTGTGAAAACACAACAGCTTGATGTGCTATTTCCAAGCTTCCCAAAGTTTAACATCATCAGCCTACTCAAATATGCCGTGTCCTTTTAGTCTGTGCTCCCGAGCTGTGAAGTAAGTGGGCTGTCCAGTCTGCTTTTAGCCCAGTGCTGTTGACTGTAGCTAGCTGTGTGTTATGGTGTGTCGAGGGGTATCGAAGCAGGGAGCACATTCTTTCCTGTTGATGACTCACGTCCTGGGTTTGGTACTGACTGTAAGCCAGGCCGTGGGGAACCACAGAATAAACACAGAAAAAAAAAACACCACACTGTTTGCAGAGGATAGATGAAAGTTAGCTGCAAAATCTAAGAGTTTACACACATTTGCATGCAAGCACACACACAAAGCATACAGCATTGCTTTGATACAACCAAACAGGGTTGCGCAGCACATGTCCGTGCAAATGTTTGAGTTCAGTTTTCTGGCTGTGTCAGCGCACACAGGGAGTGGCATTATAACACACGGTAGAGGTAAGATACACACAACCAGGTTGGGGCATGAGTGTGGAATGAATGTTACATCATAGTGAGAGTGTGGTGTTCTCTTTTTTTCGCTCTGTACAACCATAAACACATACAGTGTATCTCTGTAGAGACCAAACACAAAACCTTCAAACCTGTAGGCAAACAAAGAGTCCTAATGGGCTCATGTGGGATGATCACATCATAGTTTCAGGACTTATTTAAAAGAGACAACTCACAATTCTTGTCTGACAAGCATAATCTGAGACATATCCTTGAGCAAGTAAATCCTGAACCTGCAGGTCATGTAATTGAGTTTTAGAGGCACAGCATTTCATTGAATGAACACTTTAAATTTGCATTAAAACTTTAGAAAAAGGACACAGGAGGAGCAGGCCAGGGGAAGTAACACTAATTGAAAGTAGTCAGTGGTGAAGCAGCTAAAAGGATCCAGTTGCCACTGTTAGTGCGGGCTGTGTAGTATTTGCTGATGCAGCAGCAGTCAGTGCCCCTTGGTCTTAACTTAGGACCTAAATCCCAAGTATGTTGACATGCTGTGTAGAATAATGTCAATAAGGAGAGAATTTGATGGTTTCCAAATTGTTTAACCCTTTGTGTAACTGACATTCATACAATACTGACCAGCCTATACTGTCCCACTCTTGGCTAATATGGGAAATCAACTGCTCAAAAGTTCGGGGTGTATTTTGTCGTATTTTTCAATTCAATTCAAATCCCTTTATTTTTGTCCCAGGGTCAGTTTAAAGGGGCATGGCAGCAGCTTAAGGGGGTACATAAAAAAAACAATCGGTAAAAGACAGACATTTAACATCTAAAGTGCATGGATTGATATAAAGATGAAGTGGCTGAATTAGGAAGTTGAAGCTTTTATCCGCATGATGCGCCAGAGTTTTTCGGTGGATGACAAGTCAGGACTGCAGACAGGCCAGTTTAGCACCTGCCATGCTGTTGCAATACATGCAGAATGTGATGTGGCATTGTCTTCCTGGTATATACAAACTCTTTTTCCTGTTAAAAACCACGGTCTGCTGCTCCAAAACCTGTTTAGATTTTTCTCAGCACCAATGGTTCCCTCCAGGATGTTAAGTTATGCTCTAAGCACTTGTTCATCCCCATACCATCTAGGGGTGGGGGAAAAATCGATACAGCATAGTATCGCAATATTTTGTCTGGTGATATATCATATCGTCTCATTTACCAAGTATCAATTTTTTCAAATTAATTGCTAATATGAAGTCAAATCTATGATAATGGAAAAATAAAACCAACTGTTTGTCCAGTGAGGTTGGCAGAGCTGACATCAGAGCAGGAGAAAGTTAGTGCAACAAATATATAAAAGGTTTGCAAGATATTCTACATGAAAATAAAATGCAGTGTAAAGAAGACAAACATAAAGGAAAGATAAATGCTAAATTAGCTAAACAGTTAAAAAAAATTGTATAAATTGCAATATATTGTATCGCAGTACTCACTGTACTGTACAATGTTAAACATCGCAATAATATCGTATCGTGGGGCCAAGACGGATTGCCACCCTTAATTCCATCATGGATGCTGGCTTTTTATCTGTGTGCCGATAACTATCAGGGTGGTCCGTCTCCTCCTTACAGCACAGGATGAGGAGTCTGTGGTTTCCAAAGAGAATCTCAGCTTGTTCTCATAGTTTCCAGCTTCATCTCAGTCAATCTTCAAAGGGCTCAGACCCAGAGAAGCCACTGGTGTTTCTGAGTCATGTTTATAATTATGGGCTCACTGACAAGTTCCTGCTTCCATCTGGTTATAATTAATCTATCTCATTTATAAACAAACATAAACTGTGTATGCAAGTCCACTTAACAGAGTGTCCCAGGAAAAAAGGTTTGTACTTCAGCAACAGCTCATCAGTATTTAGATTTCCCTTTTCCCTGGTATGGATCACCGCTGACTCAAAAAGTTAATTGTAAATAACTATAAATAAATAGCCGGATCAAACCCTTTGGGTAACTCGCTGTTTACAGTTTAAGTAGGACTCACTAGATTAACACAGGCTTTTCTTGAGAGTGTAATAAACCAAGAAAAGACAGTGTTCATTTTGCAGATATAGCTGTAGGTGAAGATTTGACTTGGCTTTGAATTGCTCGTTGGTTTTATTACAGTGTGATCTGTGAGAAAGGAAGTCTTGACTTAATGCCAGTTATCAGTAACCGCTGGTGACATCAGGATGCTGGTCAAGTTGTCGATCTTTCCCTGAGACACACAGCTGAAAACTGGTGGACGAACATGAAGTTATGAAAGCCTCTGGAGTCAACTTTTGTTTGTTTTCTCAATGTTGGTCTTGTCTGTGTGATGCTCACATACTTGCTTACAGGTGTGTTATTTATCAAAGAGCTTATGTGGTACCAAGACTGTTATCGAAAGACTGTGTGACATTTGTTTTGAGTTATCATGTGATCTTGAGCGCTCACATGTATCACAATAGACCTGAGGAAGAGCCCAAAATAAAGATCTATAAATGTGTCATGTGCTTCTATTCTGGACGTCTTTGTGTTTCTTCCTTGAACTACTTTGGAGTTTGGGAATTTCATATCCTCAATTAGCTGCCTTCCAGTAAAGCAGAGACGGTGAGTAAGTGATTCCCCTCTGTTTTTCATCCCTCCGCTCCTGCGCACTGCTGCTGTTCTCTTTTTAAAAATACGCCTTTGCGCCGCTCTGACATCAGTTGCTTTCGACCCCTCTCTGCAGTGCTGACTGTTGCGGTGTGGCCTTCAAAGGTCAGAGTGATGCTCCCAGCAGCTCATCTGTGATCTGCGGTGCTGCGGTTTCCACGGGAACGAGACGACAGGAGGGCAGAAAGCAGTCAAGTCGCCAAAAGATGACGTCGCCGTCGCCCACTCACAGTGACAGCAGCGGCTCCTCAAAGCATGACAGTAACCAGGTATGTGTGTGAGCGATGCAAGCAGACAGCCTTTTTTTTAGTATTTCTTTCATAGTGCAATGTGTGAAAAAAAACTCTGTGAACTCTATTCACTGTGAACAAATATTGAAATGGCTCGGTAAATGCGAACCCCTCTCTATAAATACAGAAGAATGCTTAAAGCACAATAAGAGGACCGTGGTCTCATCAGTACTTCACCTAAATGGGTCGTGTTCTGATTATGATGTTTGTCCTGTTTTCCTGTTTGCATTGTGTTCCACCTTAAGGGTAAGCTCCTCACTAGTCTGTCTAACTCAAACAGTACTGCCTCTGTGTGTCCCTGCAGGACAGCTGGGAGATCGTGGAAGGGCTCAGGGGGGCTCCGGCCAGCATGCAGGAGCCCGACAGACAGGAGGGCCTGCTGCTCAAGAGGAGGAAGTGGCCCATGAAGGGGTGGCATAAGGTGAGAGCTCCAGCTCTGCTGTTAAAGCCTCCAGACAGAAATATGTCTTTTTATAGAGCGCCGCCGCTCCTTTTATTGAACCAGAGAGCTATTTTCACCCTGAACTTGACTGCTTTTGAAACATGAGGTGTTGAGTTGTTAGCAGCATTTTGAGGGCTTTAAGGCTTTGTTTAGATCTGCGATGCTTTAAAAATAGGTCAAATCATTTGCTGCTTTTTGATATTATAGTCTTTTCATTATAAATGCATGATATAAAAAATATAAGCAATGCTTAATAACATGATTTATGCATCTCTTGAATCAATACATCTAAGGCAAAATATCATCCATCGACTGCATTTGCTTACAGCGCAATAGATAAAGATATCAGTTTTAACTCACTGCTTCTTTGTCTGTCTGCTATCCATCATGTTTTACCTGCTTTTGCAGCACATCACCCCTGAATCCAAAATAAATTTCAAACCTTTTTTTTCTCAACTCTAAATTGGCAGTAGTCAATCCAAAGGCAGGTGACAGCTAGCATGAGCGTCTTCAAAAAGGTGTCAAAAAATAGGGCTGTCATACCCAGACCTACATCCAGTAACTGAAATGTTCACATGCTGAATGCAGAAGCAAAGCTTGCTTACATAAGTGATTAATTTACTGCATTGAATTCAGTCTTTTGTAGTGTGGGAATAAGGAATAGTCAGGTTGTTAAAAAAATGAAATCAGGGTTTATTGAAACAGACTGATATTAACAGTGGTGTCCCGAAATGATGCACTAAAGCAAGTTAGACTTTCAGTTAGAGCTTGGCAGGTGATCCGGTTTTAATTTCGACAGAGTCACAGTTACTGCCTACTGTGTTGCTCCTGTTATGTCCTATACATGGAAAGAACTGCACCCTCCCTTTTTAACTTAATCATAGAGCATGGCGGTGGCCCCTCCCTTCATAATAAGCAGCTCGGATCAATGTGAAACAAAGCTTGGGAAGGTTGTGGCTCTTGCTAAAATAAATGGTGGACTGCAGCCACAGCCACAGATGGAGAGAGGAGAGCAGGGAGAGGAGCAGGAGGAAGCAGGCGTGTGTACCTGTGTGTGACTGAAAAGCTGCGGGACGGGATAGGCAAGACGAAAATGAAAGACTGCAGCAATCATGAGTTGTATGAGCAAGAGCGAGACATGATATAAAGCTTGACTGAATGATTTGTTGGATATAAGCAGTAAAAGAGCTCAGGTCATTAGAATTATTTGACACTGTGTAAAAATGCATTACGACCAGTGCTATCTGGTACTGAAACATTGCACCAAAATTAAGCCAGAACTCTTAAAGTGAAGGGAAGTATTGATGCATGGCCCCTTTCAGTTGTAGTTCTTATATCAGCAAGTAAGACAGACAGGCTTTAGTAAACAAAAGGGTAGGCTAAGCTGCTGTTTGGTTAATGTCATGTGAAGAGATTAACTCCATGCTGTTAACATAGCTTTTTGCTGTATTCTTCAAAGCAAATATTCACTCTGAACTGTTAAAAGACAGCAAGACAGAAGTTACACATACATAAAACAATCAGCAAAGACACAGGATACTAAAACTTCCCCTCTGGAGCGTTGGAATATTTCACGCTCGGAAAAATCTCTTTCCTTTTAATTCTGAGTCATCCCTGAACATGTCTCTGTCTGAACTGTCTGAGCTGTAAGTCCATCCTAACCAGGAATCTGACCTGCTATCTTTTAATACCTCGAGCTATTTCTGCATTTCCTTCTCTTCACCGTAATGGTCTACTGCATTTCCCCCTTTCTATTCTTTTGATTCCTGGCTGATTTTACTGTAATCCTGACTCATCATCCTCCCACTCTTCATCTCTGTGACTGTGCTCAGACCTGGAAAGTTCTGCGTTACAACATGTGTGAATTGCCACTTCATCAGGCTCCCTTTTATCAGGAAAAAGAGGCCTTAAGTCCTCTTAAAGAGCCTTATCAGTGTGTTCTTTTTTTTATTGTAAAACTTAACAGCGAGCGTGACGTGCTTGTGAGCCGTCCAGACTTGTGTTATTTCACTGCCGCCCTCACTGTCCTCATAAACTTTGCATAATTTTTTGCGTATTTTCTTAGATAACTTCTGTACTTTAACCCGCTGTTAAAGGAACTAACAAATGAGGTTTTTTTTCACCTTAGAGATACTTTGTGTTGGAGAAAGGAATCCTGAAGTATGCAAAGCGGGACACAGATGTAAGTGTTACCTCAAGAGCGCCATCTGTCTGTTATTCTCTAATTTAGACCTTTACACACACATGCTAACAGAGTGCTTTGTTCACAGCTCAAGAAGGGAAAGCTCCATGGCTGTATCGATGTCGGCCTCTCTGTCATGTCCATCAAGAAGAAAGCCATGTGCATTGACCTGGACACAGAGGATAACATCTATCACTTAAAGGTAACGCCTCTTAACAATCTGAGTTTCATGAAAATCGGTCAGCTCTCAGAGCGCTGCATCAAAACCTCGACAACAACACTTTCACAAAGGCTCTCTGCAGCTGTTTCAAAGTTTCTGCTCCTAATTTGACTCTGTGCACCTCAGGTGAAGTCTCCGGAGCTGTTTGAGGAGTGGGTGTCAAAGCTGCGTACTCACCGGGTGTTTCGGCAGAACGAGATTGCCATGTATCCCCATGAGAGGCACCTCTTCCACCCCCACGCCTCGTCTTCGCCCTCCCTCAATGACTCCCTCAGAAAAGTAAGTCGCTCCTGTGCTCTTTTGTGTAGAACACGGAGTTAAAAAGAAGTCTTTGTTGAAGCTTTAAAGCAGTCACAGAAAGGATTTAGCTATATGAACTTGTCTTATCCTCTTTCTCTTCTCTCCCTCCATAAACAGAGGGCTACTCTCACCAAGCAGGCATCAATCCACCAGGCTAAGGTCAGCTCTTGGCTTCATTCCTCTGAGGACATGGATAAGTGCAGCAAAGGTCGGTTTTTGTTGTCTCTTCTCTTTTTTTCCCGTTCTGCCTGTCAACAGTTTTTAAAAAGATTGTCTCCCTGAAGCGAATCTTGATTTTTTTTTTCTCTCCTCTCTCTTTCATCACTTTGCCTGCATGCTTCAAAACTTTCATTGTTTTTCAGACCTGGAGGAATGTGAATCATACCTGCTTGAACTTAACCTGCTGCTGAAGAGCATGGAGGTTCTTCATCGCACTTACTCAGCCCCAGCCATCAGTGCACTACAAGTAAGGACAAGATAATGACCTGGTTGGTCACGCAATCAAAGTGGTCTTCACTGAAGATATTCAAGGACTGAATGAAGGGGATGTACATAACCACCAATTGCTTTAGATTCTAAGGTTTAGTATCACCTCTGGAACAATGCACCAAACATGTTGACATGATGTGTTGGTCAAGAGGCAGAAGGAAGCAAAAGCTTATCTGGCATTAAAGGGACATTCCGGCGTAAAAAACACCGTAAAACCGAGTTAGACACCCTGTCGAGAGATGAATGTTGCCGACCGCTTGCTTCTCTAGTTACAACAACTTTAGTAACGAATGCACAATAGCAATACACAGTGGCCACGCACACACCTCAACCAAAAAGCCACTCTATAGCCACAAATAATGCTCAGAACAGCATCTAACTTCATCAACAGTACATAAAGGGTCCCAGACATAGTACTAGCCACCAAACATCTTTTAAACTTTGCCTGGTTTCTCTAGCAAAGAGACAAAACACAACTCACCTACTCTCTTCCGGCAGCCGCTTGTTTGTAGGGAGACCCCGGAACAGTCCATCACCGACTGCTCCGGGTTGATGCAGCTCAAAGAAGAACATTTATGATCATTTCTTCATGGAAATACAATCAGACTGAGACACTAAAGCATAAGAACTACTACGGCGTCTGCAGAGCAAAATGATTAATTTGATGATTATTACTTTAAGGAAATGATAAAATAATGACCATAAATGTTCTTCCTTGAGCTGCGTCACCCCGCTGCGATCGGTCATGGACTAGTCTGAGGTCTCCCTACAAACAGACAGCTGCTGGAAGAGAGTAGGTGAGTTGAGTTTAGTCTCTTTGCTAAAGAAATTAGGCAAAGTTAAAAAGATGTTTGGTGGCTAGTACTATGGCTGGGGCCCTATATGTACTGTTGAAGTTAGGTGCTGTTCTGAGCATTATTTGTGGCTATAGAGTGGCCTTTTGATTGAGGTGTTATGGTGTGTTTGACCATGACTTAAAATTACACAGGAATATCCCTTTTATCAGAGTAGTTTGTTAGTAAGATATAACCTCAGAAAAAGCTTTATACTGCGATAAATCACTGAAGATGAGTCCTTTTCTCATTTAATTTCACCAAGGTTCCTCTTCATTCATGCACTGAACAAAATATCACCCAAAAACTTTGCTCCGACTTTACCCAGACCTTTCTTTAACACTCAAGTAAAAAACTCTGCAAGTGACATCTCTCTCTGCTGGCCATCAGAAAGAATGCAGGCTGAAGGCATTTCACTTTGACTTCATTTCTTCAGCCCACTCCTCGTATACCATGCAGACTGTGGTTGAAATCCAGTGAAAATGGAAATGCATAGGCTGACCTAGACAGTGGCAAACTATTTTTGGCGACTGAAGTACCTCAAGGAATAAATGCAAGACTGTCGAATGCATCAAGAGGTTTATAACTGAGATTAATGTATTCATGCTTTTGTCATTATCTTTGTTTGTGATACTCCAGGCATCTAATTTTGACATCCCTAAGAAAGAGAAGAGGCCGAGGAGATGGCGATCCAAAAACAACGGCAAAGACTCCAAAGCCACATTACAGGTTCATTTACAGTTTTTGCTTTTTCAGCAGATAATAACATCTAAATAAGATAAATACTATTCGGTATTTCACCGTCCCCTGTTTTTTTTTCTCACCAGGTTCCAAGCTGCATCTCCTCCCAGTCTCCTCGCCTACACGCTTCAAATCCTAACCTATCCACTACTGAGTCCAACGCCCAGGAGGTCTGCCCTGAATCTCCAGACTCACCCACAGACGTCTCCCGTCTGCAGGAGGACTTTTGCAGGCTGGCCAACAATAGTAAGTCCTTGTCTGCTTATCTGCTCAGGAGGGTAATATTCCAAGTGGTAGCCTCAGTATGGTAATATAGTTTCCATGACAACTCTGCCTTATCTTTGTGTTCCTCTCTCTAGTCCACACTACACTGAAATCAGCCTTTAGCTCCCTGGCTGCAGAAAGGGACAGACTGAGACACACCATCGACCTGCAGGCCCCACAGCCAGTACAGGTCATGGGTTTGAAGAAAAGCGCCTATGCCTCTGTGAGTGTCTCTGTGACTCAGAAATCAAGCACAAATGTCACTCAAATTTTCCCCAGGGGAAATATTTCATGCAACAAACTTGTTCGTGTTAACAGGAATGTGCAGGTGGCTCCCACTCATTGGTCCACCAGACGTCCAATGAGAGCAGAGCATCCATCCCGGAGTCCATCTCAGAGTTTTTTGATGCTCAGGAGTATCTTCTCTCCTCTTCTTCCTCTGAGAATGAGGTGAGACATCTACTGCTACAACTGAGGAATTATGGGAAAATGTTAAAGAATTTATTTATAGTTGAGATCACGTTTGAAGTTGACTGTTTTTATTTCAATCAAGGTCAAACTCTTAAGGTTGCTCATCATGTTAAACAGAAAAGTCAAGCTATTTGTGTGGCTTTTTGGCCTGCAAAGAGTGAAAACATTGAAATGAATTTGCCATTGTTGACAGAAAAAAAATCTGGTTCAGCAACTACAGGTGAAAAACAAAACAAATTCAGGTCTGAAAGTGATCAAAATCGGGCCTTAAAACTGTGAGTTTAAAAAGATTGTTACCTGAAAATCATATCTATGTCATTGATTTTCTGTCCTCAGGTGTCTGATGATGACTCGTACATTAGTGATGTCAGTGACAGCGTCTCCATGGATACATACAGCAACGAGGGAGGCAGTGAGAGACACAACTCTGGTAAACAAGACATAAACAAGCGACGTGTCTGTGTTTGTCTGTATGTATGGGAAAACCTCTGAATAGAGACAGTGACAGTGACAAGAGGTGTGGCCGGTCTGTTCCAGTGTGTTGATGACTTAGCATCTGTCTCCATCCACCATCATTTATTAAAGCATTGCAAATGTCTGAAAATGACCCCCTTGTTTGGACGTTAAGCTTAATTGCAGACATTTCAGCATGATACTTCATCAGTCATTGTTCAACAAAGCATCTGTGTAACTCATGATTTACTTACTACAACAAATGGTGTCAGTTTTAGATATAGACCAAGGTATAATGGATTTATGCAGTCCCATTAACCAGGATTTTATCCTGATTCTCTTAATTTCTAATTACAAAATAGAGCTTGTGCAGATGAAAAAAAATGATTAAGTTCAGTCAAGAAACTCTCACGGTGCTGGTTGAAACTTCGCAGCAAAACATTGTTTGTGACAGGTGTCCGGGCTATGACTCAATCTCTCCTCGCAGATTAATTTTACTTGCCAAAATTTTAGGAGTGGTGAGATAATATCTTCAGCTCTAACTCATTAAGCCTGTAGGTGGATGCTGGTGCTGCCAGTCCAAGCGTAGCACAGATGCAGGGTAGAGGGAGTTGCTGGAAACCTTGCAGCTAGGGGTGGGAGAAAAAAAACTATTTACACAAGTATCACGTTTTTTTGTTTTACAATTTTGGAACAGATTTTTATGTTCAAAAATCTTTTTTTTTTTTTTTTTTTTTTCAAATTTAAGAATAAATCTTAAATAGTCAGTCGAAAATCACAATTGACAATATCATAGAATCGCAGTTTAAATCAAATCGGCATCCGAGAAATCGTAGAAGAATCGAATCCAGAGAATAGCATATCGACCCAGCCCTACTTGCAGCCTAAATAGACTGCCCAGCTGAGAGAACACATTTGTAGGGTGATTGTGGGAAAGAAATGTTGAATGTGAGTTCAGTGTTGCTTGAGTTGCCTGCCTGGACTAGCACACAGGTGTCTCCCTGTTATCTGTTTTTACCAGGATTTTTTAGGATATACTTTAGGTTAGTGGATTTTTGGAGAACCACAAATTTATTTCGTATTTGAATATGACAAAACTAGCAATGAGAAATGAGGTACTGCTTTGCTCACTCAAGGAGACATTCATATTAATGCACACTTAAAGTTTCCCATGGCATCTTTAAATTATCTGATCATTTTTAAGTCAAGCATCAGCCTCACTGTTTCCCCCTTCATGCTCTTTCCCACTCTAGTGAGCAGCGTTGTGACCCTGGCTCGTCGGCGCTCTACGCTGCCCTCTCCCAGCCCGACCAGCAGCGTGAGCCTTTGGAACATCCTGAGAAACAATATCGGCAAAGACCTCTCCAAAGTGGCCATGCCCGTACAGCTGAATGAGCCGCTCAACACGCTGCAGAGGCTGTGCGAGGAGGTGGAGTACAGCGAGCTGCTGGACACCGCCAACCAGACCCAGGACCCCTACCAGCGCATGGTGAGATGAGAGAAAGTACACTTGATTGAACTAGAAAGTGAAGGTTTCTATGAAAACTCAAGAGTGTTACAACCTGTCCTACACAATCGACCAATACTTTGATTTATACGCATTCAAAAGCATAAATGTGATTGGCTGTGTCTGATTTTCTCTGCAGGTGTACGTCGCTACATTTGCTATCACTGCATATGCATCCAGCTACCATCGGGCAGGAAGTAAACCCTTCAACCCTGTCCTAGGAGAGACGTTTGAATGTGACCGACCAGACAAAGGCTTCAGGTTTATAGCTGAACAGGTAAGGATCACATTGTTTTAGCATCTGCATGATTTACTGCCTGTGAATACACTCTCGTCACAAGACAATGCACCTTACAGTCGACAGAAAAACTAAAAACATCTAAAATACTGAATCATATTGTGTGCAGTGTAGTTAAAGATAACGTCAATTATTGCAACTCTCTTTTCACCTCTCTTTCCAACTCCGACCTAAACCGCCTGCAGTCAGTACAGTATGCTGCTGCAAGATTACTCACAAGGTCAACAAATAATCTCACATCGCTCCCATACTGATTTCTCTGCACTGGCTCCCCGTGGCTTATTGGATCAGATTTAAAGTTCTCACCCCGACTATTCGAGCCCCTCACGGCAGAACTCGTTCACCTTTACTCAGCAGCTCATTCCCATAGGTCCAGCTGTCAACACCTGCTGTCTATCACACTAACACGCCTCAAGACTTGTAGAGATCGTGCTTTTTGAGGCCTCAGTGGCAAATCTTTGGAATTCTCTGCCTCTCTGTCTTTGCTGAATGACATCTGTGGAGACTTTGAAAAATCAGCTGAAAAGTACCTTTTTAGACGGGCATATCGATAACTCATATTCAGCATTCCACTTTTCTGAACCTCCTGTTTTATGGTGTCGGTTATTTATAATGATTTTTACATTTGGATTTACAGTTGGATTTTTCTACTCCTCTGGCTTAGTGAGGGTGTTTCACTTTTGTGTATCTTGTTTTTTTGTCTTTCTGATTTCGCTTGTTCTGGTTTTTTCTCTCGTGTAAAGCACTTTGTGATTTGCGTCTGCAAAAAGTGCTTTTATAAGTATAGCTACTTACTTATAGTACAATCTGGTGTAAACACAGGTTTTGAATACTTTTGTTATCAAAAAAGTGAGCTGCGTCTGGCACCCTTGTGGTACCAATAAACCCGTGTAATCTGCAGGAAGGGGTTAGATAGCATTTTGAAGATGCAAGCAGCTGCCTTACTCTGCAGAGCATCCAGAAGACATACCAAGGTGGATCAGTCTAGCGACGCCACTATTCTATGTGTTTCCCTCTCATCATGTCAATATTATGAATTTTAAGAAAATGTCAGTATACTTTTTAGTACATAAACCTTCTGGTGTTCCGTTTTGACCGAAAAGACTTTTCGAACAGTGACCAGGGGTAGCAAAAGTCTAAAAAAATAGGTCTGCCATAGGTCCATTCATGTCTTACAACTTATAGCACCATTGTAGATTGTGCTCAGCTTCATTGGGAGTAGCTGACAGATTTGTGATAACAGATCAAGAGTAAGTTTAGTGGTTGGTGATGCTGCATATTGCTGATCTTGATGGAAGTCTTAATGCAGGAGCACACTCTTAAACGCCAGTGTGACTCATATTGAGGATTTTAAGATGGTTAAGTCAAACATTCTTTAACTCGTAACTTTTGGGAGTGTGATAGCAATTTCAAGTTTTCTCATCGCCTTCCATTTTAGATCAAAACTAAAGGGAGGCAGGTTAGTTTGTGCACAGAGCTGTCGCTACCCTCTTTTATTCTTTGTTTACAGCAGTTTCACTGAAACTCAGAATAAAGCTGCAGAGTAATCTCTGCTATAAGAATTTAGAGGTTTCACTGTGTTGCATTTAGCTTTTCATCGATTCATGACTCCAGAGCCATTGAGCATCACTGTACAGCTTTTGAAAAAAGTGCTTTTATCTTATCTCGTGTCTCCTTCCCGCATCACAGGTGAGTCATCACCCTCCTGTGTCGGCATGTCACGCTGATTCAGGGAACTTCAGCTTCTGGCAAGGTGAGCAGCAGAGATCTGCATTGAATGCGGATCTTTTTTTCTCTTCTGTTTGTCTGAGCTTATATTTTAGATTGATTCACCACAGCTACACCCTTCAATTTTTAGATTTTCACAAGCTGAGGGTTATGGATGAGGTGAAAATCAGTGGTAGATTAAGTGATACCATTCTGACATCTGTAACTTTACATCATATGATCATTTAGTGCAGTTTCTCTACAAACTATAAAAGCTGACAGATTATTCAACTCTATTTTAAAATCTTTGCACCGACTCTGCACTCTGTTATTCAAACCAAACAGCTAAAAAAACTTATCTAGTTACAGGTCATTAACTGCTGCCTTGTTTTGATTCCCCTCTGTGCACATGAATAAAGATGTGATTTAATCAGAAGTACTGCAGTTTACTAAAGAGACCAAATGAAGCATCCGAGATGTGAATAGAGATAATAAAGCAATATTTATCATCACAAGCACTAATCTGTTCCTTTGTGTGTTTTTTTTAGATGTTCGATGGAAAAACAAATTCTGGGGCAAATCCATGGAAATTGTTCCCATGGGAACCACCCATGTCAGGCTACCTGCGTAAGTCCTCTACTTATTGTGTGTAGGTGTTGGGTTTACATCTACATAACTGGGTGCACTCTTGAGTGTTTATTGAAGTGCACTGTACAGGCTGTAAGAGCTTGAAAAAAAAACAAAAACAGCATGTGTGATGTGACTTTTAAAACGTGTAGTTATGTGCCGTCTCTTAAGGTTTGGGGACCACTATGAATGGAACAAAGTGACATCCTGCATCCATAACATCCTGAGCGGTCAGCGCTGGATCGAACACTATGGAGAGATGTCTATCAAAAACATCAACAGTGATGTCTGCCAGTGTAAAGTCACATTTGTTAAGGTGAGGAAATACAGACAGTGAAGTCCAGGAATGGTGATACAGCCTCTTTTGCAGATTCTGTATGGTTTTCGTGCCAGAGACAATCTGGAGCCAATTTTCTTGAGAAACTGTTGCTGCTGTTTCCTCCCTGTCACACAGTTCCCTCAGATGTACTTTATTCTTATTAATATCTTGACAAACACTGCCTTCTTCTGGACAAGATGGGAACTGGGTTTTTTTTTTTTATAACACAAGTATAGACAGTATTTCTATTCAAGGGTTAATGTGTCTGATCTCACGTCAATTAATGAAGTATCTATTTTTCATAAAACTCATACAGCTTTTCACCCCTCTTTCTTTTCTAGGCAAGGTCCTGGAGCTCGACAGTGAATGAGATAGAGGGTGTGGTCACAGACTCTAAAGGAAAAGTTGTACACACCATATTTGGAAAATGGCACGACTCCATATATCAAGGGGACCCGCCTGCTGCCACCTGTATCTGGAGAGCGAGTGAGTGATTGGACATCTAGGATAGTTCCGGGTTTCTGATGCAGGGTTTGTTTTTTCAAACAACCAAACTAAATGATGATAAATGATGTATTTGTGTTTGTGTTAAGACCCCATGCCAGAGGACCAAGAGCAGTACTATGGCTTTACTCAGTTTGCAGTGGAGTTGAATGAGCTGGATCCCAACCTGAGACCTCTGCTGCCCCCCACTGACACACGCTTCAGGCCGGACCAGAGGTCAGCACTCTTTAGTCTTGTCTGAAATGCTGATGATTGTCTGTTATAGATAGTCTGTAAGCTGCACAATATATAAAAGAAAACGGAGTGTATGAACAGCACAAGAATGTAAAATGACTACAATCTTGAGACACACAAACACAGAGGCTGCATGCACAGTGGTAAGTACCCTGAGTGCCTTACAGGGGCTGCAGTAAGATGGTAATGGGGACACTCATACTATATAAAGCAGTCATGGAAAATGAGAAAGTAGTGATAGCGTGACGGGTTCTAGATCATGTGACTGACACCACACGGCCTGTGGTGTGCCCTTTGTGTATACCTACATTGCAGCTGCGATGTTCAAACAGTTTATGGTTTTGCTTAGATGCCCTCTTTATACAATTTGCATCTAGCATAGGCTAATGATCACATTTGAACTGTTTCATTAAAGCAATAGTGTTTATGGATTATCTCTTTGTTAAGGGGATTTAAAGCTGCTGAAATAGAACAAAAAACACACTAGAATAACTTATTGAAGTGAGTCTTGTCAAGTTGATGTGGTGGTACTGTGTCTGAAAATTTTAAATAAGCAGAGGTAGAGTCCCTCAGAACCAAAGATAAACTGTACACTATCAGCAAGGTTATATGCTCCCTACAGAAATGATGACGGGTAATGAGTGGAGTAAATTTTTATGCAGTTAGAAGAAAAATATACATCATTTAGTCTGTCGAAAAAGTACATGGCTTCAGGTACAAAAAAACAAGATAACACCATGATGAGGATTTGTAAAAATAGATTTGATAAGTCTGTCCTCAAGAGGAGATGAAAACAACTTTAAAATGTTTTTGTTCAACAGAGGTCAGATGGATCATTTCTGATGCATTCCAGGAAGTCAATAAATCTAGATTCAGATTTGTGTCTCAGATGGAAGTCACTCACTAAGCACTTTCCTGCACAGGCCGGACTGCAGTGCTGACCAGTGTCAAAGGAAGAGTCAGACTTTTCTGGATATTTATTAAAGTATAAATGTGAAGCACTGCCATTCATTTCTTGACTCATAAAAAAGAGCAAACATGAAGAGAAGAGAAGTCTGAGAGGGGGAGTTGTTTTAGGAAGAACAGAAAGAAAAAGGAGAAAGGGACAAAGTGGATGTTTTCATCACAGATATGCTGAAATGCTGGGGGAAAAAAAGGCCTCCAACTGTTGATGTTTCTTTTCAAAATATTACCCTCCGCATTGTTACATATCAACTTACGATGAAAAATATTTCTGTACTCAACCAGGAGAGCAGCTGTGTTGTAACTGTTTAATTTGCTTGTGAGTAAGATCAGATAACATCTCTGACGCAGAATTTGTACCAGTTTTGTTAGACTAAACTTGCTAAGGCCTGACAGCTCTGAGGGTTTCTCTTTTTATGTGTGGACTCGGGATGGGCAAAAAAGTATCATTCACGATATATTGTCAGAAAAATCCTTCACAATGAATATTTGCCATCTCGTAGCCATAGCCCACACAGAGCAGAATAACAAACAAACATGGCCGAAGGTGATTAAGAAGACGTTTCTGAGTAGCTTGTTACTGAACGAGGATCCACATGAGGGATTTCCTTCAAGATTGGGGCTTAGATGAGAGTAATCAGGTACGCCTGACATCGGACGGTGGATCTGCTGCTGCTGTTCACTCTGTGCAATAAAAGTTTCCAACAAATGTTGAAAGTGTTTTCACATTTGAGACTTGTTTGATGTTGTTAGTTTTCTTCATAATCTACCACTCAAACTCCTGGTGAAGTATCTCATTTGACTAGTCCAACTGGTGTTATCAAGACAAAATGAGTCAAAAATATAGATCAGAATTATAATATTTTTTATCAAAACTTTTATCATTATTGCAGAATGGCAAATCTCATCGTGATACATTTTTTTAGCCTATATCGCCCATCTGTAGTGTGGACTGAAAGGATTGGGGAAAATGACTCTGTCAAAATTGAATCACTCATTTTTTTGTTCCTGACTCGCTTTCTTTGCCTCCTTTATCCAGACTATTGGAGGAGGGAAACACAGAAGGAGCCGAGGAGCAGAAACAGAGGATCGAGCAGCTCCAGAGGGACAGGAGAAAAGTGCTGCAGGACAACAACATGACGCACCAGCCACGCTTCTTCAAGTATGAGCAAGTTTGCTTCTCTGTGTGATTGTGTGTCCATTTTAAAGACATCAACTTCTTTTCACCTTCTTTTAAAAGTGAAGCCCAAACTATGTCTTGTGCGGGTCACATGATTTGAAACTGTAATCTACACAGTTAGGACGCTCTGAATGTCTTGGCTTCACATGTTGAACTCTGTCATGTCATCCACCTTTTTACACAGTCAATGAATCAGACAGTCTTGTGCTTTTCCACTGATTTACTCAGCCAAACAGAGTATATCAGAGTTTTCTAGACTGATAAGATAACTGCTCGTTTGATCCTTTCTAAGAAGTTTACACCATTTTAAATTACATCATTTCTATCTTAAGAGCCATATTAGGTCAGTGATCAATCCTCAGAGGCTCTACTCATCTTTAGCTGTCAGTTACACCCAGACCACTCATAATATTGATCATTTAAACTAAAATAGAAAAAGCACATGATACTTTGGAGTAAGTTTAGAAGCTTTACCTGCTCTTGGCTCATAAATGGAATATAATAAGCTTAAAAAAAGAAACAAAAACTTGACTTAATCTGTTGTTTCTTTTAACATTTGACAAACATAACAGATTTCAGATGTGATGTTAAAAGCTCTTCTTTTTGTTTATTGTGCAGGAAGTCTAAAGACGACACATGGGTGAGCAACAACACGTACTGGGAGACCCGCAGGGACCCCGGATTCACCAAGGCTGACTTCCCTGTGTTGTGGTGACCTCTGGTTTAGACCTAACCTCTCCACTACAGCTCAACACAAAGAGGGAAGTATAGAGGGACAGAACCGAGACCAGCCTGCAAGTGTCCCGAACTGGTGCACATGAATCAGAAGATGTCATGTTAACCTGACCTTATACGGACTTCCTGCTTCCTCTTTCAGGACTCAGTAGAGCCTTTATGTTTCTTGGTTTTGTTTTCTGTTGTTTATATCAATTTTCCATGAGTGTGCATTACCTCTTCACATCATCTTGACTGTAATTGACACAGTGTAGGCTACAAAGACATATCATTATGATCATCTCAGCATTTACCAAAGTGCCTTTTATTGCAGTGCCTCACTAAACCTGCTGCTGTTGCATATATGCAAAAAACACTTAGAATCACTTTGTTTGGATGATGTCAGAATCATACATGAGAGATATAAAAGAAAACTTGTTCATTAGGTCAAAATGTGTCCCAGTATTCCTCCATCTGTGCAGTATCAGGACTGGTGGATGTCTTCATTTCTTCAACCAGTAACTGGCTGGTGGATAATGTCATAAAAGAGGGACTCTAGCCTGTTTTTGCTGCCTTGTTATTATCAGACATGCGGCTGTCTTAGATCTGTGGATCATGTTTGTCAAAACAGCAATAATATTCCATGTTAAAAGAAAATAAATTGTGAAATGGATGGACAAGTTATTCAGAGTTGTGTTTTTCTTTGTGTTCTCCACCTCTCCAAACACTGCGAGAAAATCTTCCCAAAGATAATGCCACATTAGTGGTAGAAAAATGTATGAAACACAACCCTTGTGACTATCTCCTGATTCCACACTGGATGCTTGCGATCTGCTCAGAGATAAAGGTCTACTGATTAACACAAAGCTGTTTTTGTTGATCATTTCTTTCCTATAATTAAAGCTCTTGGTGCGCAGGCAGTTGCTGGATGACCTGGTAAAACAAAATAGATACGAATCATAACAGTCATACTCTACGGTGTCTAAAGTCACCACAATTCAACCCAGAGGAACTATTAGACTTGTACTTTCCACCATGCAGACATTTGGACCCATTGTTTTGCTACACTTGCCTTTCCTTTCCAGGGTTTAGCCCGGACTATTCACTTGTCAACTAGGAAACTGATTTACATGATTTGGTCAGACAGCAATCTGCAAATTCACATCTTTTTGCAATTTATTCTCTAGAGATCTTCCATCTATCTTGTATGTATATTGCTGAGAATGTGGAAGGAAACCAGCTCATGCAATGAAAACTTAGTCCAAGTTGGGAACAACAACGCAACAGAAGCTTACCTCTTTGATGATGATCACAATTATTTCATTAATAGAAGCATAAACTTTCTACTGGGTAAGTTCCTGAAACATCTTCTGCCCTTGTTGCCTCTGCAGAAGTATGTAGTAAGGCCATGTCAGTCAATAATTGTCATAATCCGCCTCTGTGGTCCAGGAAAGTGAAAACTGGGAACTAATTCATACCAGCTTGTTGAGCCAGATGTCAAACTTTGAATTTCTGTTCAAGTTTTGTGACTGTTTTAGTTAAAGATCACACGAAACCACTAGGAGGACCAAAGCTGTGAAATAAATATGCTTTTGATGCTAATGTAGTTTGATTTGTGCTACTCATACATGATAGTAACTTCTGAAGACTGCGGCTATAAGCTGCCTGTACTCTTAACCAGCTGTGACAACACTTGTCTGTCTCTGTACATCCATATCTCAGGGGGGGCCACCATTAGCCTATCTCTACATCTGAGAGACAACTCCCTGTCAGCTCTCACAAACTTACAACTTATCACAACTGGTAAACATGAAACAGAACAAATAACACCCTCCTGTAAGCATTCCTGACCACAGTCCTTACATCATTTTATGCTACTGCCAATCAGCACCATCAGCCCTCATGACATGGTTTCCTTAAGCTCAAAGGGGATTGCCACGCTGCCCCACTTTAAGAATTACCTATCTTTTTTCTTAAAATGAGGTTTTTAAAGGTCAACATGAGCCGTGTTTTCCTACCCTATGCAGGGTAGCTTTTCAGAAAAAAAAAAGTCTAACCTGATTGACAGGATGTGGGTTAGTTGTAGTAATATGCAAACCACCTGTGCCACAGCCTGAAGCATCACCATACTGCAGACTAGGTAGGAACAACAGTTTATGAATACATTATACAGCACAATTGTTAAAAATCCACATTTGATTTTTTTGGGGGTGTAAGAGGAAAACAGATAGGCAAGTCTGCTCATGTCCTGCCACTCACACGCACGAGCACGAGCAAGAAGTACGTGCACAAATAGCGGAGTTCATATGATCATAATTAGGCCTGAATCTACAGTGAAAGTGGGAGGGGAGGCGCTCTCTGTCCTGCGTGGTGAGGTAAAGAGGATAACAGTACAGTCTATCTCTCACAGCTCTGACTGAGCTCAGCCCGTACGAGCTATATTGGGCTCTTTACGTCGCTTACTATCGGAACTATCGGAATATATTAAATTTGTCATCACACTACAAAGAAGGCGTCCTTGTCCCAAAGAGGGGACCAGCTGGGGGCGCATAGGGAGACTTTTTCCCCATGACATCATTGATGACATTCCAGTAACAACCGGACTTAGGCACTCAACGTCGCGAAGACCCGAACCTTGAGGGATACTTTACAAGCTAATTTTAGGTAAGCAACGACTCTAATATGATATAAGAGAACATTTAAAGTGGGTTCTGGGGTAAAGAAAACCAATGTAACAGCTTCATTTTCACCCAAGTCTCCCTAAAGACGCATTTTTATGTTTTTACGAGCTTTTCTCGTTCTGAAATTATGTTTTTTGCCTTTATTCACTCATTTTACATACATAATCCGAGTCATGCGTTTTCAAAGCTCGTGCACGACAGACCTCAGTACGAGCTCGCGCTGCTCTCGGGCTGCTGCAGCCTGGATATATTAGAAACAGTGGGCTGCCGGGAAACAGGCACGAGCTCTGGCACATGGCAAGTGTGTGTGTGTGTGTGTGTGTGTGTGTGTGTGAGTACAAGCAGAAATATTGTGGGACCATAACATAGTGACATAGTGACAGGTACGAGGACCAATTATATACTTTGTCACAAGACCTACTACATATTGGTGCCAGAGTTTGGGGGGTCAGACTAACCATTAAATGTATTGTGTATAATATTTGATACATACTAGAGCCCGACCGATACGGATTTTTTGGGGCCGATGCCGATACCGATTATTAGGGGGGAAAAAATCCGATTACCGATTAATCGGCCGATTTTTACAGTATACTATGTACTGTAGATTTACTATAGACTACTGCTCCGCACGCCGACCGGAAGACCGATTAATCAAACTCGGACCAGAAAAACATTTTCAACTTCCCCCTGCCGATCGGTGCCTCCGCCTCTTCACTCACATTACTCATTTCCGGTCCGGTCTCATCTGGATACATACAGCTGCCTCAGTAAGAGAAGTAGCTCGATCACGTAATTTTTACTGTTGTTTATTCTACCGTTACTGGCACGGCTAACAGTGTAGCAAGGCTAATAGCAGATGGCTAACTCTAACTTTAGCTTGCATATTACGTGGTGCTTCACTGTTAACTCGGCGTGACCGAGACCAGAACAGCGGGGAACATCGTGAAGTGGGTTGAACTAAAACTTGTTGACTTATTGTGTATTTCACAAACTGGTTTATTTACCGTTGAGGCAGACCACTCTCCTCCTTGTGTCCCTGAGCTGCCTGCTTCAGATCCGTCACTCTGCTGTGCTGTGAGGTAGTTAGTGGATGAAGATTGTCAGGAGGTCGCTGCGCCATCTACAGGATAGGTTGGGGAACTTTTCAAATGGTGGAACATTTTTGAAGTGAAACCGAATCTTATTCTCCACATTTTATTTCTGAAAATATCGGCAAAAATCGGCGAGTTTTGGCCGATTACCGATTAGTCTCAAACAGGCTAAAATTGTCCGATTTAATCGGTTCGCCGATAAATCGGTCGGGCCCTAATACATACTTTTATATACTACAACAAATTACCAAAAAAACACCTGGATACAGTTTGATAAATGATAAAAATGTCCTCTTGTAGTTTATCAGTTTCCAAAAAAACATCTAATGTATCAAACGAGATTAAAAAAAATATATTTGTTAGATTTTAAGGACATTTAGATTTTTTTTGGTTTTCAGTAGTAAGTGAAACAAACAGTTCAGCTCCAAAAAAATTAGAATTTTGTGGTTTCAGGTATTAAAGGTCTACAGAAAGGTCCATGATGTAATCCCTTTTCTTATATAATTCAGGCTGAATGACGAAACACTCTGACACCTCGTCAAGTCAAGTAACTTTGTGTTTATGGAAATAAGGTGGTTTGGGATTTCTGAGCCCTCTTTCCTGTATTCACCCTGACTGACTCCTCACCCTGTCCTCTGGAGGTTTTTGTTATAACATTCCTCTAACAAACATCAACTCAGTTCAAACTGTTTGCGCCCCCTCTCTTCCCTCACAGCACAAATCCTCTTTAACGCCTGATTACTTAAAATATTTAAGCTATGAAAACTGAGCCAGGGAAGGCTAATGAACTCGGGTGTATTTGTGTGTTCGTGTGTGTATTCACACGTGTTTGAGGCCACACAGTGTTAAAAACTTAAAGGGGAGCTTCCCCTGTGCTTTCTGAGTCATCGTAACTGCATGAGTAGTGTGGTGTATCTCAGTAAACATGAAACCTCCACGGCACACGGGACTTTGAAACTGAATGAATTACATCGAGGGGGTAAGACTTGGGAGAATACCGTAACCGGAGTGGAAATCACCCTTAAGTCAGTGGGTTGGTAATTCGAGTAAAAAGCACATGAAGGCTGCTGTCTTTGCTCTCAGTGGTAAAAAAGGGTCAAATTAAAGCCTGTAACTTCTCTTTTGCAGCTGTCTGCAGCCCTCGTCTACTGAAGCCATGTTTTCCAAAGCCACTGCCAACTTCGTCCAGCAGATTGACCCTGAAGGAAGCCTCATCCACGTGTCCCGACTGAATAACTCGCACAAACTGGTTCTCATGGGGCTTGTTGTCAAACGAAAACGCATCTGGTTCTGGCAGAGGCCAAAATACCAACCAACAGATTTCACCCTCAGTGACTTGCTGCAGGGCAACAGGAAACTGAGTCCTGGTAAGAAGATTTTTACACACAAGAGGTTTGAGTAAAAAATGTGTCACTATTTCAGCTGCATTTTTGCCAGTGACAGGTAGATTGAAGTCACTCTAACCCATCCTGTACTCTCATAATATATGTGTTTTCAGGGTCTGATTCTGAGGATGATTTCTTGTCCTATGAGGGGACATTTGGGGATAAACTCACAGGGAGGGTGGACACTGAGGCCGGCCCAGTCAACCTCTCACTAGAGGGTCAGGGCTTCTCCAAACTTGAGTCATGTTTTGGCAAGCTGAAGAAAGAGGACCTGAAAGTGAAAGAGCTGATAAATGAATCCAGAGACAGGTGATTATCAATTTTATATTCTGTTTTTGCGCAGTTCAAACCGCCACATGATGGTGACTATTATCAGTGACACCTCAGCCAGCTGTGATTTACTGTTCATGTACGTATCCATGTTGTAAATTAAAAACAAGCTTCTCTTTGCATCAGGCAGGTGGACATGCAGCATGTGTTGGTGCAGCAGCTGGAGAAGCGAGCTGAGGTGCTGACTGTGGTGAAGCAGAGGATCCTCACCACTGACCCTTGCTCCATCACGCAGACCAAGAAGGAGCAGTGCATCTTTCAGGGGATATTTGGGCTTGTAGGCATGCTGGGGAGCTCTCTCCGGGTTGGTGAAGTCTTATAACACTAAGATATAATTGAGTCACATTATTGGGTCTAAAATTTCAATTAAAAGTTGCTGGACCATTTTGAGATGTATGTTGTTTTCAGACGTGTTTGACAGACACTAGCAAGATGGAGGCCGACAGTGATGTTGTCTTGAAGATCCGCCCAGGCACAGTCATTGCCTACAGCGTCTTGGAGCTGGAGATCAAGAAAGATGGACGCTTTGGTGAGTGTGGGGGAGATGAAAACTTGGAATCGGATGAGGTTAAAATCAATGTCTGGAGAGGATAGCGTGAATCACAGAGTGACTTCTCTATTCCTTGGGGTTTTCACAGACGTCATGTACAGTTATGCCCATCAAGGAATTTTTTATCGTATTGCAGCAATGCAGCTGAAATATTACGCAATGAAGTAAATTGTTTGTTATGTACAAAATGTGAAGCCCGTGTCTACTTTAATGAGTGCTTGAAAAGGAGAAGTGCAAAAAACGTTATTTAAATGGTTTTGACCGTTAATTCTTTTTTTTATTACCTGAACCTGTTTCCTCCTTTGTCATTTACCACAATTCTGTGTGAGTTCACAGGTATATGCCTGCGACCTGGAACAATCGGAGGGATTGAGGAAGACTCACCTGCAGCAGGGGCATCCTGTGATTATTTGGATACTGTGGATGGAAAGTGTAATGGGCATAAAGCTTCAGAAACATCACAGAATGGTTTGTGCCCATTCATTCTTACTTATTGAGCACTTATGAATAGGAAATAGTAGATTTGGTAGTATTTTACATTCAGGTTTTTTTTTCCTTTTAACTTTGTGAGGAAGTGTAACCACTGACTTCCTCTTTCATTGTTGTAGTATTCTCTAGAAAGTATCACAGCCAGGTTGAGCGGCCTCAGGAGCTTAAATCAGAATTAAAAAGGATTTTATGTACAGTATTTAGTAACAGTATTAAAATGGTGCTCCTCTTAAAATTATGTTTTCACATTGTTTTATCATTCAGCTCAATGTTTCAGTTTCAATTTAAAATATCATCAGACCACAAGCTTTTCCATCCTCCCAGTTTACCCCAAAACAAACACGTCATTTGTCAAACCTTGAACTCAAACAGGGGAAAACCCAAGCCTCTGCCTCACAAAGCATCTGTCAGGATATACTGATTATTTTATGTTAACTCAATGTACTTACCGTTATTCCCTATCAGGCTCACATGAGATGGACCTTTCTCCTCTGGCAAAGCTCCCAGAGTCCACTCGATTCTCTTTGTTTAAGAGACTCCAGCAGACTCTGAAGGACAGAGGTGCTCTGTCATACCTCCAGTGTGTGGTGAGTCTCACACTGACGTTAATACACTGTACAGAAGAGGCTTTAACGTCACTGCTACACATTCTCAAGGAACTAATGTTTATTTCCACTCTTCCCTTGTCTTCGTCAGCTGGAGGACTTGTGTGGTGGCGAATCGCTCACTATGGCTGATAATGACGAGCTGTCAGAGAGTCAGAAGCAAACACTGTCTGCCATACTAGACAGTCACACCAAGGATAGTCAGGGTGGTGCCCCACCTCACCTGAATGCAACTCACCTGTTGGTCAGCGCCATGGAAGGTAAAAAGGCCTGAAACATTTTCCCATAACAATGTTGAAAACAAGAAAAGGCTTTCTGCAGCTTAATCTGTCGTGTGTGTGTGTGTGTGTTTTTTTTTCAGAGTTGCCTGAAGAAACTCAGAGACTCTTGAGTAAGAGCTGTCCTGATTTCTTGGAGGCCTTGAACACACTGGTAGGTGCTTATAAAGTGAGAAATTTCTGTTTTAATCCTTTTCGTCTATTACCTCTGCAGCTGGATCCTGGTCGAGTGGTTCGAATTGTATGTCCATGTAGATTCTCATTCATCCAGGTCATGGTTATCTTGAAGACTTAAAAACAGGCAACTGGACTGTGTAGAGTTAAGAAGACGTTTCGCCTCTTATCCAAGAAGCTTCTTCAGTTCTAAAAGTGCTAGTGTCAGGAGCAGATATTTATCTTACTGGAGAAGGGGGACAGTAACGACTGGGAGGAGTTGAAAAGAATGGGTCGTAGAAACCCATCTCTCGGTGTGTCCCCCCCAAGTCGTTATCCTGAAAGGGTCGTTAGCGACTCCTATCATGTGACCACATGACTCATGCCACCTGAGTCATGTGGTTCCAGGTGTGAATGTTTGTGGAGCTTCAGAGAGCGCCATTACAGACAGAAACACGGATGCGCGATGGGCTCCCCGGTTTCTCCTATAGTGGCAAACCTGTACATGGAAGAGGTAGAGAGGAAGGCCCTAACCTCTTTCAAGGGAGCTGCTCCTAGCCACTGGTTCAGATATGTGGATGACACCTGGGTTAAGATCAAAACACATGAAGTAGAGGCCTTCACTGACCATATCAACACAGTGGACAGCAACATCAAGTTCACCCGTGAAGATGTCAAGGACAAAGTGTTGGCCTTTTTGGACTGTGCTGTACACTTGGAGGCAGATGGGTGGCTCAACGTTGAAGTGTACAGGAAACCAACACACACGGATCAATATCTACTTTTTGATTCCCACCATCCTCTGCAGCACAAACTGGGTGTCATCAGAACACTCAACCACCGGGCCGAGAACATTCCCACGAAGAAAGAAGGTAAGGAAAAGGAACAAAAGCACGTCAAAAATGCCCTGACAACCTGTGGATACCCTAAGTGGGCCTTTGTGAAGAACAGAAAGAGAAATAACACTGAACAGGAAAGGGAGGAGAGACGCAAGAGCACTGTAATCCCTTACGTTGCAGGCCTGTCTGAGAAACTCAAGAGGATCTTTGGCAAACACCACATTCCTGTTCATTTCAAGCCTGGTAACACACTAAGGCAGAGGCTAGTCCATCCCAAGGACAAAACACCGAGACATAAACAGAGTAATGTGGTATATGCTGTCCAGTGCAGCGAGGAATGCTCAGACCTGTACATTGGGGAAACTAAACAACCGCTTCACAAGCGCATGGCTCAACACAGGAGAGCCACTTCCTCAGGTCAGGACTCAGCTGTCCACCTTCACTTGAAGGATACAGGTCACTCTTTTGAGGACAGCGATGTACAGGTGTTGGCTCGAGAAGACAGATGGTTTGAAAGAGGAGTTAAAGAAGCCATCTTTACCAGGCTGGAGAAACCTTCTCTGAACAGAGGGGGTGGACTCAGGCACAATCTCTCTGGCACTTACAATGCAGTTCTCAGCTCTCTCCCCAGAAAGCTCCACAAACATTCACACCTGGAACCACATGACTCAGGTGGCATGAGTCATGTGGTCACATGATAGGAGTCGCTAACGACCCTTTCAGGATAACGACTTGGGGGGGACACACCGAGAGATGGGTTTCTACGACCCATTCTTTTCAACTCCTCCCAGTCGTTACTGTCCCCCTTCTCCAGTAAGATAAATATCTGCTCCTGACACTAGCACTTTTAGAACTGAAGAAGCTTCTTGGATAAGAGGCGAAACGTCTTCTTAACTCTACACAGTCCAGTTGCGCTGGATCCTGGTCGAGTGGTTCGAATTGTATGTTTATTTTAGCGGTAGCAGGCCATAGCTTCATATTTGATGCATCTACATGGAAAAGCTCCTCTTAACATTAAAACTATTAAACATATAATACATACATGAAACCCAACAACGGGTACCACCATATTAGAAATGCTGACTTCAACCAGGCAAACAGCTGTGGCAAAGTGAATGATTTCATGCTATTTGTTCCTTCGTCTTATCTATTCATCTGTTTATCTCTCTCCTCTGTCAGATGTGCGGGTTAAAAGACAACAGTGAGCCCCTCTCTTCTCAGTGTCTTCCGGTCCTCCTGCAGGACAGCCAGGCTTTCCAACAGGCTGAACAGTTGCTCAACTCCACCAATGTGTCCCTAAGGAAGGACGGAGACAGGGTGTGGATAGAGACAAGAAACCAAGCGGTTCTCTCAGTTGTCCTGTGCCTCAGCATTCAGGGGTTAACCTTCCTGAGCGAAGGGCTTGAGCAGTAGGGATGTCTTCATGTTTACTGTCTGTTACAATAGACTGTTACTTTCTTTATTTCTTTCTTTGTTATAAAGTCGGTTTGGACGAAGCTTAATACATCTTCAGACATGAAATCTTTATATGTTTTTATTTTGATAAATGATTATATCGCTTTTCCAAAAATATACAGTATTTTAAAGCATAGCAAAAACTTCATATTTTTGTACAAAAAACATATAAATGTGTGTAATTTATCCTAAAATGTCAGTTGATGCTGCTCTGATATGGTTCATGAATGTGTAATTGTTTCAGATTATAAGCCATAGCGGTACTTTACCAGGCACCTTATTAAAATCTGTCAGAAAGATTATGAATGCTTTATATAAATTCTGTTTTATCATGTTTTCATCAGTTTTTGCAAGTTAAGACTGGGAAATTCCCTGATTGTTTCCACCTCAGCATATTGTGTTACTGAAAGAATAATGAAATTTTTATTACAGTTTCATTTTGATTGTGTTACCAGAAGTCTCAAAAACAGAAGTAACATTTCCTCATTTATGAGGTATGCTGAAAGCTGTGTTTTTTCATTTTCTGGTTTTTTTATTTGTTAATGAAGCTGCAATTTATACCTGAAAGTGCTCTTAATCAATAGCTATTCAACTTTTTGCTAGTTGTATTTATTAAAAAGCATTCCCACAAATATTGGCTGTTAATCAATAAAGCTGATGTGTGTCAACATTTTATATTAATGTTTTGAGGTTGGAATTATGAGTATATGAACTCTGAAGTTTTATAAAGCTATATTTAAAAAAATACTTCCACTTTTAGTTCACTCTGTTAACATTTGTTGAAAATTATTCTTGTATTGCAAATCTACAGTCGATGTATAAGCCATAAGATTTATCTATTTGTTTTTTTTATTATTAGTGGTAGTCCTGTCAAAGTATTATTTGTCTGAAAATGGCAAACTACATGGTTTTTATAATTGTATGAATAGTTAATTCCGCCAATCCTTTTTGAGATAGTGTTTTTTTTTTTTTTTTTGTAATTGAGGTTAATCCCTACACTCGGCTGAAAAACTCTTAAGTAAACAATATTTTTAAATAACTTTATTGCTTGGTTTTGTTTGTTTTTGTCTTTTGTCCGAGACATCATTTGTATGATGTTTTTAATGATCTCATTGTCATATGCATGTTGTTGTTTTCAGAAAAGTATCACGTAAACCAAATAAACCATATTTACCTAAAATAAGGATGTGAATGTTGTGTTTTCCCTCATGGCTGAGAAAAACTTGTCTCTGTATTATTATTGTGTTCACAGACATTGACAAATGTGTTTGCTAATCGTTTAAGTGAGAAAGCAGGCGCTGCCTTTTTATCACTCAGATTCCAGTTTGGATACATCATCAAACAGGGTGACTACAACTGGGCCTAAATAAGACTGATTCAACTGTGTGTTGGATAAGATTTGGAAATGTGACTCATTCCTGTACAACTGTATGCACAGTGTAACATAATCATGTTCAGATGACTCAAGGAATCCTCAGCTCTTCCCTTAAAGGCTGTAGAAATGTTTTTAGTAGGAGTAATTGCGGTCATGGAGGGTAAAAATACCTTTAATTACAAAAGTCCTGAATGCTTTTTGAATTTTCAACATAACGGACACCAATCAGACAAATAATGTTATTGCGTTACCTGGTCAACATACATTTTTGTCTTTAGATGCATTCAAATGTATAAAATGAAAAAATAAATAAAAATACGGATTCAAGGTTCCCCAGTGTAGGAAGACTGCTGAGACCCTCAGAAAGACATAAAGGCCTAAAACATTAAACTTTGGGTTCCCTTAAGAACAAAATCATCACACAAGGTCGCTGATTTTCCTTTGTATTTTCTTAGTCTCTTTGCTTTCTCCTTTGTGTCTTTCATTTCCCCTTCTTTCTTTTTAATTTAAGTTGAGGGTTTACAGATTTTAAACGATTCAGGGCAGGACACCGTAACACATTTTACGTGTAATATATGAAACAGAAAACAAAAAAAGGAAGAAAAGAAAAAATGACAGAAAAAGATTCAACAGAAGAAAGAAAATAGGAGAAAGAAAATGATGAAGTAACACACACAAAGAAAAACAGACATCAAGGAAAAGAGAGAATAATTAGATAGAAATAAGAGAAATAAGAAAGAAGGATAGAAAGCAGATAGAAAGTAAAGACAGAAAGACAAAAGAAAAAAATAATTACGGAAAGAAATAGGAAAGAGACAAAATGGACAGAAAGTGAGAAAAAGAAAGAACAAGTATGTAATAATTCAGAGACATGTGACAGAAAATGTCTGTTCATAATCCTGATATATTTTTAAAATTATAATCAGTGTTTGAACTTTGGATTTTCACTTTTTTTCAGACCAAAAGTGAAAATCCAAAGAATTTTTGTTGAATGTTCTGTAGTATCAGAGCGTAAAACAATGTTTCCAAGAACATATAAGTAAACACTGACAGCACAGCTGGGGAACGATTTGATTATTCATTTAAAGGAAAGTTGGCTCACATGCCCCTATCAAACAGGATGTCGATCAAGATTGGACTACAATTAAAGGAAAAGAACCTGGACCTCATGGTGAACAGTTTAATTATACTTGGAAAACATTTCATTCACAGATGTAAGTACCTCAAAATGAAGCCCCACTTAAATGGATGGATAAACGAACTCAGGATATACAAAAAATCTTTGAACTACATGAAAAACAAACATCCCCTAAAACTGTTGTCTTTACTCGACTTATTGGCTGTCCTAGAATAAGACCCTCTTTTGTTAATCTAAAAAGCTGGTTCAACACTTTATACTTTAAGTATCACCAGTGCGCCTTAATATTTGTATTTTGACGAAAAAAAAAAGAAAAAGTTGGCTCGCGTGCATTATGCTAATCGCCGGAGGTCGCTGTTGAGTTGAGTTGCCAGGAACCAAAGACATAATATACGTGAACGCCTCGTTACGTGCTGGAGCGTAATCCAGCGTCACCGCCATATTGGATGGGTCTCCCCACTCCAGGCTCGCTCAAGAGCCAAACGGATCAGTGGAGAACGAGCAACTGTGCCCGTTTTTTGCACTCTATGGTTGAAAACCCAGACGCAGTATTGAAACCAAATCAAGTAGGATTAAATTTCACAAATAGGGTTGAAAAATATATATTTTAAATTTTTAATGTGTGACATTGTCCCGTATTATTGCTACATTCCTGCCGTTGTAACAAACCAAACAATGTGACAATCGGGCAGAGATTCGGAGAGTTATTATCAATATGGTCGGGCATTCCTACCTACCTTAATGCACTGGAGGCACACGGGGACCCATCCAAGATGGCGGCCCCGCTGATACTCCAATAGGCAGCGTCAGGCCTAGAGGCGTCTACGTATATTTATCTATGCCAGGAACTAGCAATGACGTTAAACTTCTGCGACGCCGGTTCGTACCTCCTGAGCGGTCGCATGAAAACAGTCGGTGCGGTTGGTGGTGGGGAGTTTGGAGTTCATCAGTTTCAGCACAAAACACAGTGTAGAAATGCCAGTGTGTAACTTTTTTCTTCAGGGCCGCTGTCGGTACGGCGACAAATGCTGGAATGAACACCCGAGAGGAGGAAGTCGAGGCGGCGGAGGAGGTGGAGGTGGTGGTGGTGGAGGAGGAGGAGGAGGAGGTGGAGGGTACAACTCCAACAACTACAACCGCTCATCTGCGCCACAACAGCCGAGAGGAGGTGGAGGAGGAGGAGGTGAGTAAATAAATGAGGAAGATATACAGCCGAACTTAACTTTCCTTCTCCTGTGTTAGCTTTTACTACGAACCCACTATGTTAAGGGTCGGTTTCGAGTTGTGTCTTAAATCAGCTGTAAATTACACTAAAACAATTCTATATCATTCTCACCTCCAGGTTACCTTGCTAGGCTTCATTATCCATCAAAATATTGCTTATAATATTTTTTGTTGTGGCCTGTTCTAGGTCATTCTTTGCCAGTAGGGGAGAGTGGGGTAAGTTGAGCCACCCCCTGTTTCTTGAAAATGGTAAAAGAAATTGATAATGTGACCAAATATTTGGGAGATGGGCATCAATTCATGGAGTCTGTGAAGGTTAGAAGCACATGGGTGAAGAGGTTAGACATTTATTTGCTTGCTTCTCTAGTTATACCAACTTTAGTAACGACAGCAGGATAACAATAGACAGCAGTCTGAGGAGCCACACACAAACTTCAAACAAAACGCCACTCTATAGCCACAATTAATGCTCAGAACAGCACCTAACTTCATCAACAGTACCTATAGGGTCCCAGACATAGTACTAGCCACCAAACATCTTTTGAGCTTTGCCTGGTGTCTTTAGCAAAGAGACGAAACACAACTCACCTACTCTCCTCCAGCAGCCGCGTATTAATAGGGAGAGACTACAGTCCATCATGGTTTGCAGCGAGGTGACGCAGCTCAAGGAAGAACATTTATTATCATTTCTGTATCATTTCCTTGAAGTAATAATCATCATATTTATCATTTTGCACTGCAGATGTGGTAGTTCTTCTGCCTAAACGTCTTGGTCTGATTGCATTTCCATGAAGAAATGATCATAAATGTTCTTCCTTGAGCTGCGTCACCCCGCAGCAGTCCGAATGGTGGCTAGTACTAAGGCTGGGACCCTATATGTACTGTTGATGAAGTTAGGTGCTGCTCTGAGCATTATTTGTGGCTATAGAGTGGTGTTTTGGTTGAGGTTTGTTTATGGCTCCTCGTTACTAAAGTTGGTATAACTAGAGAAGCAAGCGGTCTGCAACATTAATCTCTTGAGGGGGTGTCTAACTCAGTGTTACCTTGAGTTTGACCCCGATTTAATTTTGTGCCAGAATATCCCTTTAAGCATTTAAAAATATAAAGGGGTCGGTGCAGACCCTAACACAGGAGGAGGGTTGTTAAACTGAGTCTGTTAACGTTGGTTTACACTGTAATAGGTCTCAGCACCCTCTGCCATGTCACCTGCTATTAAAGCTCCTCTAAGGAGTTTTAGCTGGTTATGAAACAGACAGCAACAAATACTGCTAAAATGAACAAACACAGAAATCAAACCCATCAACAAGAAAGATGGCTATCTCCTCATTTTAGTAGTCAGACATATGATTCGAACGCGCCAAATGATTGTTGCGTTATGACATTTTTTAACTCTATCTATGCATTGACTCATGTTGGTGTTTTTTGGTTTCAGGGTTTGGAAACAGAGTTTGGGTGAATCCTTCCCAGCAAAAAGGAGGCTTTATCCAGCCTTCATCCTTCTCATCCAAAGGAAGTGAAGACTGGGGAGGAGGAGGAGGAGGTGGAGGTGGAGGGAGGAGAGATAACGTGAAGGCCTCCAACTTCAGCTTCTCTAATCAGAACAGATTTGCATCACTTGGTCCACAAGGCACCTTTGACAGGGGAGGAAGAGGAGGTGGAGGACAGCAGCTGGTGGGAAGGGATGAAGATGATGATAAAAAGCTGTAAGTCTGCTAGATTATGTTTTTTTTTTTTTAGTATTAGAGTAAAAGTTGTTTCAAGGAGTTAACTCATGAGATATCTGTCCCACTGTACCACAGGGAGATTGTTCAGGCGGACATGGAAATATGGGAGAGCTCTGGGCAATGGGGCCTCTCATGTTACAGTAGCACCAAGGCACCTCTATCTGGTCTGTAAAATACTTCCATTCAGTTACATGATGTATTGTGTTATTGAAGGCTAGGATACTGGTTTTAAATGAAGAATTTATCATATCAAAAACTGCAGATGGATCATACTCTTCTTTCTCTTTCTCGCCCCCAGGCTTCACTGATCTCTCTCCTGAAGAGCTCAGGTTAGAGTTCTACGTCACAAGAGCTTCGGGAGATCTGCAGAGTTATGTAAGTCTCTTCACTGTCCGCACTCAGATGGTTTGAAATCAGTGCTCATCATTATCTTTGGTTAGGTGGTAGATGTTAGAGTCTGATAAACTCCTGTTTCATGTGTTCAGATCAATGGTGTTAATCAGTTGGTCAACCAATGGAGAAGCAGAGTCCAAGAGCTGAAAGTAATGAGTCCAGCGACCCAGACAGCTTTGGTGAGATGTGGTTGCTACCATGTATTTGTTTGGAGGCCCTTTTTTTTCACAGCAAACCTTTTATGAATATATGTCTGTATTTACTGATTTGCAGCTTGCTGAGCTGAATAACCCAGCGCCTCAGGAATCTTCAGGTGGCTTTAATTCAGGGGCAGCGACAGGACTTGGGTCGTCTTCATCTGGCTTTGGAGGAAGTAAGATCAAATCATTCTGCGTGTGATGACTATGATTTATAAGTATTCAATGATACCAGTCTGTATGGCCAAAGGCTTGTTGGTCTTACACTGTAGTGTTTTCTGTTCAAAGCTGTAGTGACTTTATATTTGATTTTAAAGCTCTTTTACTCATTTAACAGATTTGCTTTTATCGTATGAGCCTGTGAAAGCCTTGAGGTCTTCAGCTAGTGGTCTTTTAATGGTACCAAAAGTAAGGACAAAGACCCACAGTGAGGCAGCTTTTTGTTACAGTCTGTGGAACAGCCTCCCTAAAGACCTGAGGGTGGCACAGAGTGTTCATACTTTTAAAAGCAAATTGAAGACCTACCCTTTTAGTCTGGCCTCAGACTTAATTTCATGTTTTTAATTCATCATATCATACTCTTCTTACTTTTTATTCTGTGATTTTATCCTGACGTTCCTGTTTTAAATTTATATCTGTTTGACTCTTCAGGTTTCGGGTCTGCAGAACCAGCCCAGGCCAGCACCTTCAGCTTTGCTGCTCCCAGTGGTGGTTTCGGTTCCTCTGCGGCCCCATCATCATCCTCCACAGGATTTGGCAGTGCCTTAGCTGCTCCAACCCAGCCTCCCACTGGCTTCGGATCCTCGTCTTCTGCCCCCTCAGCTGCCTCAGCATCTTCATTCTCCTTTGCATCACAAACGAAAAACCCGCCAGCAGCAGCCCCAGGGTTTGGCTCTGCCTCTGGTTTCAGTTTTTCCTCAACTGCCAACACAGGAGGAGGACTCGGGAGCGGTTTTGGGGCCAGAGCACCTGCGGCATCAGCAGGAAGTGGCAGTGCTTTTGGTCAGTCCGCTCCACCTGCTGCAGGAGGGGGGGCTTCCGGCGGGGCACCAGACAGTCTGTTTTCAAAAGAAAGTGAACTGACTCCGGAAGAACTGAATCAGTTCAAGGCGAAGAGGTTCACTCTAGGCGAGATTCCTTTAAAGCCTCCTCCAGCTGACTTGTTGATGGTTTGAGGCTACGAGATTTCTTTAAATAAAAGGGTTATTTATGGGTAACGCATTTTTAGTTTTGATTCATTTTCTGAATAGTGCTGCCTTTAAGCTAAAGTATCTAACCTCTTTTTGAAAGTAAGACAAGGAAAAAACTTTTTTGGTTATATTTTGTTCTTTAAGTGGGCCAGTGCTGGCCTCCTGGTATGCCTGGGGATGCTGTAAATGAACAAAGTTGGACATGCAGGGACTTCTGGCTTCCTAGGACTCTTTTCCAATCACAAGTACCTTCTCTTCTCTACTTTATTTGTACAGAGTTTATCTCTGTGATTTATAAGTGCTCTTCAAACACCTGGCACACTATTTGACTCGTCTTTTTGCAGGTATTTCGTGATGCTCATTTGTCTCTTCCCACTGGGAAGTAATATCAAATTAATTCAAGCTACACAAAATCACACAGCGATGTTCACTTGGCTCCAAACTTGCCTCGGCAAATGAAGTGAAAGAGAGGAGTACTGGCATTTTTCCCCACTTTAAACAAAGTTACTGGTTACATCTATGATTTTTCAGTTTGTGAATTATTTTTCATATAAAGCTGTTAAATACACCAAAAATACAACATTAGATTTTTGCTGTTAGTTTTCCACTCAAGATATGTAAATTGATTTTAGGCAGATTTATTTTCAAACCAGTCTTCCAATTTGACCTTTTCCTTTTCTTTGCAAGGCAGATAGTAAACAGTCAGCTGGTGAGCTGTGTTTCTTTTTATTGCATGATAATAAGATCAAAACTTCATATAACTTAAACTTGTTTGGAAACTTATCTGCAGTAAAATGTTTTGTAGTATACTCAGAAAAGAACAGTAACACTATATAAACCTACCACTTATAGTTCATTTATAAACATTTATAAAGCCTTATAATTGTAAAGGCTTCATATCAACACAATTTATAATTTATCACAATGTTTATGAAGCGTTTTAAGAAGTGACCGTTTTGTCTCATGAATATTGGATTCACAAGGCAAAACTATCATCTTTCCTCGAATTCTGGGTTTTATAAAACGTGAAAGTTTGTAGGGAACTTATCTAATGTACAATCACAACAAGCCCTTAGGACTGTTTTTACTTTAAAAAAATCTGTAAATTTTATTTTTATAGACCACAGACCTGGAAACAGCTTTCCACTTTTGTTATGAATGTAAAATAAAAGGCACGTTTTCAACCTTTTAAAAAGCATCTGGGACTATGGATCTTTGACATTTTCTTTAATTTACTAACTAACTTGATTATTTTATTTACCTATTCACTTAATTATTTGCTAACTTACTCCTTTACTCACTACTTACTTAGTAACTTACTTATTTACTCACTGGTTAACTCACTTGACTGACTTAATTACTTACAGACTGACTACCTCAATTACTTTCTGACTTAATTTCTTACTGACTGACTTACCTATTAATATCAAACTGACTAACCTAATTACTGGCTGAATGACTGTTTCAGTAATATTGACTTAATTACTGACTGACTCACATACTAATTACTAATTTACTTACTAACTGACTGACTTGATCACTAACTGACTTAATTGCTTATCGATTTGCTGACTGACTGACGAACATACTGACTGACTGACTGACTGACTTCCTAATTAGCTACTAACTAACAGACTGACTTAATTACTAACTGATTGACTAGAAGCTGTTGTATGTTTTGCATTAAGGTAAAATGTATGATAAATCACATCTTCATAAAACATTAATGTTCACTGCTGAGAACTCATGAACATGCTTTGTTATAACTGCTTATAATCAATTATAACGGTTGTTTTAAAGCCTTTAAATACAGTTATAAGGATTTATAAATATTCTCATAAGGCATTACAAACAGTGGGTTTATATAAAATGTTACAGTTAAAGTTATTTCTTAATTTTACATTTTAGAAATTATGTATTCTTACCTGTAGACTTGTGTTTTTAAAAGTTGTATATACACCTTTGAAACAGGAGAGGGTGCTAGACTACCAAGAAAAAGAAACTAATCTGCCTTTAAAGATAACAAAAGAATATATTGTAATTTTTTATTCCATAGATTATGAATGATTCTGTCTCTGCTTGTATTTCCCCCAGTTTTGCAATCTGACACAATACTCTGACAACTCAACCAGGCCCATCACTCCACTACTCTCCGGCTACACCAATTTGCATCAGGTAAATGTGGAAATAGTGTGTTCATGACAGTGAGTGAATAAACCATTCAATATGTATTCATTTGGTTCTGAGCACCCACTGGGACCACAAGCAGAGGGATACAGCGACAAAGACAGCAATGAGCTTTTCTGCTGCTATAGGGGCCCGGCTCTGCTGCTGACTGGGGCATATTTTCAGCTGACAGGGGGGTTGTGATATTGGGAGGAGGTGATAGTGTGTGTGTGTGTGTTGGTTTGTGTGTAAAAGAATACCAAGTCAGTATCTAATTGACCATTGAAGGCATTATGCATGTACCTCCAGTAGGATCATTTAATGTGTACCTTATTATGGAAAAACCGCAGGAACAAATTTACAAGAGGACTGCATTGAGCTCATTCACTCACTTTATACCACTTTTTATTTTGCATGATTTTTAGATGCAGGATCGTTACTTATAATGGAGAAATTTATGTGCTGTGTCAGTTCCTTTACACTGCAACTAACAGTATGCAACATAAATCTTTCCCTCGACTCAATCTGTCAGCAGTAACCCCCCACCCACCTCCTGCTACCAGATAATACATAAATAATTCAGCAGATTAATGAACGATTCAAACACAGACCAGCTCATGAAAAGGCGCTCACTCTCTCATTTCAGTGAGACTTGTTTAAAAGATTGCCATCCGTTGACTCTTAAATACATCTAACTGAGAAAAATGGGCAGTGGCAGATCTCATTGTTTCCGCAAAGCAAATAATCAGATTTAATCACTAACTGCTGCAGCTGCAACAAATCCTCAGTCTGCTTGGGCTCGTGTTATGAATGTATGAGATGAACAGGGTGGATGAGAGCACAGTATTCGAGATGAGTGATGAGAATGTTGATGCCTGCACAAGCACACGCACACACACACACGCACGCACAAATGATTGGAAATGTTTATGGTGCAAGTTGTAGTCGTTTTATTTTGAAGGGATTTTAATCTGACTTGTTTAATAACAAGAAACATGATTTGTGAGTCATCTCCTCCTGTGGATTGTTCAGTGTTCCCCAGAGGAAGCTTTAAAAGATGACATTTGGGTTGCAATGAACACACACACACCTCATGCACTTGTGCATCGTGCACGCTCCTCTCTAACCTGCCCCACCCTCCTGTGAAACCATAGCTTACACAAACCCAGTCACATGACCCTGATGTGTACTGTAATTCAATTGACTGTGACCTGAACCAAGCTACACGGGGCAGACATACACTTTAGATATATGGTGCTAATACATTTAACACAGTTTTCCATAGGAGCTGCAGTGGGTTGTCTGTCTTGTTGATTTCCCATTTGGGCGGTGTAGCCGTGTACGTCTGTCCATCTGGGCTCTGAGCGGATCAATCCTCTGAATTATGACTTCTCCCTGCAGCTATTTGAATTCCTCCCCCAAAGATATATCCTGTTCAGCGTTTTTTAAATAACACACTACACTGCCTAACTGCTCACTGTGTTCATTGCAATTACAAAGCCATTGTGGTCTCTACATCAGCTGATGACAGCAACAGATGCTCTCACCACAGCTTGAATCCCTGCTCGCTACAGAATGCCAATGAGCTGATTCGGATTCAGCACCCGTGTTAATGTTAGGAGGGGGCTGATTCCAGTTGACCCTCCTTACTGTTGCATCAGGGAACAAGAATTGATTGTGCAGCACCATGGCTGTTTGCCTGTGGGAAACAGGGCATTGATCCAAGGACTATGATATATGCCTATTTTAGTGGCTTGCCGCATGGGTGACTGAGTGGCACATATTTCACCTGTAAAGTCCTGGACTTAGATTTCTGTGCTGCAGATGTTTATGGGTCCACATTAGGATCAGTGCGCCACCTCCTTCTGACAGCAATAACACACACTTGTGAGTAAATACTGTCAGCCTGGAGAATATACAGTATGTGCTTTCCAGAGAAGCTCGGCTGGGATCATCTGATGTGGAGAGGCCCTGAAGAGCTGGACACAGAGCTATATTGTATTACATTCATTATATTTATCTCACCTGCATATACAGGCGGTGCTTTGTGCTCCCTAAGTGGAGAGGAAAACATGAGGTACACTCTTTCTATGCAGCTGTTTTCAGCATCAGACTGCAAAATGGTGTTTGGCATACTTTACCAAATCCAATACAAATTACACATTCTTTTCGGCGAACATCATGTCTGCTTTTTTCTCCTTCACACGACGTAGGTGCGATGATGCAATGCAGACCGACCGACACAAATGTAACTTCAGCAGCAGTGATGTGATGGATTACTTCTTCCAAGCAGGTCCACTAGTAAAGTTTATTGTATTACTAAGTGGAAAAACACATTCAAAGTGTCCTCTCCATAGCAAACTGAACCTAAATACTTCATCCACTGCACCTCATAGTAGCTGAGCAGTAAACTGGATAGAGCAACAACATTTCCCTCTTAAAATGGGCTATAACTACACAACAGTTCTCACATCTCCTCTTATGGGTTCTGAATCATTTTTGGTTGCAAAAGAAAATTGTAGTTACACATTCCTCTTTTCTTGCCTGTGTCCCAATTTCACTTTTTAAACCCCTACATATGTGTCTGTGCATTTGCTATAAAATCCCTTATGATGGTTGAATGGGGAAGTTAAGTCTCTTAACTAATTAACACCTTATGAAACCATTACCTAATGCTGCAGCATACACTGTATACCAAGAAGTGAGCCTTTTTTGTGCTAAGCATTCTCTATCTATCTCTGAGGTGCTGAATACTTATCTGCACCGAGTGGGCTGTAACACCTCTGGTGCTCGTTGTAGTTTCATTATTTGGTTGTGTTTTCATAAAATTAATTTTGCTTCTATGCTTTTGAAAGCAGATATCAACTGCAATGGTACAGGCAAGTCAAAGCAGCAGATTGCCTGCTTTTTATTGAACACAATCTTCAAGATTAATAGCCTACAACTTTCAAGTGTCCCTTACATGATGCTATTAAACCAAGAGCACAAGCTCAGCCTGGTAAACAGAATGGAAAAAGGGAATAAGATAAAGTGGCTGTCAGCATCTCTAAAGCTCATTTGTTAACATATTATGTTTATGTGTTTTAATAATTTTTTACCTTTGCACAAACTTCCTGATGTCTTGCATGGCAGATATTCTACTAGAGTACAGTTTTATGTTCTCAACCATAACTTTTGTGCTTCTTGTCAGTTGATTACTAGTTTTTGAGCTTTAGAAGTCATTCAACATGGATTTTTAACCATGTGAAAGGCTAGCTAGCTAGGCGTCTAACTTCATGAGCTTTGCTGCTCCAAGCTACCTGTGGCACCAGGCTGATTTAGGAGCACTAGCCAACTTCGTCTAGCTCTTAGCACAAAGGAAGGACAAGCTGGCTAACTTAAATTCCCCCTGAAGTGGCTAAGCTATTTAGGCAACATATTATTGGCTAACAAAGCTAACTCCAACTGATAGCCTAATTTCGGGACCTATGCCCTTTTCCCAGTTTATTAGCTTGAGAATAAAGTTTTAGGTTTTTCTTGTGTGAAAAGTCAATTTTCGTATAAAATTTGATGTAAATATAATGGTGTTGGAGCAGACCTCAGGTAAATGCTGGAGTAGCAACCTTTATCCTTTGTATATTTTTGGCCAGCTTTTTGCCTCTGGGCTGTTAGTAATTTTTTTCCTACACTTTTGCACTGAATGGGCTCTATGTACCAATCCACTACTTCCTGTCTTACATTAATGGACAAACTGATTGATGCAGGTGTGTCTTATTAGTCACAATGATCAGTTACACCTGGATTAATCAGTTTGTCCAAAAATGTTAGACCAGAAATAAAGGAGAAAGGCTAGCTAGCTAGGTGTCCAACTTCATGAGCTTTGCTGCTTAGCTACCTGTGGCATCTGGCTGATTTGGGAGCACTAGCCAACCTTGTCTAGCTCTTAGCACAAAAGAAGGACAAGCTGGCTAACTTGAATGATCTTTTTTCACTATCAAAGTGGCTACGCTATTTCGGTAACATATTGAAAACATTTTGGTTATTGAGCTAACTCTAACTGGTTACCTAACCTTGGGGCCTACAAAGTCAATTTTCATATAAAGCTTGATGAAAATATAATGGTGTTTGACCGGACCTCAGGTAAACGCTGGAGTAACAACATTTTTATTTGTATTTTTTGCCAGCTATTTGTCTCTGGGCTTTTAGTGATTTTTCCTACATTTTTGCACTGAATGGGCTCTTTGCACCGATCCACCACTTCCTGTCTTACATTATTGGACAAACTGATTGATGCAGCTGTGTCTAATTAGTCGCAATGATCAGTCACACCTGGATTAATCAGTTTGTCCAATAATGTAAGGAGCTGCCTTAAGTTCAGAAAGTAGTGGAGTTGTGCACAGAGCCCATTCTCTTCGAAGTCGTTTCCTTCAAAAGTAGGTAGTCTTAAACATTTCTTTTCAATCGCAGATTTCCAAACGCAATATTATTGAATTGCAAACCTACAGTGCGATTGGTTTACTCCCTTCTTTTGGCCACACGTGGTCGCTGTTACCCCTCTCGCTGTAAACAGTCAGGCCTAATCTCATCTCCCCTCCTCCCCCTCTCCACTCCTCCTCCTCCTCTCTCCCTCTCTCTACAGCAGCGCGTCTCTCACCGCGCCTTGGATGCCGTGTGACCAGCAGCAGTGAGCGGAGAAGCCGTGCAGCAGAGCGCCGTCAGCACACCAGCACCGCAAAAATACAACCCAAACGATGACATTCTTACAGAGACGACAGAAGCCAACAATCATTTGACAACTTCCGAGCCTGCACCTTGCCTTCGCTGCTCCTTGCTGTAAGCGGTAAGTGCACTTAAATCCTTTTTTAATTGCAGAGCTCGCAATGCTCAGCTCTCCGCGCAGGGCACTGATAGCGCCAATGCACTGATGTTGAGAATCAGATAATTCACAGCACAGTGGATGATCAATGACATGAAGAGCATGTTGGCTCAAATTGGACGCAGTCATCTAAAATTCCTCTCATTAGTGCACAATAGGCCTATGTGAGAGTCAGCGCGCACTGGATAAGATGTTAACAGCGCAGGAGACTTGGTTTCCTCTTTTATTCTGACACCTTTGTGCCATGATAAGCCTAGCAGTGCCAAGATGTGCTTTCAGCCTCAGTTTCATGCCTCCTGCTACTTCAGTCAATCTCATTATGTCTTTAAAGGGACTAGTATTCGATTGTGTAGACTAGACAATGAGGATTAGGGTTGTAGGAGAGTGTCATGCCATTCAGGTACACCTAGCCTCATCCTCTTTTTATCATCATTTTGTGAGCAACGACAAGTCATTGCATATTGTTTTGACATTCGAATCAATCTTGTAGGATCCTGGCATTGGACAAATGGAAGTCTCTGTATTGATTCAGCAACTCAGGGGCAACTATGTCAGAGGTCAACTCTGCACTTCCAGTCATATGTGTTAAGGTTGCAAAGGGTCAGATTCATAAATGTGCCTCTCAGCTATGTGACGCTATCCAGTTGGGATTGTGTTTGGATGTGTGAGTGCATGTGAGCAAAGGGGAGGGAAGTGTGTGGGAGAGAGAATAGGCACATTTGGAGATTTCTGAGCCAGCACTCAGGTCAGGCCAAAAGCATGCTGAGGTGTTAGATTATATCAGATGGCCTCACACATGCACATGTATGCATACAAACACAGTAACGTCCAGATCTGAGCTCAAACTGTGCGCCCCCACCTGTGGATGGGGGTAGAAACATGTGATGGGCCAAACACTTTTGAGACTACTGGTACTACACTATTGCAGATTTAAGATGGGGGAAGTGGGCCTTGATGTTTGGCAGTGCCTATGGAGTCATTTTGCACTTTTTCTATGTGAATTGTTATGTAATTGTCCCCCCAGAAGGTACGTGCCCTCTTAAAGATGACGTTGGAAAAAAAATCACCAGATTGTACTGGCAACTTATTTTGATTGAGACACAAGACACATGCACATCGCTGTAAATTTCTGTGCTTTAAACAGTGCTATGAGAACTGTTGTATGACATATCATTTGCCTTAAAAACTTTGTAGCAATGCAATTTCAAAGATATATCTATCTTTTGAAATTACATTTTGGAAATTGCAGATAAATATACATATATGTCAGAAAACAATGACAATGAAGAGCATGTTGTGTTGGCATACCATGACTTCTGAGACAACAACTCCTCTAAGTGAAGCTAAAACTCCCAGAGCTCCCCCTGGTGGTGTCTGCTGCCATCAGTTCTTGTTATTTCACGTGCTTTTATATTTGTTCCGTAGAAAAAGACAACTCTTAAGTGCTAAAAGTCCTGAATAACAAATACTTCAGTATTAGTTGTAACACCTTTGTATATTTCTCCACCCAACTACCTGTCATAATGAGATACCTGGGCATGGGTATGTTGTTAATTGTTCAGTTTATTAACTGTTATTATTTTAGTTTGTACAGTCTGTGTCGTCTTTTGTGACTTGGAAAAGTAATTGATGTATTAAAACTCTAATGAAAGACAATTTTTTTTTTTTGTAATTTATTATGTAGAAAATAACTTGGCAATTAAATTTATGAATGGAATCGAACCAAGTGGAATCAAATCATACTGAATCAAATTGAATCAAATCATTCTGAAATTAATTACACCTGAATTGAATTACAGCCAACAAGGTTTCATCAGCTTCAGGACAGAGTTGGCCGACATGGATCTGCAACAGCCCATGAGATCTCCAGGAGAAATGCACTGCAAATGAGGATCTGCCAGAACTCAAGAAACACTTGCAAACAAATGCAGCCGTGGAAGCATGCTGAAAATTAAAATAGTGCAGCAAATATTCAAACAATACAATGCAAGCATGCACAAAAGAAAATAAAAGCTGCAACTAGATATGACTTTTGAATAGAAACTTTGAACAGAAGTGAAAATAGCATGTTTTTTTTGTATGCAGCAGGTTTAATTTGAACTTTACTGAAGTTATTGAAGTTTTGTTGTGTCACATTTCTCCTGATAAAGACTATTACTTCTGTTGCAGATGTTCTGCCTTTGTCATCCACTGTAGGTTTACACCCCTAGAAGAAACGGTGGCAGAGAATGCAATGAACACTAATATAAGAGTCATTGACCGTGAGTGTCTGGTTTAGATCAACTCAGAATCTGTCCTGAGTTGAGCAGCACTTTGGTTTCACTTTTTACAACAGGAGGTGATGGAGTAGTGCTGTGTATTGTAATATACAGTCAATGTTGCTTTCTAGTATATTGGTCGGGCTCAAGTGTTTAACATTGTGAAGTATACAGTGAGTACATTAACCTGAGCTAAAGGAGTGGGCCCTTCTTGGCTGGTGTTAAGGAGACAGAGAATAATTATCCATGTGCTTAACTCCTAAAATCCTTTCCTGACTCACACTTGATCCTCTGAATAATCCATTGAGACAGAACTGAGACAGTAAAGCTGGAAAGAGACTCAACTGTGTAGCTTAGAAAGCCAGTTTCTATATCTGTATTTGAACATTATTTCAGTATTTGGATTCAAAAGCAGTTTTCCAGTCGACGCTGGACGGTATGTGAAACAGTCATCACATTTTTTCGCCTATAGCAGCAGCTAAATGAATCTTTGTCAACGTTAATCAATATGCATCACAGTTCAATTCCATTGGCGTAACTATCGCAGATATTTGAGATGTACGGTTCACAAGTTCAGTGCATAAACAAACCTTACTCTTCTGAAATGTGATAAAATATTCATGTGCATCTATCTACAGAGAGAGAGATGTATCAGACAGACCATCTTCTCAAAAGGCCAGTCCAACTGCTAGGAACTGTATCATCTTCCATCAAAGCTCACACGCAAAGCACACACACACACACACACGCTCCTCGGCATTCAGAGCTGGAAAGGGCAGAGGCAAAGTCTAGTGCAGCCCACACAGACATACACACAGCACATATGCAGTAACACATCTGACCACACTTCAGATCTGGAGCTAGCAGCTGCTGGTGCTGCTCTTCTTTGAAGTGAAAATAAAATGAAAACAACCAAGGGCCAGAGCAGACACTTATCATAGTAATGAGCAGGCTTTGTATCTCCATGCATGTGTTTGTTTGTGAGTGCCTGTTGTCGGACTCCATGTGGCTTTGTGTGCACTTACAGACAAGCATTTGTAAGACGCAGTTTACCAGCCAAGTGGTGTGCATCATCAGAGAGAGGAGCTGTGATTGGTTGACAATGATCGGTTGCTCATCTCGCTTCCCTCTTCAAATTGGACTTACTGATGAGGCTCTATAGTGTCATATGAGATTATGTTACACACCCACACGTGGATTGAACTCAGATGGATCTAGATGAGCCCAACTCGTATAGATGTGGATGCTGGTCTGACCTATATTTTTGAAGTGTATATTCATTACACAGAGTCAGGTGATCTGCCAGTTGGACGGCGCTGTATTTTTCCAAGCTATAGAGGCCCCTGCTAGAGCAGCCCTCAGAAAATCAATTCCAGTCAACACATGATATGTGTTTGAGGCTGCAGCAGGAGCAAAGGTGACCTTTATTGTATGTATATGAGCTACATGGCTGCTAACCTAATTGCAGAGTAGGAAGATATTTGACATGTTCTGTTAAATAGAAAAACAAGATTCACTGTTAAAAAAATTTAATCCTGTAGGTCATTATCATTAATCAGCAAAATAATCCAATTTTAGCTGTCAAATCACTACAAATGTTAACTCACATCAGTTAACATTAGGACTTGACTCTAATGTTTGTGTTATTATTTAAAGAAGCACATTTGATTCTACAGATGTAAACACATTCATGGGAGAGAGAGAGAAAAAAATTCATTTCAAAAGGGAGAAACCTCAAGCAAGCCAAAGGTCTTTTTGGGAAGCTCTCAGCTTTGTCCTTCCTTAAACCTTATAATTTGGGGGATTGCAAAACCCTCTTTTGAGACATTTCACCATTAGTATCATGGAGAACTTCCTTTTACAGGCAGTAACCTCAAGACTAGACTATTCAGTATAAGTATTTATCACAATAACTGTGACTATGCCAATTGAGCACAGTTGGAAACTCTAGTTATTTAGACAAAACTTCTTTTCACAGGCAGAAACCTCAAGTAGAGCCAGACTTATAGATGGGGGACATCTGCATTGACCCACCTTAAACCATCTATTCTTAGGAATTTAAAATAATGAAATAGATCGCACCGGTAAATCGCCACAAAGTATGTTCGCTAAGCAGTACCCAAATTGTGTAAAAAAAATGTTTTTTTATTAAGCATAGAACTTAAGCAAAAACATATTCACAGGAGGATGGTCATCTGCCTAAACCCCAAACCACATATTTTTGCCCTTTTAGTTTAATTGTACCTCACAAAAACTGTTTCAAGTATAAATTGACTTAAGTTCAGCAGGCATACACAAAATCAGTCTGAAACCTTGATGAAAACCAGAATCCTAGGTGGATGACCTACCATTGACCTACCTGTAGTATGTAGGAAAGTTTGTATTAAAAGTACCACACTGATTGAGTACAGAGCAAGCATGGACATGTCAGAAAAAACACACAAGTTTATCTGTAAGACTCATTGTGCTGATAACTCAGTTTTTGGTCAGGTTGGTACATTTGTAGAGTCTTCTTTTGTTTTTCTGTCAAGTATTTGCATAGGTCAGCATTAACACCTCTCTGAACGTTGGTTTATCTCTCAAATAGATAGCCCATGTAATAAAGGAGAAAAAAAACAGAGTCTTTACCCCATGTCTCTAAGGACATGTCTTGTTTTCATGTGTGATGACGTGATGGTTTGTCTTCATGTCAACTTGTGACGTCAGTAAAATTCGTGTGGATCCAGCGCTTAAGCATTAGAGAGAATGGGATTGAACTTGTGTTTACTTCCTGCCTTTGTGTATTTTCCTGCCTTTGACATTGTGTGCCACACTTGGTACCTCTCACCTTGTAGGATTAGTCTCACCTGTCCCTGATTATCCCCAGTGTATAAAGTCTCAGTCTGTCCCTGCATCTGCCAGTTCATTCTTCAGTTTCTGCTTGTGTGGATCTACATCTCTTTACACCTGCTGAGTCTAGTTCTGAATGGGGATACTTAATTTCATGGACTCATCCAAGTAAGCCTTTTTTTTTTGGAAATTTTTTAGGATTAATAAATATCAAGGTCTATTTGAGTCTTCTAACTTTGTGCAAAACCTTAACTTGGAACAATGGTTCACTTATAAAATCTTAGTTTTTTTTAAATGTATTTATTTGTATATTTGTAGAGATGAGAAATGTTACTAGTTTGCTAAGCTGCACTAGACCACCATCAACCACACAACTCAAAAATGGGGTCACGTTGTCAAAGGAAAATAGGACAGGAATGGATCAAAAGCTCGAGATAGACGTCTTAAAGTGCAGAGAGATAAATATTCAGCTCTTATCTTGTCCTCCCCTGGAGATCAGACCACGTTCCAATGCACACATCCCCTTCAGAAGTTTAGCTGTAACTAAGAAAGCGAGGCCAGCTGTGGTTGACCCTGGACTTGTTTTTCCTGGACTTACATAGCTCAGGACCACATGCCCTATGCTGAAGTGGGCCCAACTGGGGCATTGTTTTGCGCTACATCACCCCGGGCTGGGTACCAGTATCCCAGGTGGGACGGAGAGACGGGTGAGGGTGGGAGGAGTGGCTGAGGGGCAGCGAGAGAGATGTCACTGACCACATTAGTCATCAGAGAAAGCAGGCCATGAGTCAGGAAAGCTCTCAGTCTCATCCATCACGCCCCTCTTAACCCACTTTTCTTCCAGTTCGGCCACGCTGGCTTTTTATTTTTCTATTTTCTGCTAGCTCTCCATCCCCCGGCTGCTGACAATGTAACTTTGCCATCCCCCTTTTTTTATTGTGATGAAAAGCAGGAAAGGGTGTGAAGAGTGAGGATCAGCATTGGACAGATTGTAGGATGAGGCAAAAAGGAAATACAGAGTCGATCTTCGTGAACACAGTAAGGAAATGTATATTTTCCCCCAAAACATACTTGACTTTTATTAGAAAATGCATTCAACAGTTAAAGTATTTTCAGTGTCACTGTGAGAGAAAGAGGATAACACAGTGCGTCTGTCTTCACACCAGATTCCCCACAGTGTTGTGCAGAGAGAAACCCTGTGAGCTGGTGAGACGGAGCGGTGATAAGTGCGGATATTAGAGAGGTCTCACTTCTCAAAAAGACCGCTGGCTCTAATCCTGGCCGAGGTATTTGATTCACTGTTGAGACAAAAACATTGTATTGCTTGCTCAGCGGTGGAGGGATTAGCCTGGAATATGGTGGGAGCAGGGGATGAGTGGATGAACGTTTGAAATGATACTCAGCAGGACTGTGATTTGATGGTTATCGTTGTGGCTTAGTGCCAGTGTTTCCTCCTTTTGAAGAACTGCTCTCGCTGCGAACCACCAACCTTAAAAGTGTGTGTTTCTCTACTCCTTTTCTGCCCTTTGAAATTATTTACCGTGAAGAGGAAAATGAGGCGAAGCTTAGTGCAGCTGATGTATGTAATGGACTCTTTTTCACTGCAATTCAACATGAGGACTTGTTAACACACAGTTTGGGGCTGAACCTCCTAATGGCATGGATGATGTAATCTGGCTCACTGGTAAGCTTGTTGTCTTATGTTCTGGATTCAGATTTTCCTCTGCAGGCCCTCTGTTTCTGTTGTCCCAGATCTCTGCAGTGATTTAAGGGTGTAGCATGTTTTCTAAGTGCTATTAGAGACCACTCAACCTAGAAGATGTAAGATGTAATTAAATGGCTCAAATGGCTATTTATAATATGCAAAAGCCAACAAGACCATCAGCCACAGGATTGATGACTTTGATTTGGCAGGTTTTAAAGTCTGAAACTAGTATGAGGGGGAAGTGTTGGCCAAGCAGCTGAAGAAACATAAGATATTCAGGATAGATTATATATTTGGCCATCAAAACTCAGCAGGATGAGATTTTGTGTTAAAGACCCACTCCGATGAAAATCAATGTGTTTTGTGTTTTTTTATATGTCAATATGGCATTTTTTCTGATGCTACAGGACATATCATGAGAAAACTAAATGCAAAATTGCTTTTCTGAGTATTTCTTCATTCAAATTGTTGTGAATCTCTGGCAGACCCAAACAGCAGGTTCAGAAACAGTGAGATTTCCTATGTAACTAATCCAAGCTCCGCCCCCGGAGCCCCGCTTCCCAAGCCACACTCTGCATATAGAGAGGAAATACAGAGGACAAATTAATGAACAAGAGCGTGTGTTAGCGGTTTGCAATGCTTGTAAGAAAGCTAATTATAATATTAGCTTTCATCGTTTCCCTTCAGACATTAGTGTCCAAGAGCTGAATAGCTTCTATGTTACCTGCTACTTCTACTACACCAGCAATGTAAGTTGCAAGCTAGCATAAAGAGGAGTGTGCAGAGCAATGCTGTCTCTGCCCACGACTAAGAGGTGAATTGCTAATGAGCTACTGGTGCTCTGCAGAAGAAAACTCCTCGAAAAATGACAGGTAATGCAATTTTTGATAAAAACTTAATAATCACAATTTGAAGACCACTGAGAACACTTTAAAAAAAGTGATTGGAGTGTGACTTTAAAGGGCACAACTTAAGCTTAAAGAGAACAAGATAAGCAAAGACTGCTTCGTCCACAGGAGGCGCCAAAGTTGACACAAACCAAAAGTTCCTCACGTTAGCTATCGTGCTCAAATTTAAAGCTCCCAACATTGTTGTTTTAAATTTTTTTTTAATTAACACATTGCTAGAAATGTTTTTTTCGTCCAAATTGCCTGTTTCAAAAATTTTTTTTTTCTAATAGTGCCAATGAAAGTATTCACCAGCTTCTTTGAAATCATTCGACTGTACTTAATTCTTGATTCTGATTGGCCAAAACCTCACAACAATACTTAAAAATCCTAATCAGCATTAGAGATGCCAGGGACACACATTTTATAGCAAATCAAAAGTTAAAAAAGAGTCTGGCATATTTACATTTCAAGCTTCATGTTGAACTGATGTTGTTGATGCTACATCTCATTCTGAACCTCAGAGAAGCTAATTCGACCCTTCAGTTGAAGCCCTGATGTAGCATAAACAAACCACAGCTTGGATGCCAACGCCGATTCAACATGATCCAGGCAATTTGTGTGAAAACATGGTGTGACGGATTAAATTTATGTTTCCTGTCACGAGGTGATGTAGAGGGAGTGACTCAATGACTCACCTCATTAAAGATTTTATTGGATCAAAAATCTGACTGGGCCGTTGGGCGAGGCAAATCGAAAGCCCATCGTGAACTCCTTTTTCTGTTCATTTCATGGCTATTAGCATTTGATTCAGATGTTTGTGTGCGTGTGTTTGTGTTTATACGCCAGGCGTAAAAGCTCTGCAAAGTGTGAAATGGGACGTTTTGTTAATATCCAGTGGTCCCATGACTCTATCTGGTCTTTCTTGCCTTTTATTCTCTTGGTTGAATTGAGACAAACATTTTTTAGGCGTGCAAGAACAGAGTTTCAGTGAAGATTTGGATGTTTTTTCAAGTCAATTAGCGAACACACCAGTGCTAATACCCCTATCATGCAATATTCCGTCTCTTCCTTCAGCCGCCCCTCTGGCAAGTACATTCAGTACAGCATATGTGTGTTTGCACTTCACCGGGTTTCACTGTGTGTGATTTTGTGTGTGATCCATTTGGCTCCGAGTCGTCCCACACCCTGGCACTCTTTCTTCGTCTCTGTGTGTAGCTGCAAAATCGGCCTTCTGTTTTTTCTTGCCTTAAGAGACCCCTCATGATCAGAGAGAATCATCAGCCACACGAAAAAAATACACAAAACATGATACTTGGAAAATAACGCAACAGCAGGCACCAGGCTGTCACAGACAGTATGATGATCTGGGAAGTGTCCATGGCAGCCTCAACAGGAAGTGCATTACAGCTCCTGCCTGTCCTTGTGCACTGCCGGAGTGATTGTTCACCATGATAATGCTTTTATTTTCAGCGATGTGCACAACATAATGTAATGAATTTCAAGATTAAACAAGAATCATGGACCTTCTTGTCAAATTTTCGCTCCTTACACCAGATTATCAAACATTCTGATTCCTGTCTTAGGAGCTGTTGGCGCCTTAGGAATGGAAATACTGGTCCCCATTTCAACCAGGATGACCTTAATCAGATTACGAGTGACGCACAGATTCCTTGAAAGACACACCGGTAGTTGGCAGGCCACCACAAGCAGCAATTAAACCTATAGTCAGGACAGATAATTGACAAAGATCGTAACGTTAGAGCCAAAACAAACATCGAGTAGTTCACTGCCAAATCGATGCTGTTCTTTTTTTGGTAATTCAGCTATGAATCAGCTTAGCTCACCCTCTGCTGTCCCACATGGAAAATTAGGCTTGTAGCAGCCAAGCTAAAAACTTGGCAAGACGCATCAAAACAGACTCATTGAGCAGCAAACACAAAGAACATCAATTAATATGAAACGACGAGCAAATTCATGAATAAAACAATCAAAAGAAACTATTTAAAGCTCATTCTACCTCAGTGATGTTGTGGTACTCACCTTCTTTTACAGTGTTTGTGTCCCAACAAGACACTTAGACCTATAATCTATCTGTACAATCTGCTTTACTGCTAATTCTTAATTGAGTGACCAGCAGTGTCAGTGTTGCCTCTGTGCTGGAGAGCAGCTTAAAACAGACCATTAACCCATCACTGAGCCAGATCTAATCACCAGGTTGTGACATTTGTGTTGAGGGGAGAAACAAAGGCAGAGGGCTCATTTTTTATGCTTAGCCTCATCTTATCTGTTCGTGCTGACTGCAGACTGTCATGCTGAGTTAAAACGCAGCTCAAGTTATGTTTTTTGTCTTCTATGCTGTAGCACGGCTGGGCAGCTGGTGTTTTATCAGACCAGGAAAACAACTTCTTTTCTTCTTTTTCTTTTTTTTTCCTTTACCACAAAATATACTTCTGCTTTCTTATTTTTTCTAGTTCAAAGTCTTCTTGAATAGTGATGTTTCCCTGATGTAAAAAAACAAATGAGACCATCAATTACAAGAATTTCTGTGTTATAATTTTCGGATTCTGCTGTGAGGGGGGTTGATATGCTGAAGGAATAGCCTTTATTACTTCAACTATTCATGGTAAGTGATAAATTTTACCATCAAAAGACACAAGGAGGAGATTTTTTTTATCAGCAACAATCAACAACAAAACAAGGCTCACCATTTTGTCCACAGGGGGCGCTAAAGTCAACACAAAGTTCCTCAGAGCAGTTTTAATGTGGAAAAAAATATCATAGCAGTGACGAGTTCTGAATTTATTGAAATGAATTTATGAAATATTTTTAAAAATACTTTTATTGCTTTCTTACATAAAGTTACACAAAAGGGCCTCTCTTCTCACTGTGTCAAATGTGAAGTTTTGCACAAGTCTTAACAGTGGAAAAAGCTTAGATAACTTGGAGTTGGAGAAAAAGGCCTACAAAGGTACTTTTTTATTGTAACTTTGGTTCAGAAGTTACAGCAAACACATCCCTTGTAGGAATGTAGATGCTGCTGCTGCTGCTGATGATGATAATCGGTTAATTTGTGACTTCCCTGGCGACACAGGGGTAAATGGGGCGTCAAAGTCCAGCAAAAGAAGATGACTCAGATTACATACAGCAGTGTATAATAAGTGCTGGGTGGAGACAGGTGTTGTTGAGGTGGGGAGGAGGAGCTGATGGCCACCACCAGGCAGGGCGAATTGGGACGACTTGCTGACAGGAGGAGAAATAAATGAGCGCTGAGATGAGAAGTGAGAGCGCAGAGACATATGGCAGGGGAGCTGTCTGGCACCAAGATGAAGATAGATTGGCTCCAGGTGAACCTTTAGGTTCAACCGAACACAGTGTGAGGACCGGTACATGGTGGCATCTCCAACGACAAATATTAATGAGTGAAAGATGTGTGGGGTGACTTTGAATATTTCTCTAGCTCAGTTGTGTTTCATATTATGTAGCCTTATGAGTTTGAATTTAGGAGCCACATTTTATTTATTTATTTTACATTGAAAAGACCTTAAAAGTGAGTCCCAGTTAAAATGTATTTTGTTCTAAACTGTTATGGCTTTATTTATAAGCTATAGACTTGAAGCAGCATAAGGACAGATACCCTTTAAAGAATTTAAATCGATGACCTTCAAAAGCAACTTTCAAACAGAAGTAGTTTGATGAGGTGATTGTCCAACATAACGCAGCGCTTTATTTTCAGAGAGAAAACCCCAATGTGTCAAAGAAATACCTGAAATGACCACAACTATTGATAGCACATTATATTATGGGGCTTATGCTATGTTAGCATCGCTGATGGAACCGTGGAAAAACTGTATTATATGCAAAGTAAAAATAAACTGAAAGGTGTCAGTTTGTGGTCGCATTAACTCAATTAGTATTTTGGTGTATGTAACCTGAACTAACTAGTTACATTTAAGTTGCATTGAAAAATTGACTAACATAACATAATGTAATGTAACATTATGTAAAGTTCTATTTTTGCAGGATTATCACAAGCTTTGCTGTTTGCCATGTTCAAGTGGTTTAATGCCACTGAAAGCAGACACAGCACACATACAACTTCATCTCAGTGTTCTGGGTAAACATTCTGCCAAACTGTGTTGCAGCACTTTGGGTGATATTCAGTTGTAAAGGACACCAACTTACAAACCTTAGAATATGACAACAGCCCTTTTTACATACTGTCCATGTAATGTATAGTACAGGTTGTGGTCTTTTTGTACCTGTTTGACACCAAGATGCTGTAAACCAACCTTACCAGTGCAGGGGGAAGCATATAATAGTATATGTTATATAGCACACTAAAACTCACCATGTTTCACTCTGGAGCATGCCAGAAACAGACAGCCACACACACACACACACACACACACTTGCAGCCTGAAGATCTCATCATTAGGAGGAAAGCAGGATCGGTGCATGTCTCAGCCATTGTCACCATCAGTGTCATACTCCTTGTCTTCCTCTCACCCCATTATTCTTCACAGATCAGGCCCCAGTTTTTTCCAGCAGTGTCCCTCTCTGTGTCCGTTCATAATGAAGCATCCTCTCCTCCCACGTTCCTCTCCCTGTCCTTCGTCTTCCCTCACTTGTTCTTGTCAGTCCTTGTGGCTCTCCGACAACAGAATAATTCTGTTTATCTCCCGTCTCTCAACAGCCTTCTCGATCCCTCCCCTATCCTCATTTTCCGCCGCTCTGCTCGCTGTGTGTTCAAAGTAGAGAGGCCCCCCTAGAGAGCACCACACAGAAGAGTGTGTATGAGCTGGAATAGATGAGAGTGGTTGAGGAGGAAAGAGAGGGAAGAAGAAGACAGATGGGTAGAAATTAAGGGCATACAGACTCACCTGAATTTCAGAGTTTTTTATTCGCCTCTCTGTTCTTGTTTCTTTTCTCTCAGTACCCTTTTACTTTCATAACAAATGTCACAGCAACAGTTCTGGATAAACCACGTAGTCCTCTACCTCCTTCCTGCATGCCTGTTACTGAGTTTCATCAGAAAATGCCAGAGCCTGCCCTTCTGTACATCAGGTCATTTCTCCCCAGTATCACCTGCTTTCGTTATTGTTGTAACGCTGAAGAAAAAGTGCCGTTCAGCTCAGCAGCATCTTTCAGGTTAAGGCAAGCATGGCGGTGATGATGATGATTTGCAGAGACGCGAGAAGCACAGGGACTTTACATTTGAATGTTCATATTCAAAGACGTATTGAGGCCACTGTGCTGTTCACTATACTAAGCATGTATTATGGATGATGGGAACGAGTGTTTAAGATGCATGAAAAGTTTGTGCTTCAGTGGTATGTTCCTGTTGTCTTTTCATCATGCTATAGGAGCACGGCTCAGGAGATGGCAGCGATTGGTTGATCTTCCAGAGTGAAATTTCTCAAAGGCAATTTAACATTTAAATGTTTTGCTGTAAAATATACAGGAGTGTATTGTTCGGCTAACAGTATTTCAAACAATCGATTTTGCGCAAACATCACACATGACATGAAAATGTTCAGATGCATTTGAATTTTGCAATCTTATCACAGATAATCTGGCCAAGACTTCCTTTTCTGTGCTTTGCAAGTGTAGGGCCCAGCATTAACACTCTGTAACATCTCGCCTTCATGATGGATGTAACAGAGGCATGATGATGTGCCGGCATAGGAGGAAACACGTAGAGAAGTAGAGATGAAATTACTGCGAGCCAGTGGGGCAGCTTTGTTGTGCAGCTTTTGTAGACTTGCAGAGGCTGATATTTACAGTCTGACTCAACTTTAATATGAACAGAGTTGCTTTTGAGATAATAGAGAGGATTATTAGCTGTAATTTTAAGATATATTAGAGTAGTTACAATTTTGTTGTGCATGTACAATGACAGTAAAGATATTCTATTCTGAAAAAAAGCTCTTTCAATGGCCTCCATGGCACTTTAGAGGTTGTGTTTCTCACTTTTTACTCTCCACATGGAATGTTTCTATGTGTACAATCAAAGCCCATTGAAGCAAGTGAATCATACAATCAAACTGAGGCTAGAACACATCTGAAATCTGTTCCTGTGCTAACAGGGTCAGGAACGTCATGCTGCTGTGTCTTTACAAATTGTACTGTAAGAAGATCTTTTAGTACTTTTGCAGGACCAAAAACTTCTACACAACTAACAACAATCCTCAGATATTTTAGCAAACTTTAGCACCACCAACTGCTATGGTATATCCATATATATAAACACTGAACAACCGCAGCACTACAGAATAGCTGTAATCACTTCACATGGTGCATAATTGAAGATTTTTGAGCATGATCTTATTTTCTTTAAAACCTGCTCAGTGGTGAAGTGATGACAGCTCAACTCATTTCCACATTGGATCAGTCAGTCAAGTCGCAGGACCACACACCCAACCTTTCAAGAGTTGTGATTACAAGAACTTTGGATCTCAGGGAAACTATTTCCATCAGCTGATTCCAATTGGGTATTCTATATTTTGCACCAAATAAGGGCAAGAGAAAAAAATATGGACAGAATCTTGGCCAAGGGAAAGACTAAAAAAACATTGTTTTTACATTTTGTGACTGTGGTTGACTTGGAAATAAGGTTTCTTTTGCTCTCTGCTCAGCTGCTTTTATTTTTATAACTCCAGAGTTGAAATAATGGAGACGACTTAGGAGATCCATAAGGCATCATCATGTCTATAAACCAGATGAATAACAACATTATTTGGTCAGATAATCTGTAAATGAGACAATGTATGTGATTGTGGAGGTAAATTTTCCCAAAACTTGGCAACTTTTTCCTCTGCAGGGCCCCTTGACTTGGGTTTCACATTCATATAATCCATTGTGTGTTAATGTGTGAGAGTTGGACTCTGCATCAGCTAATTTTGCTGTGTGATTATGAGTTGGGTTCAAAGACAGAAAAAGACTGCATTGCTGTTTTTTCTGGGTACAAAAAAAAGTGAGAAGAAAAGAAAGCATACAGCAGGGGCTGTAATAATTAACCAAGAGAGAAAGCAGGTGGAAAAAGAAGTTTTATGAGAGTGTTCAAAAGAAGAAAGAGAAATATTCAAAAGAGTATGAAAGCAGGATGCCGGCCACAGAGCAACTACATATTTTATGCGCCCTCTGGCTGTCGGTTTAGCCTCAGTATAATCACTCTGAAACTAGGAGAGAGGACAAGAAAGGCAGAAGAAGACAGAGATGTTGAGTGCTGAAAGTTTTATCGATGGAGTATGTTTGGATGTGTCACATTGGGCAGAGCATAGGGGCAAATAAAGACTGTATGAAAGGGCGAATGAGAGGGCAGGTCCCTAAACTGAAGCCAAAATATTCAGGATGTTACAGTTTTAGCTTGATTAGGCGATGTAACCAGACTTCTGTCTTTGTCCCAGTCTACAAGCACCAGCAAAAATCCATTTGTTGACCAAGTTACCTTGTCTGTAATAAACATATTACGAAGTCTTTAAAGTTTTGCATAAGTTTTTTGCACAAACACAAAATGGTTATCCCTCCCCCCAGGATTTGGCCAACCTGTCATAACTTGAGCTGTGTGAGTGTATTATCTGTCACTGCTTAAGGTCAAACACAGAGCCGTACTCCATAGAAAACACACAAGACAAATACCAGCTGACAGGGTCACCCCTCAACAGCAGGCCAGCCCTGACATTTGAGTCTGTGTGTGTGTGTGTGTATCTGGAGATGTTTCTTAACTCACTTGAACAGTCTGCTGCCATCTGCACTGTCCTCATCTGCTGACCTTTGTGTTCTTTGTTTTCTCAGTTTGCAACAACGATTCAAGCTAAAATAAGATTTTTCAGAGCTTTCACTTTCCGTCCGTCTTTGTGTGGGTTAGGGTGTCATTTCTGCCGAGTCGGCAATAAGTAGGGGGTTTAATTGAAAACCAAACTGTGGTTGAAATTTAAACTAGCTGTCCTCCAGCCTCGGGGAGCTGCAGCAGCTGTAAGACGAGCTATAATTCTGCTTTTCATGAGACATACTGAACAACCTGATGTCCTTTTTATTTGAGCTCTTCTCCTCCTCCCACCTTGAATCTCTCTTCTCTATTTTCACCCTCACCGTATCTCCTCTTTCATCTTCCTCCCTCAGCCCTGCTCCAACTTTACGGCCCTCCCCCCTAGCCCATCGGCCCCTCCAGTCCAGCAGGACCATGATGCTCAGCAGCTCCGTGGAGGTGCCCAGCCCGGGAGGGTTAAGCGGCCTAAGTAGTCTGAGCGCGGCCGCTCGGAACGTGGTGCGCTCATCCAGCATCTCGGGGGCCATGTACAGCTTGGAGAAGAGTCCAGGCAGTGGGGGCCCAGACTCCTCGTCACTGACTGGCAACAAGAAGCGGCGCTCCAGTCTGGGAGCCAAGATGGTCGCCATTGTGGGATTGTCTCAGTGGAGCAAGAGCACTCAGCAGCTCAACCAGCAAGGTGAGTCCACACTTAAAGGTGTTCATGACATGGATAGTAAAGTGATTTGTAACTTCTCAGAAAGTGACCATTTGAACGACATATTTTTTCACATATTTGTATGAGTCTGCCCCTAGTGGACACCTGTAGAACTGCTTTTGTAAATTTCTGTATTTTCTTCATCAACAAATATAGGGTGTTGCTGCTTTTTCACCACACTTAGTGCCAAATTCACTGTTGATGTGTAGGGAGCTTGGGAGTTGCTATTGAAAACAGTGGGATGTCAGTTAATGCCTGATCCATCATGTAAAACAGCCCTAAAACTTGGTCTTCACGGCAAAACTGGATTTTGTAAAAGCCAGATGAGACTTATGGGACGCTCACACCAAGCGTGAGTAAAATCATCTACTCGCTTAATTCACGCAAATCTAGATGTGTGAATGAATTGTTTTTACTCACTTCATTCGTGCGTCAACTGTAATTTCAACGGTATCCCTGCCAATTCAACCGGTGGGATCAAGTGATAGACGAAGCTTTTTTAACAAGTTACCAGGTAATCTGCCCTCTTCACTCCCTTGCCTCCAGGCGAGCTCTTGTTTATTTCAGTTTCGGTAATTGAAAGAAAAGATATCATATGATTCAGGGCGCACACACGACACGATCAGTTTGTCCTCCATTTTAGATATTAGTAGACAAAAGGGTTTTCATATGTCACCTGGCAACATTTGTGCTGATTAGTTATAGTGATGCGAATATCCACTCAGGTTGAGATATTTCCAGCTCACGCCCATTTGCGCCGCCAGAGTAGTACGAGCGTCAAATTGGGTCTTTGTATTGACTTAACATGTAATTCATTCACGTGAATAATTCTACTCGCGCTTGGTGTGTTTTGAGACAGAACTCTCAACTTCCTCCATTTTTACTATTCCTGATTAAGTTCTCAAAGGCTATGGGAACACTAACAGACGATTTTATTTGGGAGTATTCACCATCACATTAGCGGAGACCACTCTGGAGTGTATTTTGTAGTACACTGCTGGGTTATAATACCTGTAATTTCTTATTCGACAAGCTCTCCCTGGATTTACCTTTTGTTGTATTATTGTAATGAGCTGTTTTTGAAAGCTTTTAATGTCATTGGGAGCATTGTTATGTGTTGAACTCAGAAGTGGGGAGTGAAGTGCAGCAGAAGGAGCTTGAATGCATGGTGCCTGTATGTCAATGATAGCAGTACCACGTCTCTGTGTGTGTGTGTGTCCTGTGGGTTGTAATTACAGATATCATGCAGCTGCAACAAAAGTGCTTCTCAGTTTGTGCTCGTTTTTGAACACACAATCACACACAATCACATGCACACTCACACACACTCCTGGAGGGAAAAAGGGAAAACATGTCACACACTGTTGAAAGGCCAGGAGGGGCAGAGGTGCAGCTTATTTTAATGCAGTTATATTTTCTGTCATTCCTCCACATCCTTTTAGCACACTCCGTTTTCCTTCCAGCACATCGAACTGTAACCTTTTCAGAGCCGTGTCTGCTCACATCTTTCTGCTTAGCTTCTCATTTTCAATTTGTACTGTATTGTTCTGTAAGAACATTCTGTTTTAATTCAGGACATGCAGATTTTTGCTCTCTGCTTTGTCTCACAGGCAGGGGTTTTCAAGGATACCTTGAGTTTGTGTCCACATAGATGACACATTTTTTTATTTCCCTGGTCTGAAGTATTTTCTTTTACAAAGTGAGGCCAGTAATCACTTAATTGTAAAGCAGAAATGTCTTTGCTCCAGCTTTTCATACATAAACATTCACATTCAATCAGACAAAGCCGTCCTCAGTGTAAAGTAATTATTGGAAATATCAGCGGTACAACACAAATCACAGCAATACATGAATGACAAATCAAAACCAACATGAAGAAGAGGCCGGACTTCTGATGTCAACTTTGTCAACAACAATAGAGGAGGTTTGTATGAAGGAGAAACTAACCACACCTATTATTAAAGGGTTAAAGTTTGAGGTCTGGAGCTGCTGCTAATGCTACAACATAATTTTATCAACTGTTTTTACACGGTCTCTGTAAACTTCCACTTAATAAGGGAAACCTGAAGCATCTGTTAATTAATTTAAAAAATAATTCGTTCTTCTGGAAGAAAGCTGTGGAAATGCCATGAGACACTCTTTGTAACCTAGCAACAGTAAGAGCTGGTGAGAAACGCTCCAAAACTGAGGTCACGGGTGCTACCAGTGAAAAAAAACACCTCAGGTGGACATAGTCCTTCATTATAAGAGTCAAATGGAGAAAAAGAGATCTTTTATTTTTATCTCGCAAAATATGATTTTCTGCACTTATTCGTCACCTTTACGTTAAAATAAGTTATTTTCAGGAAGGCAGCATGTATGTTAATGAATCACTCTGAAGCAATTTGCTGAACTTTACACTGATTTGAATCTCCTTAGGGGAACTTTTGGTTCCCCTTTGGACAAAGCAGTCTTTATTAAATCAGAGAAAATCTAATACCTCTGACTTTTGGAATTTCTCTTCAGGGATAAAATAGTTATTCTTATTCTTATTTTAACAGTCAGATGTTTGATCTATTTTGGATATTCATGTGGAAAACTAAAATACTTACTTCAGCTGCTTGGCTAAGGCCTTTCCCCTAAATTAATCTTATTGTTTATAGTTTTGTTTGCTTTTAGATGTCACGAGAAGGCTTCAGCATGAACTTCAATTTATTTCATAAATGTCAAAAAACTCCCCATTGGTGCTTTACCTTTAGGGGATCAGAGTTATTTGTTTTGTCTCATTCATGATGCAACTTTCTAGCTCATATTCGCAAAAGTTAAGTAATTGAAAATCAATATTTAATGACAAAAATAGACAATGACAAAAGTAGATACAAATTACAAAGTGAAGAGCTTTTATTTACATGTACATGTTTTTTCAACAATTTAAGTTGCACAGTACACATACAAAAATGTCTTAAGGAAATTGATGATTGAGATGAGGGGTGTCTGAAACCTGAGTGATCAATTCCAATGCCCCATATAGGCGACTCAAAATTTCCCATAGAGCACTGCTAAATGTAGTGACCATCTGATGGTCACTCACCGGTGGTGGGCATCCCGTCATGCATTGCGTCTTGCCATGTAGTGTCCGAAAACTCCGGTGATTGAGTTCACTACATAGTCAGCTATAAAGTGAAACCCCATATGGGGGTTAGGGATTAGGGATTGAGTGATTCATTTCGGACACAGCCCGTTTCCCCTCACCTACTCAGTGTTTTATTCTTTAGATCTGTTTTTAGTGCTTCCTGTTTTATTTTGTAGTAGTTCATCCTTGTGTGTCTTGTCTTATTTTACTTCCTTAGTTTTCCCTCCTTCGTTAATCACCCATGAGTTTCACCTGTGTCTCGTTTACCTCACCTGTTACTCGTCATCCATTGTGTATATAGCCCCTGTCTTCCTCTCTGTCCTTGCTGGTTCATTGTGTGTGTGTGTGTGTGTCCTTGTTGGTGGTGCATTTTGTTGGATTTTGCCATGGATTTTTTAGTTGGGCATTTGAAGAAAGTTTTTGTTGATTTTTTTTTCATGAACTTCTTTTTAATTAAATCCTTTGTTCTGCATTTGGGTCCTTTTCTTTTGTTTAACCCTGGCTTCATGACAAGGATATGGCTTCAAAAAGTTTAAACTCTTATTCTTCTCCTGTTGCTAAGACATAACTTCACCAGTTCTCAAGAAAATCACAGCAAATGACACAAGAAGATATTCAAACACAGGAGCATTTACCTTAAACGTGTTCGAGTGACAGCTCTGACATGGTAAAACATGGTAAAACAAGTCAGACATGAACGCGCCAACATCCTGGATAATTGTGTTACAGTGTTACCTGTTTTTTGTGCACATGAGCTTAAGCAGGCTGTTGCTTCAGTCGTCAATATGAACACACACACACACACACACACACAATGAGCCCAGTGCATTCATGCACAGCTGACACTTGTCTGACGCAGGGAGAGCTGTCGATATTTTCACCACAGGGGCTTTCATGTCTCTGTGTTGGTGCTGATGAGGAGAGCACAATGCAGGGGAAAGTGTGGCTGAGGAAGAGATGAGGAGGGGCTGACGATGTGGAGAAGAGGAAGGGGAGATGTGGGGTGTGTCTAAATTTAGATGTTCTCAGCTGCCAGAGCGCATCAAGCCCGAAACACAGTATCATGAACCACTCCCTCCACCGCAATCGATACTGTAGTTTACCTGCAGGATAGTCTTCTGACTGTGTCTGTCACAGCAGAACTTTTCTGAACATACCTCTGACAGCTTGAGAATGAGAGAGACCTGCCAGAAATGACTGGTACACATAACACTCCTCAGGATTTTCTGTTCTTTTGATACATCTGGTGCTCATTGTGCTTAGGATCACATGCATCTTAAAGCTCTGTAAGGAGTCTTCAGCTGTTTGAAAACAGGCAAAAATGGATTGTGATGCTTCTTTACGAGCTACAAAATCAAACCAGGACTTCGGCGTAGATTTCGACTATTTCTCTAAAGTTGTCTGTAATGCCTGAAACTGCAGGCAGGGGTTAGGTGCCATTTGCATGCTTCTGAACAGCCCTTTTTCCCCACATTTTCTGAAAGATTTCCACTAAGTTGTTGTCTGTTAAACAAAGTTTAAAATTGGAAAAATTATGATAAAACTAACCACAGGGGGTGCCAAAATCAACACAAATATAGAGTCCCTTACAGGAGCTTTAATTTTCTGAGTATTGTAGATCTTGTACGATGCCTCAGGGTGTAGTTTTATTGTACTGTTAAACTGAAACTATAAGTAAGGCCACAGTACTTATTTCAAAATTATGGTGTTAGCCCGGACAAAAAGCTATTAAGTCTTAAGTTTCCTTTAAAATACTCATTTTGGTAATAAAAGGCAGTGAGTCCTTGAGTTTTGCTGCATAAATTAAGAGAGAAGTATCTGGCTGATCCTAGTGTTGGTAACAGGAACAATTACGAGGGAAGCATTCAAAGACTTAATTTATCTGGCTGACTTCGAATGAGAGAAGATCTGTGATTTATCACTTTGAAAACCTGTAAAAGAGCCTAAAATTAATCCGTAAAGAAACAGGTAGGCAGTGCAGTGAGTTTAGAGAAGTGAAGTTATGTGATCCATTTTCTCATGTAACACCAGAAATGCTGTATTCAAGATGAAAAGCTCTTTTGTGGTCTTAAAAAGATGGTCTCAGTAGATTTTCAGATCTGACAAGCTTTTAGAAATCACCAAGAACAAAATATTTAACCAAAAGAAAAGTGGTGTCCTTTGTTTTTTGGCACCTTTATTCCTCCATTAACATTTTACTTTTGGCTTTTGGGAGACTTTGCTAACTCCCAGTTAGAGGCAGGTACAATGGACAGGAGAGCAAACCATTATATCATTAAGTTAAAATGAGATGATAAGATGGACTAAGAGGCCAGTACAGTAGGAGTCAGGTCAGCAGTGTTTTATTTTAAACTGCTACACTTTAAGAAAATGTACAGATTTCTTAAAAAATGCCTCAAAAAAAGTCAGCTAACATTATGTCGCCGTACTTTGATGGATTTCCTCATAGCATCTTCAAATCCCAATCTTGGAAATATACGCCCACTGACTTGTTGACCCAGTTTGGCCAAAATAGCATCTCTAATCTGTTGTTTTCTCTCCATAATTTGCACCAGCTCCGACATAATTAGCACTTTGACCCGATCAGACAGAGGGTCAAACTGTCGGACGAAAACAGCGACAGTCAGACATTGTTCTTCGCTCAGCCGACTTTGATTAGGGTCTTCTCTGCTCCTTCATGGTGGTCATTAAAGGCCCGCTGTGGTCAGCTGTCACCGCTCCATGTTCTCTGTGACACATACATCGTTTGGCTGATGCGGGTGGGTCAGGCTTAGTGCAGAGCCCCCCGCTTTGCTCAGTTGGTTACCTAACAGGCCGTAGGCTGCAGGTCAAAGTGGTTCAGAGAGAAGGCTCATTTTGATACCTCGGTTGCAGAAACAGGAAATAAAACTGTTTAATTTCTTTAGTTTTTACTGTGTGTAACAAGACCCATGATAACTGAGTGCTTAAAATGAAAATTACTCGGCTGATAGAGACCCCAAGATAAAGAGAAGAGGACAAAGTGAATGGAGTCAGTGTAAGAATAAGTCAGTGTCTCACCATTAAAGCACTATTAAGGGGTAATATCATTATGCTGTTGTTATTGTGTCAGAGTTTCTGCAGGGGATGTTCCAACTGTGCTCTTTTTTTGCGAATTGGATCCAGTCAATTCAGCAGAATCTGTCCCTGTGAGCTCTTATGCAAGCAGCGAGGTGTTGCTGTAGACAAGACCGAGGTGTTGTTTTTAGATATCTTCCAAAGTAAATTTCCAAAATGTTAGAAATGAAAGGGTTCATTTTCTTGGAGACAGAGGTGTTATTAAAGTGTTTTTTTCTTCAACCTAGGTTTTTTGTTGGTTATTAAACATCTACAGCATTGACCCAATTACCATCCGATGATTAGGCAGCATTTACCATCTAATCCTAAGTTTTAGGGCAAAGATATCATGTGGAGATTCATCTGAAAAGGTCAGTGATGCACCTGGAAAAAATAAATCTCATTGTTTTTAGAGTTTATAAGGAACCAAATGAGCACAGTAAAAGCAATAATTGATACCTCCTGATGCAAAATGTAAAACAGAAAAAGGTCTTGTGAACCTAAAATAGGTTAAAAAAAAAAAGTTCTTTATTCATTTCCAAACTGTGGCTGTATCTAGATTATCTGAAAATTACTTGGGGTTAACATTTATTTCATGGCAGCTTTGGCTGTTTGATTCTGGCAAAGATTATAATCACAAGTATTTAGATTTTCACAGTTATAGAAAACAAGTACCCATGATTTGACATTTTTATCAGATACATTTACACAACTTTAAACCTCTTAATTCTTTGAAAATATAGTATGTAATAAAAGCTGCTTGGATTACTCTTTTGTTTGCTAATGCATGTCTGTCCAACTGGAGGATATATATTTTTATAGTGCCATATGTACTACTTCTGTCAAAGTCATCAATTCTTCAATGTTTATGACATAACTGGGGCAACACAGCAGGCAGCACAATGTCATTTAGTCATGATTATCACATTTTTATGATCTCCACCTCCGTATGTAATTACAATTAAAACTGATATCTGATTAACTGTCTAACTCAACTGTCATTGTTTGGCTTTGTTATGCCGCTACAGAGACGTACGGGTTTATGACATAGACTCATCAATAATACACCATTACTGCTCTTGTTTGCAGCCTTGGTTTGGAAAACTGATTGAAGAAAAGTCTCCGTAACTTCAGAGGGCAGCTTTCAGCTCTATTGATTAAAAAATAACGAAGCTCGTAACAACCTTATCAAAATATTGACCCCATTTGACGACTCTAACTATGCCCACCACGAAAAGGTCACCATTCACACAGAAGCAGCACACTTCTGGTTGCCTTACGACAAGGACACTTTTGCAGCCCTGTCAACAGTTTTACACAGCAGCTGAGACCTCAGACAGTTTTAGTGTTGATGGATGATTTTAATTGTGCCCTTTGGTGTTTCACAGCAAAAAAGGGAAGATTTAGGGAGTTATCAGGTTTATTTAATGCCAACAACCCACTATAAACACACCAAAAGGTTGTTTTTTATTATTCTGTACACAACTACAATATATATGTATAGTCCCTGTATAATATCCTGTCAATGCTCAAGTTTGATGGTGTTGTATGGGTCAGTTTATGTAGACTACATTGATATAGATTTGTCTCTGGAAACAGAAGCTATTCTTGGTATTTTCAGTGAAGCCAGCTGTATGTGCAACCTCCAGCTTAAGATTTCTTCCTCAATGTGCAGTATTGTGTGACCGGATAGACAGCAAAGTGGAGTTTTCGATATATCTGCAGATGACACCATCATTTTTTTGTATGATACTTTCCAAGGAGTGGCTCTCACTTGTCTGTCTGTGGTGGGTCTTAGTTTCACTGTAAACCTTTGCTCAAATATTGTTCTGCTCTGAACACAGCACTTGATCCAACCACGTCACCATCACTATCTGCAGGGAGTCCCACCAGAGAGGGAAAAAAATGTAATGTTCACTTTTGATTGATGACACTTCATTGTTAAATGAATGTTGTCATCCCTTAATTTTGAAATGTATCTATCTTGTGTTAAGATTGCTTCATTTCCTGCATTGTCAAACTATGTTTTTATTTTGAAGTAAACTACATCAGGTAGATCGTAAGTTAGAGAACTAAATAAAAACATTAAAAGAAGAGATAAAGTGTAAATGTTCAGTTGATTAGTAACTTAGAAAGGCACAAGTTATCATCAATTATGGTTTATTTTAACAGCCCTTACATAGATAGAAACCGGGGTTGTATTCTGCCTGCTTTTACTCTCCATAGAGGCTGTTTTTCTTGCATACTAAAGCTGCGTTTGGTCTGTAGGACTTGGACTTCCATCATACTACATATAGAAAAGAGAGTAATTTTGGTTTTATAATCCAGACCCTGATAGTGCAGAGAGTGAATTTTTGTGTAAGGTTTATAAATAGAGGTTTTATGATAGTGTAAGAGTGCAGACAAGGAGGTAGATCAACAAATCTTATAGTTGTTAAATAAAAAGAGAATTTTGGAGATAAGGCCAAATCCAGGATGTTTCATGTATACACGGATCAGTTGTAGTTATATAAGGTTTGCTGTCACATTTAGCTCCTTTGGCACTATTTTCATGCACTACTACAGATTTAGTGCATGATATTCATCCGTGATGTATCACAGCTTCCCTCATTCATAGCCCGGACGCCCACCGTGTTGTTGTCTCATTATTCTCGGTTTTGTAACAAGCCAGTGTTGAGGACAGCCTTTTGGTTGTGTCTGTGTTATATATATTACCTGCTATTATTAGCATCAGTGAGGAAAGCGCATGCATATACACACACACATGCACACACACATACACACACAAATATGCTTTCCCAGGTTTAATGGATGAGTCACTTCTCCGCTGAACACCCTCTCATCTCCTGAGCAGGTTTATCCATGACTGTGAAAACGGAGCCAACAGAGCATCTCCCAGTACACTGCCAGTTTACACGGAGGGACGCGGCTTGCAGAGAAACAAGCGCCCCCCCGCTGAGATGCATTGCACGGGGAGGGTTTGATTAAAGGAAACCAGGCATTAGTGCTTGTCTCTTTGTGAATGTTTTTGGTTTGTGTCCCAATAAAGTGTTATTCAACCTGAGCCCCCTCCAGCATATATTCCACTGTAAAGGTCTGCTTTGCTGGCATACATTAACACTCAATCACCTCACTTGTCCCTGCTGCATTTAGGTATCTCGCAACCCACTCAACACTCATCTATGTCGTTTCCCACCTCAAGTTTTTCCCCCTTTCTTTAAATACTCTTCTTTTCGCTGCGTGTTTATTTCTGCTGCTGTAGATGCAGCTGGAAGTGTACCAGAGATGCAGAAAAGAAACAGACTGAGTGAAAGGTTTTTCACGACATGAGCGTGCTCATTAGTGTGTTAGTTTGCATCATAAATCCCAACCTTGTTCGAAGACCACTTACAAGCACATTTTTATGTGTATGACCGATAAACAAATATTCTGGAGTTGGCCAGCTGTAACTCTGCTCCATCCTGGGATTGAAGGGGCTTTCACCATTTGTGGCAGTTTTATAATAACAATTTACTATATCTCTGGCTTCATAGAATAACACAGGTGCGCTGCTGTAAAAACTGAGTCTCCTTTGGGAGAACTGCACTCACCCTTTAACTTTATTTTGGGATATTGTGTCAATAGAGCATAAAAGTTCAACAGAAAATCACAAATTAGCCTCAGCACTGTGTAAAATTGTGTCATTGATGGTAAAAAAGTGCAACAACTTCAATGTTTTTTCAGAATATTTTATCAAAAAAGGCTGAAAGCTTTTATTTTAAGGAGCTCAAGATGCGTTCAGCTCCAAAGCGTGAACAAATAATTGGAATATTTGAATTTGAACTTGAATAGTAATACATTTTATTTGTAGTGCTCTTTACATCCAGAGACCTCAAAGGGCTACATGCTAAAAGCAAAGACATATCACAATAAAGGAATATAAAAACAGGTAAAAACGAGAGAAACGTCTCATTAAAGGCAGAGTTAAAACAAGAGTAAAAGCAACTATTTGCAATGCCTTCATTCTGGTCCGGTTTGTGCTCATTGGGTCCATATCTTTTAATAGCAAATATTAATAAATGAAGAGGCTGTCAACCTTTATTTGAGTATTTTTAGCACCCCTCTGTGTTAAATAATTTGTTCTGATTGGTCAAAAACTCAACAAAAGATGAATTCTTAGTGGCAAAAGTGGCATCAGGAACAAGATGATCACACATGATATAGCAGAAAAGCTCAACCTGTTGGAATTCTAATCCACACACCCACCTGCTCACTATAAAGTAGGGTGACCATATTCTGACCTCCCAAAAAGAGGACATGGCGAAATCAGTCACACAAAGTTAATTTGGAGAGTTTTTCAAGTCGGATCAAGTGTCTTTTACGTGCTTCTAACTCAGTAAGTCCATGTGACACAAAATCAAAACTCCTGCACAAAACCGCAGACATTTGAAGGATTTTATAAACTTCCCCGGACAAAGCCAGACAAGCCCGGACAGCCCAGGACATGTCCGGGTAAAAGAAGACGTTTGGGCACCCAACCATAAAGCATCCTTTACATGATGCTGACATTACTTTGTTTAATAATTCTTTGCTTTCAAATAGTCCATGGACTTGTACTTACACAGTGCTGTCTCTAGTCTTCTGACCACCCAAAAAGCTTTTACACCATGCATCACAAAAACTAAATCAGGTCCACATTCGTACAAACTGTTCATGCAGACTGTTGTTAATTATGTAACCGTCATTTGTGTAGCTGAATGTCTTTCCCTAATGATGTAAAAAAAAGTTTGTAAGCTCTTCTGAGATGTTGTCATATCTTAACCGTCTTATTCAGAAGGACAACTGTGGTTTTCAAGCACAGCACAGCTACAGAGGTCATAGAGTACTATATCCACTCATTAGAAACCGTCACACTCCATATATCTTGCAGCTTGTGATGCAGAAGACCAGAGACCAGACCTGGCATGGGTGTTTTCAGAGTGACTCATTCATGCCCTACTTCTAGCTCCGAGTCTGAGTCACTGTTAGGAAACACACTTTTGGAATTTTGGCAGACATTTTGGAAAGCGTACAGAGCTCAGATCCTTTGAGGGAAACTTCACCCCTGAAGAGAAATTTTACACATCCAGAGAAGCTGGAAGAAGTCTATGGAGAAAAAAGGTGGCAAATTATAGAAAGTGGTACAGTCTGAATAGCTCCAATCTGAATCATAGTAAGTCTGACGTGCTGTAACACACTGCCCTTTTACAACAATAATAGCTTTTTCACAGGATGACCGAGCTATTCATACTCGCTATGACTAACAGAAAAATCCTCCTGTCTTCTGAGCTGCTATTTCAGGTGAGACTGCCGCTCTGTTGTTTCCCTCAAACCACATCCTACTCCACCAGCGCACTTTTCTTTTTGAAGTGTATTGAGTCACTGACTCTCCTGACAAATACAAGCTGAAACCTTACTCATGTCTCTAAAAGCTTTCTCTTCCACGCTGGTGCTTTTAGAGGCTACCAAACAGCAGCTGAGCTGACCGGTGATCGCTTTCTCTCCTTTTCCCCTCATCTCTCCACTCACCATACACCCTCTTTGCCTTATTTCCTCCATCTCGCTGACATCTTGATTTTCCCTTTCCTCCATCTCTTACCTCTTCATCTCACTCTTTTGTTACTCTCACTATCAGGCAAAGCGTCTATCATGTTTTCTTAATCTCGCCCACCGACTCCTTCATGCTCAATGTGCTATTCTTAGCCAGACAGATTGCTGGAGCATTCATCTATGATCTGTCTTTCTTCGTGTCGATAAACCTGCTTCTGTGTGCGCTTTAGTATGTGTGTGTTCATAGCCAGATTCTGCATGTAAAACAATTGCCTCCTCACAAAGATTGAACTAGCATCAGCTGAAAGACCTTTCTCTGTGAAGTAACGGTTTAAATCCCAGGGAATTTGCATGCTTGTTGTCTTTCAAAGGATTTTCATGAAAGCATGTAAATATGTACATACTTTACTTAGCATGAAGCTTGGCAGCGGTTGGAGGACAGCAAGCTCAGTGATTTATCCGTACATGTATCAGGAGTTGTAAACAGTGATTCTGTGAGAATGAGTTAATTGCAGGACTATCAAAGAATGAGACATTACACCGTCTAAAAAAAAAAAAGAAAATAAAATTTAAAAGGAATTAAAAGTTAAAGTGCTGGAAATATATCATTGGCACTACTAATAGGAGTTGGTTTGTTTACACACACAGTCGAGTTAAACTAAAAATCAAAGCTTGATGAGGCAGTTTAAAGGGATATTCTGGCGTAAATTTAAGTCATGGTCAAACACACCACAACACCAAGTTAGACACCCCCTCGAGAGATAAATGTTGCAGACTGCTTGCTTCTCTAGAACAATAGTAATACAGCCATCTATGGAGCCACGCGCACACCTCAACCAAAAAGCCACTCTATAGCCACAAATAATGCTCAGCACAGCACCTAACTTCATCAACAGTACGTATAGGGTCCCAGTCATAGTACTAGCCACCAAAAATTTTTTTAGCTTTGCCTGATTTCTTTAGCAAAGCGACCAAACACAACTCACCCACTCTCCTCCAGCAGCTGCTTGTTTGTAGGCAGAGCTTGGACAAGTCCATCACCGACTGCAGCGGGGTGACGCAGCTCAAGAAAGAACAGTTATGATCATTACTTTATCATTTCCTTGAGGTAATAATCATCAAATTAATCATTTTGCACTGCAGACGCGGTAGCTCTTCTGTCCTAGCGTCTTGGTCTGATTGCATTTCCATGAAGAAATGATCATAAATGTTCTTCCTTGAGCTGCGTCACCCCGCAGCGGTCAGTTTGGACTCATTGGACACAAGCGGCTGCTGGAGGAGAGTGGGTGAGTTGTGTTTCGTCTTTTTGCTAAAGAAATCAGGCAAAGCTAAAAAGATGTTTGGTGGCTTGTGCTATGGCTGTCATCCTATACGTACTGTTGATGAAGTTAGGTGCTGTTCTGAGCATTATTTGTGGCAGTAGAGCGGCTTTTTGGTTGAGGTTTGTGCGTGGCTCCATAGACCAGTGTGTATTGCTATCGTGTGGTCGTTACTAAAGTTGGTATAACTGTTGTCGGCAACATTCATCTTTCGAGGGGGTGTCTCACTCTGTGTTACAGTTTGTTTGACCCTAACTTGGTTTTACGCCAGAATATCCCTTTAACTGGACTTAATGCAGCCCTGAATTTTAGATTGAGTGGGGTTGATGGAAATATTTCAGCTGCCATTTCTTTCCTTACGTCTTGATATGAGGTTTAATTTCTTCTGTATGTTGAGAGCTTGTAACTGATCTGGCAGTGACACTGTAAGGGTAGGAAGTGTCTGATTGAGAAAAGAGTACGAGCACGTATATGTACCCCAGCAGGGCTTCAACAACAGTGTACTGATGAGAAGTGTCTGAGATGAGTCACCATGTTGTGCATGCTGAATGCCTGTGTGTGTGTTAAAAACCTGTAATCAGGGTGTTATTACCACTCCCCCTCTGTATGTAGACAGCTTCAAAGTCACATAACCATCAAGCGTATGTTAATGTGAAAAGTAGGGTATTTAGAAAGCATTTAGTCGATAAGATGAGCACTGATACATACATTTCCTCCTCAGCCATGCTGACGTATGAGCATGCTGATATGAAAATCTGTGTCACTGTCATGTAACAAGGAGGCTGCTGCTGCTGCACTGTGGGGTTGATTGAATAAGAGCTTTCGTTAGGTTCTGGGACCCAAAATGTGATCAGAGAGCACAAAGCTGCCAGATATTTTCCTCTCTACTTAATGTAGGTCAATTTGTCTGGGGAAATTTCTTGATTTACATGTTGTTTCTGTTTCACACAGTGGAAATGTGTCATTGTCTCTGCTAAAATAAGTAGAAAATGAAGGGAAATGGAAATATCTCAGCCTCTGCTGGTAGAATTTCAATTTAGAATAATTACCAGAACTCGTTCGGTATTCTCGTCTCTTTGCTGGGATTTTAAAATGACGTCCAGTGGTTTTATAACATTAATCTTTTTTGGGGGGTTAAAGTAATCTTTCTTCATCTACCTCTGCACACGTTTCTTTCATACAAGCTGCAGAACAGTCTTGCATCCTTCGTTCATCAGCCACACAGTAAAGTAATCAAGGGGAAATTACATCTGAATTAAATTACTCTTTTCCTCTTTGTAATTAATTGTCATTAGAGCAGATCCCGTGTGGCATATTAACTCAGCGACAGACATCCTGTCATACATGAAGGCTGTAGATTTGTAGAAATCATTTCCGAAGAAACATGAAGCTGAGAAAGGCTAATCACTCCACACTGACCGCTCCCTGGCTAACGTCCTTGACTGAGCCGTTAATGTGATTCACACACACTGACAGTACCCACACACGCACACACACACAAAGACAACACAGGGGGATTAGTTTTGTTTAAGTCCAATACATTGTTATTAAAGACAGGCAACACTCAGAACACCAGGCTATACATTTAACTCTCTGCCACATTTTGTTTTTACAAAGACAAATGAGTGGTTAGATTATAGAGGAAAAGGGTTTAACAGTTAGGAAACAGGTAAATCAGTACAGTCAGATACAATTAAACCCCAACCTTAGCTGATGGTGTTCGATGTTTCCCCTTTTTTCAGTCTTAATACTAACCCAAGCCAATTACCTTTCCTCTCCAGCCACATAAGTATTCAAATTCTTAACATTTGCTTTATTGCTACTAATCAAAAACTAAACCTAAACATGCATATCTAAATCTTGATTTTTTTCTTTTGTAACTTAATATTTTCCTAAAAACGCCAGACCGGCCCTTTAAAGGAGATCTAGTATCTTTACATGCAGCTTGAAAAATGATATATTTAGACACAGCTCGTGGGTGTTACTTTTTACACAGCTTCAACTGATGCCTCAACAGAAGATGTCAAAGCTAGCTTCGTGCACTTAGCTCCCCATTCATCCCTGTTAGCATCGGTTTGAGAAGAGAAAATAACTGTGACTGCCCTTCAAATCCTGAATCAACAAAGTGCCGAATGGAGGAAAAGCAAGGTGGTTAAAAGACTTTCCATGGGAGGGAAATCTTAAACAAGCTTCCAGGCAGGAAGCTGCATTGGAGCTGCCAGCTTGGCTTGTCCTTCAACACTGTCTTAATAAGATGGCAAAACCTGACGAAATTCAGGCCAAGCCCCAGAAAAGTATTGAAATGAGCCGTTCAGAGAAGCTGAAAAACAAGTTAGAGGGTTGTGCAACCGTTTCTGCGGCTAATTATTATGATACTTTGCTGAGTTCTGATATGGACATCCAACATGGTGTTACTATATGTTCATACAACAATGCAGATCAGCATAATAGGTCTCCTTAAACACTTAAAAAATAGGATTTACAATATAGAACTTTGTAGATGTGGTGTGGCAATCTTTGAGGTCAGTTTTTGACAATTAAGCCCCACCATTATCAAGCCAGTAAGAAAAGCACCAACATTAAACTAGAAATCAATTTATGTGTCATTTTAGGCAACAAACTAGGTTTTAAAATTTGTAGAAAATTAAGTTTCATGTGGGGTCCCTTCACTAAAAGTAAAACAAAGGTTCACAATATTAGTTTTATAGTTTGACAAAAAAAAAAAGTTCAGTCCTGATAATAAAGCCTCTGATTTTTTTTATAGTTATATTGACAGTTTATTTGTGTGTTGAAATAGTAATTAAGCTTGAAAGCTTAATTATGTCTTCAATTATGTCCTCTTCATAAATGCGTTCACATTTGTCTAAATATGGTCCTCATTATCAAACTTTCTTTTAAGTGAAATTGTTGAAAATTACATAATGATTCCTACGTCAGTGACATTCTGCTGTACAGTGTTGATGTATCTATTCTGTTAACCCCCAGATCTTATGTAACATTAAGATGCAGGAATATGTCTCCAAATTGCAGATTCTAAATATAAAAATCCTCCTGTTACCTAATCTTTCACCTTGAATCCGCCGTTTGTCCAAATTTAGCAGGGGTCTGGTCTGGTAAAGACACCACAACAAAGCCTTCATCTCCAACACTGGTGCTTGGTTACTGTTGCTATGCATGGCGGATCGTTGCCGTCACCGGTGCATCCAATAGGCATGTCGGGGCAGCCGGGGAGTCTAAAAACAGCTTCCTATATTACAGCATATAATGAGAAAGGCTTCATCAGGGCTCTTTCCAAATGTCAGAGCCGCTTTAATGATCTACCAAGCGCACACACACACGCACACACAGAGGAGATAGATCATGTGTAAGTGCGCATGCAGTCACACTGTGTGGCTCTTTTCTGCATTGCTGGCGTTTCCAGTAATCCCACCTTTCTTTCTTTCCCTCTCTGCTATTAATTCTCCCCTCTGAAGCTTTTAATTCTCTCTATCCCTTTCACTTCTGTCTTTCTCTCATCCTAATCTTCTTCCCTGTAACTTAAACTTGCTTTATCCTGATTATCACTCCTGGCTTGCACAAGTAGCTTCAGTGAACACCTTGGTTTTTATACAAACACAAAACACAAAGAAAGTTTGGCGTGTGAGTATGCTCCACGGGATGCAGACTTTTGCATTGGAGTCTTCGGGGACGAGGCATTACTCATCGCAGTGAAGCCAACAGGAGACGCTTCTAACAGCCCTGTAGCACACAAAGACCAAGAAACCCTCTACTCGAGCAGGAAAGCACAACAGCTTATGTAATGTTGTTTTTTTAGCAGCTCAAACAGCATACCCTGCATGTCAGACCACCTCTAATGACATCCTCCAGGGTGTGTGCGCATTTGATGTTTAACACTGAATAAAAAGTTAGTTCAGCAGAAGGGGGTGATATGCTGAATAAATGAATTTGAATGAAGAGGGTTAAGACGGCATGAGCCGAAAGATAAAGATGGACAGAGGTCAAGGAAAGAGAGAAAATCAAGTGCAAGCAATCTGGAATGCAACAAGGAGTTTTATGTGTGTTGTAAAAGAAGGAAGCAAAGGTGAGGAAACAAAGAAGGAGAGATAAATTTCATGCAAAAAAAAACAAAGAGATGACAGGGAGGTAGGATTTCAACTCTAAAGAGGATAAAAGAAGAAGAATAAGTGGCTTTTGAGACCCGTAGAGAGGACAATACGGAGGAAGAAACACACACAGAGGCGAAACGCGCCGGCCTGGGCTCTTGGTGCAATGCAGACGGCATTGCCATGGAAACGGATGGAGGGAAAGCGCAGACGAGGAGGAGGAGGAGGGGATTAAAGAGGAAGGAAGAGATCACTGGAGGAGGGGGCCTGTTTGGATGAGAGGGGAGGGGCTGGCTGAAAAATGAGTTACAAGTGTGGATGTGAAGTTAAATAGGCAGGTAGTTGACGCTTCAAAGATGGGTTTACAGTGAAGATGAGCCACTCCAGTGTGTTGCTTTGGTACTTTGAACCTTAGATTACCATTAGATCACCAAATTCTCTTAAGGTTTTATATCTCTTCTCTAACTTTACTTTTTTTGTATCCTGTTTGATTACTTATTCAACTGTCTGCTTGATATTAATACTTCTTTGAGTTCCTCTCATTTATAATTAATCATAGCCTATACGTTTCTGTTAATTTATTCAATTTATGTGCAAGCTGCTCCAAACTAGCTGCCTCTAGAGGGATAAATGAAGTAAATAGATAGTTTCTTAAAGGTTCAAAGATGGGTTTAAAGCAAAGAAGTGCCATTTTTGTGCTTTAACAGGGTATTTTAACTGTGGAACCATCATTAAAGCAGCTAATCAAGCAAAATGTGGACGTGAACTTCTCTTTTAAAGAGTTCAGGGGACTTCAGCAGTGACTGTTTCAGCCCAAAGTGAAATGTTGCCTCTATAGATCAATTAAAACAAGTGATGGGGATGAGCTTGTCGCCATGGCGCCACTTGTCTCAGGTGGCATTGTCTGGGTCCAGATCTGAGGGCGGGGGTTGTCATGGCAGCAGGGGTGCATGGAGTTTGTCTGGGTGTCATATGCTGCAAACACACACAACACATCACACCACACACTCATTCACTCTCTCTCTCTCTACACACACACACACACACACACACACACACACACACACACACACACACACACACACACACACACACACACACTGTCTGTTAGAAATAGTCTTGACTGCAGGATTAAAAATAGAAAGCAGCAGAAGGCAGCACCCCTCTCCTCATTTCCAGCACCCATGGGACCCCATCATTCTCATGTTCCTCTTCACCCATTTCTCCCTAACAATTTTCTTCTCTCCTCCCCTCATCCTTCCCTCTTGCACCCTCTCCCTTTAGATAAAGTAGACCAGATCTTTCTCTTACACTCCACTCCTCTCTTTATCTTCATTTACACCATATTCACGCCAGAGTGTGAAATAAAAGCAAACACACACTCATGAGTTAGTTTCATTTACTTTTGCTATTTCAGTTTTTTTGTAAGATTCTGACATAATAAATGATACATGAATAAATAGATCAAAATAAGTTATTAAATAAAATAAATAAAAACAAATATGAATATGTAAATGAATATAAAAACACAACTGAAAAATAGACAAAAATAAATTAATGAACAAGTTAAAATTGAATTTAACAAGTAAAAAAATTGAAAATATGAAAATAGATCAAATAAAAAACTAAATTAGTTAATTAAATTAATATCAGGTTGGTTAGTGGGTGGTGTTTCATTTAAATTCTGTTATGATATATAGAATAATGCAGTTCAATATAACCTCTGACATATATATCCCTTTCTGCAATATTTTTCTATAGACATTATTAAATGAAATATTTATTTAGGTTCAGTAATTTTGTTTCTCATTTATTTGTATCATTAAACTATCATATTTTTCTCATATGCATAAAACATCAGTGTGCTCTTGGTATTATGTATTAGCTATCAGCCTACCTCCTTTCTCATTCACATTTACCATCTTGTTTAATTTATGATTTCTTCTGCCTTACTTTACTTTTTTAGATAAACTTGTTTAAGAACTAAGTCGATATAAACCGTGTTTTTCAGGAATGAGAGGTGTGCTAAATTTGACTTCCTCGACACTCGAGTTGACTCTGCTCTCCGACTCGACTTCCTCTTGTTAAATCTCCTCCTTGTTTGGTCTTTGTTTATCATCATAGCAGTGGCGGTGATGTGAGGTGTCTTTAGTTGTCATGGTGATGGGATTAGCTGTGGGAAGGATGCTTAATGAGCTTTGAGTTGCTCAGGCTAATGAAGTGGGACGGCTGTACCTGGTTGTGAGCTCAACTGGCAGCAAACAATAGACTGCTTGTTAAAAGTCTCATTTGGTGACTTCATTGCATCGCTCAACCATCTAAATTCCTGTAGAGGAGAGGTGAACAAGATTCTACAGAAACTGCACCCGCAGTCTTAATGAGCTTCATAGATGCAGCACGAAAGAAGAGCTTATCTTTTTTTTTCTCTGTTTGTTGGAGGGATTTGCCTTCAAACGAAACCTACCAGACACATCTATAAACAAGTAAAGACATTTGAAATATGTTAACACGTTAGTCTGACTCAAATTGCACTGACTCAAACTTCACATTGTTGGAAAACATACTTATATAATACATTGATCCTAACCTTAACCTGAACTGAGCAGCTGACTTGAACCAAACTCTCTGAAAAATGTAAAATAACTTATTTCACTAAAGAACTACGACTGCCAGGGATACTGAAATGTAAAACACTGGAGACATCAGCAGGCTCAGCATCTAAAGCCAAATCCTAAACTGAAATAAATTCATCTTGATAGAAAGTATGAGGTGCTTTAACAGACACACCATAAATCTTAAATTAATAAAACTTACAGCCTTGAAGAAAGTAAGTCATAGTGTAACTTCTAACCCTGATCATGTAGTAAGTAAAATGGTGTGAATATTATCCTCTGCAGCAGTTTAAAAATAAAAATAAAGACAGCATACAATGTCCTTGTCAAAGTAGAGTCACAAAATTTCATCTTAGATTTTTGCAGAGGGCTTCACAGAGCGAGCTTCACCGACACAGCCTCTCACAGCAGCAGCAGCAGCTCTCACATCGCTCCTTCCGCCTGACTGAAGCGTCACCCTGAAGCGCAGACTGCTCACGTGCAGACGCGGTGTGTGTGAGTGTGTGTGAGTGTAAATGTTGCACAAAGGTGTGAATGTACAGACACTAGTGCTGTCTACTGTCAGCATGACATTTGTGTATGAACGTGCGCACGTGTCTCTGTGAGTTGTTGTGTTGTTTTTTTAATATCGCCTTGCTGTTTACACTTGCAGACCAATATGGGGCTGAAGTGTCTCTTTGTAGCTCTGTATCTTGCATCTCATTTGCACCTTATTCTCTTTCATTGAGTCTTTAATGTTTTTGAATTATTTACAGATAACCCAGGTGTATATACATTCATTACTGATCTTTCTGTCAGAAATGGACCCATGTGAGGATTGAAGATAATATAGTTTTGATTCCACATGTGCTGACTACATTTCAAGAGTTCAAGAGTGTTTTGAAAAGCCTACATTACCTCTTCGAACCCTGAACTCGAGGTCATGCTGCACAGTGAGGCAAAGGCAAGAGTGGATAAGGACATAGTTGTGTCGCAAACCCACACAAGCGTTAAACCTCACACGTCGCATCCTGAACGCACACTACTTTGATAGTTCCCCGCTAACTCGGAACTCAGAGTGTTGAGTCGCGCAGAGATTCAGAGTGTCATTACAGGGGGATGATGCCCTGAAAGCCTCTTCTGGGCGTTAGCAGCGCTCCTGATCGCTCTCGTTCTCCCGGCATCAACAGAGCAGTAAAGCCACACATCCGAACACACACACACACACACAAACACCCTCCTCCCTCTCTCTCTAACAGCTCTGCATCCTTACTGTCTTTCTCCTCAGCCGTTCGCAGCGATCCTCAAGTTGCCAATTTGTTCAGTTTCTACTTCACAAGTCAGGCTCAGTCGTCCCCCTCTCTAAGCTTATTGCCCCCTGCTCACCACAGCCTTTAAAAATGGGGCTTTATGTGTTCAAAATGGCCCGTAGTAAAACCTGCAAGCGGAGAGATTTCACTGCAATAGTGCAGGGACGTCCCAGTGGAAATTAGGTGAGATTGCCTTCTTGCCTGAGTGAACCTGCTTCAAAATAAATAGTGATGTGCTGTGCTCTCTCAAAGTCAACCTAAATAGTTTCACATTCTAGTGAGGATGTTTTAAAAAAGCATTGTGGGTATTTCTTGAACAAGCAGCCTCCCGAACTTTGACAGATACATCCATCCTCTGTCTCAGGCATTTTAAAAACACACTTTGGAAACTAAGAAAGCATTCTGCGCTCAGAGGGGGAACTTCTAATCCTTGCCTAAGGAAACATCTACTTTTGCAGAACAGTAGACGTCAAAGTTTAGATTTTTTTTCTTTGCGTGCAGACGGCACGTCCCTATAAAAGGCTTATCAAGCAGGTACAGATCCTGTGTAATACCTGACTTCCTTATCAGAAAGCGCCCTCTGATTATTATGCTTAGTGGATTATCCAGCTGAAATAAGGGCACTTAGAGACAGAGCCGTGACCTCCCTCTGTGTTTTCCAGATGGCGGGACGAAGAAGCTCCGCAGCACCATCCGGAGGAGCACGGAGACCGGCATCGCCGTGGAGATGAGGAACAGAGTGACACGGCAGGGCAGCAAAGACTCAACTGATGGCAGCACCAACTCCAACAGCTCTGATGGAACGTGAGTCTCTAGCTGCTAATAGTCTCATCCACGCATCCATATTCTACATGATTCTATCTATTCATTATATTTCTGTCTTCTCTGTTAGGTTTGTCTTCCCTACCACACGCCTCGGGCCTGAGAGCCAGTTCAGTGACTTCCTGGACGGATTAGGCCCTGCTCAGATTGTAGGCCGGCAAACGCTAGCTACACCCCCCATGGGTAAGTCTGAATGGAGGACATCACAGACAGATTGTTATCTCTTTCGATCCGTCTCATTCTCACCTGGTATTGATTGTTCATTCTGAGATTTCCAGAGATACTTTTGGGAGCAGGATTTATAGTTGCTAAACATCCCAAAAAAAAGCCACTCACTTTAAAGCTCTCTATAGTGGATTATTTAGAAATAAAGCTGATAAAAGCTGAAGTGTAAAAATATTTAGTTCCTAGTGTAATGTCAGAAAAGAGAATGAAATTCCCATCCAAAAACCAATGTCTAAATACCAACAAACAAACAAACCATTGGGGGCATTGAAGAAGCTAAAAATATAGCAAAGGAGCGTATTCACTCAGCAGGGGAGATGTAATTCTTGCATGAGGTATGAATCTTTCATGGAAAGGTCATTGCTTGTGCAGAACAGCAGAGCAGAGCAGAGCTTCAACAAAACCTGCATGGTGGTGAAGACAGACTCACAGCTCTCTGTCGCCCTCTGCAGTAAGATATCAGCCATTGCAACTAAAGCTTACAGAGAAATCCTGGGCTGCCTCTTCATTTATTTTCCTCCCTCATCTGAGTTGTTTCTCACATTTGAGAGCTTAAAGAGATGCTTGCGTATGTGCCAGCTGAGAAATCTTCCCTTCTGCAGGTACAAAAGATCTCTGCAGATGATAGACTAGCTCACCTTGCTCTGAGCTCCTTCAGAGGTCTCCACTCTTCTTCACTCTTGTATCCTCCAAGTAGATTTAACAGACTGGAACACTACTATGGATGAAGTTAATGATCAAAGAAGCAGTCCCAGTCTACTGAGCATTACTTATTGAACAGTTTGCTTCTGTTTTCAGAGATTTGTCTTGGTTTCATTGACTTTGTATGTGTTCATTTCTGCTCACAGGGGATGTCCATGTCGGCATGGTGGACAGAGGAGGTCAGCTGGAGGTGGAGGTCAACCAGGCCAGAGGATTGACTGCCAAACCGGGCTCCAAGAACATACCAGGTGCTGCTTTGTTTATATACAGTATGGAAGGTTTATTTGTTTACCTCTACAATGAGTTTCAATGAGATGCATTTTGTTGTTTTGTCTCCAGCGACCTACGTGAAGGTGTATGTGCTGGAGAACGGCGTGTGCTTGGCCAAGAAGAAAACCAAAGTAGTAAAGAAGAATCTGGACCCCACCTACCAGCAGGCTCTGTTGTTTGATGAGAGTCCTCAGGGCAAAGTCCTACAGGTATGCTGTCTTTCTATTATAACACAGTTTAGAGTTTTTATTCCAAGTATAAATTTGGTGTCTCGTAAAACAAAAAAAACATATAAAGCACATCTTTACTGCCTAGGATTTCAGTTGCCAGATGGCTCTTAATGACCTCCGAAAGCAAATGTGACAAAAAGAGCTGTTCCTATTCAGTCATTATTGATGCCTTACTTAACTGATGCTTTTTATATGCAAAGATGCAGCAAAGATTCTCTTAGTGTTATGTTTGACTGTGAGCATAAAGCATGATGAATTTATTTTTGTATATAGGTAATTTGAAGAGTTATTACCTGGTTAATGAAAGTTAAGGTATCATTTTATTTGACGCCTTTCTCTATAACACATTGTAAATATACGTATAATGCGTTATAATCACATTATAAACACTTATAAATGATCATAATGCTGTACATAACACATTATAAAGTATTTTATCATGACTTACAAGGTCAGGTATTATAATGTGTCATAACTGTTAACAACAGTTGTATTGCATTATCTATGTGGGCATTGTCAGTGAGTTGTTAACAGTTTTAACACATTATAATTCATGACCTTGTAAGTCATGATAAAATGTTTTATAATGTTTTATTTATGAGTGTTTATAAATATAGTTACACAGTGCTACAACGTCATTATAACACATTATACATATATTTATCGTGCGCTATAGAATCAAAGTCAAATAAACTGTTACCAAAATAAAATTAATATTGATTGAAATAAGTTATGTACATTACATATAATTTTTAAAAATAGCAAAAACAGTTTGATAAATGACAGGAACAGAAATAAGCAAATCTCAGCTTGTTTGTTGAAGCATGTATCTATAACATAAAAAACATATTGCTAAAAGCACAAGCCCCGCCCACTTCAAACCAGAAAAAAAAATACAGAAATATGCAAAAGGTTTTATAACGTGTAACTCAATATCTCCATTCTTGTAGGTAATAGTGTGGGGGGATTACGGGCGTATGGACCACAAGTGCTTCATGGGAATGGCCCAGATCCTCCTGGAGGACTTGGACCTGTCTGCCACAGTCAGCGGCTGGTACAAGCTGTTCCCTACCTCTTCTCTGGCAGACCCCAGCATCGGACCCCTTACCAGACGCCTCTCCCAGTCCTCCCTGGAGAGTGCCACCAGCCCCTCGTGCACCTAGACACCCAGTAGACACCCGTATGCAGGGGTGTAGGCAGAGTCATGCAGACATGGACACACGTACTGTAAATACACAACGACTGTATTTGAAGTGCAGGACAGGTAGGCATATACATAGAAACATACCCCCATCTCTGCAGGACCACACATTTCAAACTACTTTACTGGACATTTCTCACATATTCTCACCCGCAGATTAGTGGTTTCAGTTTAGAGCGAATCAAACTTGAAGTAGACATAATTTACCAGAACATGTAGCATTTTTCACCCTCTCATTTGATCATTTACTGCCATAAATCAGCATTCATCCAGGTGCCGTAGTCAGCATCTGAAGGCACCCGGGTTTCTGTCACACGACTTATCACAGGGCCATCCTGATGCCAGTTTCTAAACTCTCTATGCCAAACTAAGAAAAAACTTTATTTTTTAAAACCAAAGCAATTGTTATTGTTGTTATTCTAACTATAAGTAGTAAGTGAAGTAGTATACAATATAAAGTATGGATATGTAGCAGAGTCAATGACTTAGATGTAATGCAAAAAAAGAAGATACATTCTACACACATGAGATGAGAGCGGTAGGTCAAACACATAAACACACCTGGGCAACAGGCTTGGATATTCACATAATGGCTATTATGTGAGGTAGCAACACTGCTATTCTATAATTTCCACAGGGCAGAGTTTATATATAGATATACATAAATATATATAAATAGATAGTTAAAAACTTATTTGTGTTTATGTATGTATCGGCTGCATTCTGCATGTTTGCTTGCAACCCTTGTAGAGACATTTAAAAGTGCTTCAATCTTTTGATTTAGCTTGCCTTGACTGGAGTAAGAGGAGCATAGTGCCACTTTATTTTTGAGGAAAGAGCTTTGACCGCAGTGAGGGAGAAGGATGGGGGGCTTTAATGACAGTGGGAGCGCTATCATCTCCATCCGCAGAAGAAGAAAGCAGATCAGTCAGCAGGTTTACCATGTGCTGAATAACACAGAACAGATTCTGCTTTTATTCTTCGATCATAAAGAACTGTTTAAACACACAAAGGAGGTCTAAGAGAGTGAGTCCAGCTCTCGTCTGGGATTCTTGTTTTCTACATCCAGGGGGGCCACAGTCCCTTTCTCTCTCTCTCTCTTCTCTCTCTCTCTCTGTATACCAGCACTTAGACTTGACTAAGGTTTCTGTTGAGTCCCACGCTGATGTCTCTTTTCTTTTTCCTCCTATTTTATGAATCGGGTTGGTAATGCTGCAGGCAAACACAACTACAACCTTTAATCCTCCTGCTTTTCCTTTGTCGCTCTTTTCTTGCCACACTGACTGTAACTAAACCCTGATGTAAACGGGTGAACATGTATTTGATCGTAGACTAGTTTTCTTTCTTAATATCTAACTATAAACTTAAGTGTTACGTTGCTGGCAGGCTGATTGATAATTTAGGTGCAATATGTCACTCTTTTTATTCCCTGTCTGGCAGTATTAAGATGGCACTTTACAGTGATATACAGTATGTATTATGTCTAAATGTTAAAAACCTGCAGTGTCTGACCACCTCTTCTTCTTTTATTTATTGTTTTTTCACTGGTCACACTGCAGTGTTTACCTCTGAATCTCTATAGTGCCAGCATGAAAATGTAACATGAGTGTATTTTTGAATCAAAGTGTCAAGGCCCACTTCAACAACTGATAAAGGTCAGTTTTACTGTAGATTATGAACGGAAATCAGAACAAACTGAAACTATCCATCAATATATGATTTTTTGGGTCTTTAAAGCTCCTGTAAGGAATTTGTGATATTAATTTTTGATGTTGAAACAGACTAAAACAAACAGTGATGCTTTTACATGATGAAAACCTACAAATAAGACCACAGATGACAAGATATAAGAGTTTGTATATTATAGTTCTTAATGCTTGTGACTGCTGTGAGGGGGTAGAAACAGCCTTCGTTTAGTATTCATTATGATGAGACACAAGAAGGAGATTTTTGAAAACGGCCTCTTATGATACATTAAAAGCACATTTTTACGAAGACACATAAATGCATCTATAAGGCTTTATAACAACCCATATAGGTGATATAGGCATTCATTACAGCTCACAGTGATGTTAAAGAGGTGTGTAAAGTAATGGGCAGAATGCCTTATAAGGATTTGGTAAAAAATGTGTTATACCTGAATACAAAATAAACCATGCCTTTATAAGACATTATTATCACTGCTTATAACACTGATTTAGGCTCTAATGGCTGTTTATAATCACCTGTATGGGTTGTTGTAAAGCTTTAGAGATGCATGTTTAAGGCTTTATGCATGTGCTTCTGATGTTTCATTAAAGATGGGTTCATAGAAAGGGTTACCAACTTTTTTGTCAACTAACACCACTTTTACATGGAAGAGACAAAATAAGCGATGAGTTAGCACTTTGTCCACAGGGGGCGCCAAAGTCAACAGAGTTAAAAAAATTCCCCACAGGAGCTTTAAGGGTGTCTCAAGAAAACAACCTTTTCTTTTGTGTGATCTGAAGGAAAAGGTCAAATAAAACCATTTTAAAAATTATTATATAAAAGGTAAGACTGACCTGTCAGCTTTTCAAGTGTAGCTTTTCAAATGTGCAATGGCTGAGTATTGATTGAAAGGGCCACCTGTGTTTAGTGTTTTAAGATGAATATTTCTTGTTTGACTCTGTCTGTCTTAAGACTGAAACCCAAACTTCTCAATGGGTAAAAAGGCTAAAGATAGTCATTTAAAAAAACAGTAGAAAAAGGAGACATGAGCGTCTCAAACTGAAGGCTGTTAAAGCTTGTGCATTTTACAAGCTCATATCTAGTTTTATTACCACCATATGTCCCGCCATCCGTCAAGTACTGTCCGTGTTGCTCATTTCCTCTTCTTTCCGCAAAAAGAGAAACATTTTGTCTTTGCTGCACCTAAGACCAACAGAGTTCACTCTTCAGCGCTCTTTGAACTTCGTATAAAGGGATCCCTGACATTCTTGAATTTCTGGGAGGAGGGTGATGATTATTTTTTTAAACCTCCCCTCTTGTATAGAAAACAACCCTTTTCAAAGCATTGGTTCCTGTTTCTTTTTACTTTCTGGAGCTATTCCTTGCTGGATCTGTAACTGTATGGTCATGTATATGAAGTAATTTTAAGTACTTAATTGATTTGTATCTATTTTTGTGGACAGCTGGCATGATGTAAAAATAAGGACTTATACTCTCGATATTTGCACACATTCTCTTCAGTGATCGCCTTTTGTGAAGACAAAAAAAACTTTGGTTTAAGAGAGAGAAAAGAAATGGAAGGAGCATTGAACTTAAAAATAAAAAATAGAGAAAAGGTTACCTGCGGACATGGTCGGACTTACATGACATCCATGCTGAATGTTCTTGGTAACTCGCTAAAAAAACAGTCATCATGTAAAAAAATGCTCCATGTTATATCTTATATTTTGGAGCTTATATAGAGCTGAATGCATCCTTTTACTGTGTACAGAGTTACCCAAAACATCAACAGTGAGCTGGAAGTAAGAGACGATGCAAAAGGATGTAGAATAAAGCTGAAGGACATTTTTGTGGAAAGTAGAAGGCATTTGCCAAATTATAACTCCTGCAACCAAAAGAAGTTTTATCAATCATTATTATATACTGTCTTACTTTAGAGTGTTGTTTGGATGTGTGTCATTTCATGAGGTGCATTTATTGTACCGCAAAAAGCAAAAGAAAGAGTGTCAGGGCACAGAGAAAGAGATTGAAATATGTAGATATTTGTTATAAAGCGTTGAAGAAAATTGAAGGATCGAGGGTTTTAGGAACATTTATAGCTTATTATCTCATTGTAGCATTTACCTTAGATTTAGATTAATACGGATTTATCACAAGATTAAGAAGCTTTGTCTCATATGGCTATTTTATTTATTTCAATGCAGACTTGTAACAGTTTAAAGTGAGTAAAAAAAAGTGGGTTTAACTTTGGCACAGTGAATTGCAGCAAGACTTAATAGTTAGCTGAGTGATACCCAATAAGAAGGTAGCAACATAGCTGTATTTAAAATGTTGATTGAAGACACTTTGGGGTAATTGATTGAAAACTCTGAAACCCCTTTAGTCTCATAAACTCTTATCTTGGAACAAATTACTAGAATAGCCTATTCTGTGGATAAAGTAATTAATTTGCATGCACAAGAAAGTTATCTTGTGATGTTTAAATTGTACTTTTAGGATTGTTACCTTGTAGGAATAAGCAACCATCCTGCTGGAAAACAGGAATCACCACGTTATGAGACTTTAAGGGTTCTGTAGAAAACAGCACGCAGCTCCTAGAGCTTGTTTAACAGCGATATATAGGCTTAAGTTAAACAGTAACGTAGTTGGTGTTTCAGTGTAAAGACTGTGAACGCTTGGGAATGTAAACCCATTTGCCTGCTTGCTTCCCTGTAAAATCCACCCCAAGCATCCTCCAACTGGTCGTGCGCAAAACTTTTGTAATGTATCTTCAATCAAAATGAGTCGTTTCTCGGTACGCTTTGTTGAAAATGTATTTTATTTTTGTAAGGTGAGAGGTGTTACTCAGAGGAGCGGGGATGAGGACAGAGAGGCGGGGTTGTGTACGAAACCCGCCTTGAGATTTTGGCGAAAAAATGAGGGCTTGTTCAGTTTCCAATGGCCTTATTTTGTGTAGGAGACATTGCTTCACTATTGTAGCACACAACTGAAAGTTTTGACAAATGTATTTTGCTTGAAATATTGTACTGAAGTTCTATCTGTGTATATGTATAGTTTTATGAATGTATTTCTTAATCCTTCCACCAGAACTGAGTGTACATTTTTTTGTCATCTTGTTTGCTACATCGTCTCTTTGAAGACTTTCCAGGGACCCTTGCCTGCGTTAGCTCAGGCAGCCCCCCTTTCTTTGACCGTACTGTATACTGTATGTCTTATTCTTTGTGTGTTCGTTTAAAAGAACAGCTCTGTGGTTGATACACGCATGAATTCTTGTCTGGCGAAATGCATTTTTATTTATTTCGACCACCATGATGGTTTATAAATAGAAAGAATTGCTATCCCCTCCCTCCCTGCACAGATTTAACTTGTACTAATCTGATGGAGGTATTTTGATTTTTTGTATTTTGATCTAGCCAATGTTTGCAGCATGGTTACTTTAATGATTTCCTTGTATTTAATCTTTAAGATGGAATGATTACAATGAGAAAACCCATATTTACACGAGATAAGAGAGTCAATCAAACCCAGTAGAAAAAGGAAGCAAAATGTCAAAAATGCTGTATCTTCAAGTAGCATGAACTCCGCCTTCCACTTTCTGAAATAATTTCTCTGGCAATAACCATCAGCTGTAGCGCCCGTTAATGCTCGGGCTGTCGTTCAGTTTCAATCATAAAGCTGGGTTTGTTAACGATAATGAAAAATGACACGTTAAGTTAAATCTCATTTTCAAGCAGTAGAAGCTACTTAGCATTAACAGAGCATGCACTGCATTGTGATTATCTGCTCTTTTACAACCTCCCAAAGGAGCAACAAGTATTTCTTTTAAAGTTTTTTCTCTTACTTTCCTTTTCTAACCAAGCATGCGGCCCATATATCTGTTTCCCAATGTAGCAGCTGTCAGTAAGAACAAAATCAGACACAATATTCCTGAGCTGAGGGGCCAATTGGAGTTTTAATGCTGCTGAATAAGCCAGTTTGTCTTCATCCACGTCTATAAATGTTTGTAGTCACAGCACAAGATCTCTGAGTAGCCATCCTGTCCTTTTAGCTGTCTGTCAGACTAAACTAAAGCCGCTGTAGCTTCAGTATTAAAAGACAACCCTTATTTTATCAAGCCCAGCTAAGCACAAATTTACAAAACCCACCTGGATATGGATCCTCCAAACGTGTTTAAGCATACCCTAAAGAGGTTTTCATGACGTTCCTAAGCACATGCTCTTCTCGAGACTGAAATCTTGGAAATTAATGTAAAAGAGGCCTGAACACATTTAACCCAGTTGAATTAGTTTGCTGGTGCTGGTAGATGAGTGGTTGTCTTCTCTAAAACCGGCCTTAACCTTTCCACCGAGCAGTGTTCACAAAATACTGATTAAAGGGCAAAGCAGACCATCTTAGTGAGAGGATGTGATTTAAGGCAAAGAGGATACAAAGGGAGCTGTAATTTTATACCTGTGCTTTGTAAATGTTTTCTATGTGCAGTATTTGATAATGTAAAACTGGTATTTTTGTGGTTTGTACGCTGCAGAATTGATTACTTAAGGTGCACGTAGTTTTGTAAGAAAATAGAACCAAACTGAGGAAAAAAAACAAAAAAACAGAACAATTTCGGATTCAGAAGCCTGTATTTGCATGCCCTTTGACATCTGGACGCAAAGTCAATAAAGTTTATTTGAATCACACTCAGTCTTCTGTGTATTAATCCCGTCATTTTATTCATTGTCCTGCCTTCCCCTTTCAAGCACTTTAATTCTCGACCACTTGGGGGCTGTAAATGCAAACACTGAAATATTAAATGAATGATGACATTTAAATTTTGTACATGGGTTGTGTCCTGTCTGCAAGGAAATACCAAACAGCCCCAGAGCTTATTTAAAATCTGATTATGGATGTTAGGAAAATAAATATGAAAGTACAAGACCAAAAAGTCCTTTTTATTTTTCATGTAGTTCATTAAAGTTCATGTACAAACCCAAGTCAAAAAGTGTTGGACCACTGTGAGAACAGTGATTGATAAGTAATTTTCAAGTAATTAAAACCCCCTATTTGATTAGAAATAATGCAAAGATATTAGATGTTAAAAATCAAATTTCAAAATTGTGTAACAGTTTGCTCTTTTAATTTAAGGCTAGTCACACACGTCAAAATTTTGGGACAGAGATGAAAAAATTCTCCAAAAAATAAATAAATAAATTTTGTGTAAGCAACATACTTACAGCACATCTCTCTATTACATTAACTTGTCACAGGTTCATAAATGGCTGGGTATGAAAAGGATGTTAAAGAGACACTGAGAAGCAGAGCCTCTCAAAAGAGGTTCTCTTTAAGAAACAGTGGGAGCAAGTAGTTATTTGAGAGCAATGTTTCTCTGCTTAAAGTTTCAAGAAAATTGAGGATTTTGCGGAGAAACTTTAACAGGGACAAGGCAAAAACATTTTTTTTTTTTTTAATCTATTCCTTGGGCTCATAGGCGACTTCACATTAAAAACAGCACGCCTCCGTAGAGGATGCCACTGCTGGGATTTAAAATCACTTCCAAAAAACATTTATTACTGCTTCCATGAATACATGTTAAAACTGTGTCATGTGAAGAGGAAACCATATACAGCCTGCAGGCTGGACTTTTCATCCATAAGTCAAAGTATCTGGTGCATCATGGAAGAAACAAATACAACAAAGGAGACCCTAAACTGTGGAGCAGTGGAAATCTTATCAAGCAAGAAATGTGACAGAACATGATACAACATCAAAACACCAGAAACTGGCTTCCTCTGTCCCTGAACATTTATAATGCTATAGAAAGAGCTAATACAACTAAAGATTTCTCCATTCCTACTTTTTTAAACTAAGCATTTAAATTTCAGTATTCTATGTTGTATTTCATGTTCACACTGTACCCAAGGGACACTGGACAACATGAAAGGGGGTTGTGGGTCGAGTGGTTAGCTGGGCAGACTTCTAGAAACAGCCACAGGCTTGACCTAGCTTCCTCCTCAGGGCAACGTATGACACATTGCCCTCCCCCAAAACCTCCAACAGTGGCTGGGCATGGAGCAGGCCTGCGACCTCTGTGGGACCATCAGTGCTTCCCTGCAACACATCCTATCAGGATGCAAGACTGCGCTATCTCAGGGCAGGTACAGATGGCGGCACGACCAGGTGCTGAGGAAACTGGCAGAAGTGATGGAGAGTAGAAGGCAAGAGGCAAATAATGGGAACCAGCCGGGGATACAGCAGTGGACCAAGTTCCTGAGGGAGGGGGAAGCAGGTGAAACTTTCAGTGCAAGACCAGCACCTACCCTTCTTTTGCCATGTGTGGAGTGGAGAATGGAGGTGGACTTGGGCAGGCAGCTCCATTTCCCAGGAGAGATCTGTAGCACCACATTACGGCCAGACATGGTGCTGTGGACCAAGGCGGAGAGGTCTGCGCTGCTGGTGGATCTGACTCTGCCATGGGAGGAGGGAATGATGAAGCCTATGAGAGGAAGAGGGCAAAATACACCGACCTAGTAGCAGAGTGTAGAGAGAATGGTTGGCACACACGACTCTTCCCAGTGGAGGTGGGAACCAGGGGTTTTGTGGGAGGCTCAACAACTCACCTACTGAAAGAACTAGGGCTGAGGGGCAAGGAGCTACACAAAGCCACCAAGGAGCTGGCTGAGGAGGCAGAGAAGGGAAGCTTCTGGCTGTGGCTGAGGAGGCGGGACAAGGCATGGGGAGTGAGCAATCCCTGAGGAAGGCCAGCTGCAGGCGGTGACCATAGGAGACATCCCTGTTCACTGCCCCACCACCAGGAGATGTTCCGGAAACATCTAGGAGCGGTGGTCCCCGGCGGATGACCCTGCAGCTGGCATAATAGGCACCGGTGGAGGTGCGGCAGGCCTGGAGCCTAGAGCAGGTTAGACCATCTACCTGTTCAAACCATTTGGCTTTGCACTATTTTCACTTGCATACAGGGTTTAAATGAGGTTGTGCGGTTTTTGCGTCTCAAACTGAATCATCACAGCAAAAAAAAAAAAAGAAATCAACATGAATAATTTAATCAAAACAATATTTATTTGTATATATTCACTGACAAATATTGTATGTTACAGACATTTTCAAATTGAATGACTAACTTTTATAAACAGAAAATCAAACAGGACAAAGCATGTGAAAAAATGCAAAACTAATGTACAGTACAGTAAATGTTCATCAACTTTGCTTTAGATACATAATATACAGTGATATTCTGATAAAGAATAAAATACGCACATTATCTTGATTGACAAGTACATGAAGAGATACATTCCTTTATTTGCTCTTATTTCACCGAAAATATACCAAAAAAAAAAAAAAACTGACGTAGAAGTTTAAAAGATGAGAAAACTCAGCTGAAGCCGGATCGCTCACAGAGATGAAGAGTTCTGCTTTTTGAGAAACTTCTCATCCCTAGCTGACAGATATGCTGTTACAGTGTCGAGATGACACATTGTCTTATAGTGATATTGCTCCCAGCAGAGACCGTGACTGCTGCTGTCACACTGTTGCCTTAAATGACACAGAGTAAGCTCAAATGAAATGGCTCTCTGTGTGCTGAAGGCTTTACTTCCTATATGTTTGCAGCAGTGAATGGGAGTCTTATTCTGCTGGATTATATTAAATCTTACATTCTCACCCTTCACATTCATAGTAAATCACCTTGGCATAAATTCATTAAAAGTCAGGGATTTTTTTACACTGGTGGCTTCATGCTCTGTTTGATAATAGATGCATTAAGGTAGAAACACTGATGGCTTATGTTGAAGAGAAAAGGTCAAATGAACATTGAGCAGAAACAGATTCTGGTCGTACAATCACAATGTGGTTTGGCCAAATTGTAAACCTGGTCACAGTTTCTCCTCACTTTTGACGGTTACACTAAAAATGAATCGAACATTTCACCAAAGGCAGACAGTATGCCGACCACTGGACATTCAAAAGACACATTTATTTATTTTTTAACAGAGTCGAAGAATATCAAAAACAATCACGCCAGAGCAAAACCCAGGTGCGTGTACTCCAAACAAGTCCAGACCACAGTCGTGAACACATTCAGGACACACATTCAAAGAGATTTTTTGTTGGTCTTGGTCAGAGGCTGTTTTTTTTTTTTTTTGTATGTGCGTGTAGAGAAAAACATTCATAGATACACATTCGGATATCTTAATGAAGATACAGTACATACAAAAACACATTCGCTTCATGCAGTTCAGTGGAAGAATCAGGAACATGTCTGAGCTGTACCTCAAAATTGACTCCAACCTACTTCCTTCCTCAATTTCTCTCATATATACAGACATTCAAAAGTATTTGAGGCTTGTTTTGTACAAGGTAGATTAACTCGAGGTGTGTGTAAGCCTTAATTCCACATTTAAATGAAGACACTGCATGCAAGTGACTTTTAAGTGTCTCATCCAGACTGAGGAAATAGCACAGTGACTTGATATGCCTTAACATTCGTTGTGTAATAGCCTAGTTTTAAAGGACTGCGGATTTGAATTTTCTACTTCTCACTAGTTTAGTAGTTATACAGGTGTAGCAAAGCATTTGAGTACTGTACAACCACTATAAAGCTAGCGTTGATCTTTGGTCTCCCAAAATCCAGATTAGGATATCTGACACATAAAGTTAGATTGGGTAGTGATTCTACAAGAAGCCCTCGGTGAATTAAGTAGAAGACATCATAATTAAGAGCTGTTTGGGTATATTTTGTAGCTGCTTGGACTTGTGAGACAATAAAAATCTAAAAACTTATTAACATACAGAGGGATTTCTTAACTAGTAAAATTGTTAGATAATCTAGAAAGAGAAATGTTGATTTAGATTAAAACTAACCTTTATGATTTGACATTAAATAAAAGCCTAGCTATTTCAAGTCTTTTAGCCAAGAAGAGCTCGACAAGAAGTTTTAAGTCATGTGAAGCTGATATGAAGCTAATGCTAGCATCTTTGCAGCAGGTTAGCTCTACAAACATATATATGGATACAGTACACCCAGCTCAGTCCAAAGCTGACAGAATCAGCCAACTGGCACACCAAAACTCAGTTTTTAATTTTAAGCTTGTTGCAATATCAGATTTCTCACCTCACAATTATTGTGGCCCAAAAATATCACAAATCTGTATTATCGCGATATTCATGGAAAAGTTAAAATTCTAAACAACGCAGTGAGTAAAATTGATGTCCTAGTAAATATTCACACAATATTAATCTTTAATAAACACAGATAATTTATGTGTTATCACCCATTTTTAATTATGTTCAAATTTATGATTTATCCACATCACTGGTGGTTTAACTGAAACTTCTTTGAAGAAGACATTGCCTTACAAAACAATGTCTTGGCATGCTTTATTTTTTATTTATTTTTATTTTGACCCTGCATTTTAAAAACAGTGCTTTTATTTTGAAGAGTAAGCTACTTCCTGTAAATGAGTTAAGGAACTGAATGAAAACAAAAGAATGGTCTCAAAGTACAGATGTTCAATTGATTAGAAACTCGAAGAGACGCAAGCTCCAAAAATCACAACATATTCGTTTTTAAAAGTGCTGAGTCATGTCTGCTTCTGCTTCATCTCTCCCCTGCATATGATTTGTGGCATCCAGCCTCAAGGATCCCCTCTATGAACTCAGGTATGACTGTTTGCTCATTTTTAGTACAATATCAGTTTTAATAAACTAAAATCAGTTATTGTTAACACCAGTATATTGCAACAGCTCTATTTTGAAAATATTTTTCTTCTTCAGCTAAATGATGTCAAATCCAGCACAAAACATAATTGGACAATGTAGCCTAGCTTAGCCAATAAACCAACAAAAAACTTTTTTTTTTGTATGGATAAAACTAACAACATAACACATGGTAAGTGAACATTTAGGGCAGCAAGTTTTAGATTCATTTGAACAGAGCCGGGCTTGTTTTTACCTTTAATTATGCTTTGCTTGGCTGCTAACATTAGCTTCATAGGAAACCCTACAATGGTCTTCTCATCACACCTTGACACACACAAAAAAGTCAAACTACTGAACAAATGAGCCAATATTAACTTTTACTCTCCTTCCAGACTGAATGTAATTTAATCCTAAATTCAAGGACATCAAGCGAGTAAAATGAGCTAGACCAGCTTCTGCACTTTTCTGATTCTGACCAAGTAAGAAAAACTCTAAAACTCTCCAAAAAAAATCAAACTCATCTTTGAAGTCAAGCAGTTATTACACTCATAAACAGCAGCTGTGCGCTCAAACATGCAGGCTAAAGGTACAAACCTCTGAACCCTGTTGTCTTGGTCATTTTAAGAAAATGTTCTGAAGGCAAGCATGGAGATTTGCGAAACATGGCCATGGATAAGACAGGAAGAGGAAGCGTGGGCAGGGAGGAGAGAGAAAGAGAGGTAGTAGTAGTTTCCTGTTCTTTGTTTTTCTTCACACCTGTCTCCTCTTCCTCCTCCTCCTCCTCCCCTTGGATAAGAAAACATCTCTTATCCACAGTTTCCTAAAACTCAGTTTTGTGGATAACTGCTGTTTTATCTCTTTGTGGAGCGATTTGATCATTTCCACACGTGTGCTGACATATGCGCTGAGCTTGGAGCTGTTGAGCCTCCCATGTGTTGATTGCTGTATCCCATCATACCGTTGGTGTTGTACAGATTCACGCTGGCCATGTGCTGAGTCATCTAAAAGCATCAAACAGACTCGGATTACAAATAAAATCATTATTTTAATGGTAATAATCATTTAAGTGATACACACACCTGTGCAAGGTTCCACTGTAGCTGCTGCGCTTGCGCTTGCTGCGCTTGCTGCGCTTGCTGCGCTTGCGCTTGCTGCACTTGCTGCGCTCCATACACCTGCTGCTGTGCCATCATCCCGCCCTGCTGCTGACCCATAATCCCATTCTGCTGCTGTCCCATCATGCCCTGGCTCATCCCTGCCATGTAAGGTGAAGCCATGACTCCACCTGGCTGAGCCATAACACCCTGGGCACCCATTAAGCCATTCTGCTGTCCCATCATGCTGTTCTGTTGAACTCCCATCATGCCACTTTGCTGCTGTCCCATCATGGCCATATGTGATGTCATCATGGTGCCCCCCATTCCACCTGCTTGGGCAAGAGAATGGTACGATCCATATGGGTGTGTCGGGTATCCCATTTGGTTCATATATAAGCCTGTGGAAAAGCCAGTTTGGCAATCAATAAGCAATAATTGGTGCAAATTCAGTTATTAACACTTGTTGACATATGGACAAAATCATATTTAAGCATTTTTCTTCAGTTCTCACCATGTGCAGCCATACTGCTGGCGTGTATTGAGGGTGTGGAGGCGTACAGAGAGAGAATAGAGTCTTTGGATAGCTTCTTGACTGTGCCCTCCTCTGCTTTGGGTGCAGGATCCAGGAACAGACTGAGGTTTTCAGGCACAGAAGCTGTCACTCTGTTTTGAGGCATGGAGTTGGAGACAGGCTGGGGAGGCAGGTGGACAGGAGGTCATGGATAGGGAGGAACGCAGAGATTGAAACAGGATAGAGAAATGCAAGCAGGATGAATAATAAAAGCATAACCACAAAGAGAGTTTAACAGCAACAGCACTGGACTACACTCAGTGTGTTTACATGCACAGTTTAATCGGACTAAGCTCATAGTTCATTTATTTTCACCGAATCAGACTTCTCTCCTTGTCCGCATACACATGCAGCTGAGAAAATTGAATTATTGATGTAAATGTGTCCTCCTCCCCAAAACTAGGGGGCGATATGGGTCTTTTCAGCGGCGCTGTTTTCGACCCCATACAACTGTTAACATCATAAGCAGGTTTGTGCCAGACATCAGATGTGGCTACAACTGCTGCTGGGCATTTTCGAGCAAGAAGATGGAGCATCGTACAGCGTTGTTTTTGTCTTACATGATGTACTCCTCTTCTCTGGTGTTTTTGTTTCTGGGTTACGGGGGCATGGCAAACGGGCACATGTATTGTCCAATCATACGCTGGTTATATGGTAGAGAAAATTGAATTACAATCGCATTATCTGGGTGTCTTAATCAGAGTTCTCAAACTCCGATTTTAGTCAGACTAAGGTGTTTACATGCACTTCAGTTGTTGGGTCTTAATCGGAGTAAAGTAATTATTTGGTTTTCTTGAGTGTCATGTAAACGTACTGAGTGAGACATGGGCCTTGAAGGTACATTTGATAGCAATGTTGTAATTAGTATACGATCAGTATACAACTTTTCTATCTCACATTAAAAGGCCTTCATTGTATTTTAAATTTTCAGCCCTTTGACAGCAACTAATGAAGAATGGGATCACAAAATTATAGCTGTAACACAAATGGTGATTTATTCTAGTTCCATCAAGCCATTAGCATTTTAGCTGAACAATGAACGTCTATATAAATATGTACTGGAATCCTTCCAGGAGGAGTTGAGGTATATCTGTCTGGACTTAAGTGGTTGACAGCCCACATCGCCACCCCTTGGTCTCCACTGTTAGCATGCATGAAAGTACGAAGGCTCCACAGGGAGCAGACAGAGTACAGTATGTACAATGTGTTATCTTCTACCGTGGTTTTAGTGGAGGAAGCAGAGGATGGAGCTGGCAGAGAACTGAAGAGATCCAGCGCAGAGTGAGCCAGAGCTGGATTAGACACCGCTGGACTCTCATTACTGTCTGGAACACATCCTCCACCATTAGACACAGCAGGACTGGGAGCAGGGGCATCTAATGGAGGGGAGATCGAAAGGCATCATACTCCATTTCCAGTTTAATGCTAGTGGACATTTTTTCAGAAGTATTTCTCCACAATAAAATCTAGGCCTGCTGTAGTCCATTTTAACAGTCACCTATTACATGGTATACTGTGTGTAAGTGTACATGTCTTTGTGTGCATGAGGTGCATTACCTAATCCGAGCAGGTCTGTGACACCCTGGGAATCTGTCTTCGGGCTGATATCTTTTTTCTGCCGGAGAACAAGGTCAATATATTAAACCCGGTCTGTCTGGTGGAGGAACGATAAAGAAACCAGACTCCTTTTTTTCCCTTGGACTTCCTCATGGTGAAATAACCTTCGTACTCCGGTCAAGTTCCTGCAGACTGAAATCTCATCTTTCTAAAATGTACCTGGTGTCACCTTCTCCTCACTGACCAACACCTTTTCTCTCCTCTTTTTTAACCTCCAGTAACAAAGTTCCCGCTAAGCAGTGGAAATTGAAAATAATAGAATCTGATTTTATGTCCTACAGAGGTATTCTTGTTTATTTCAGTCTGTTTCATAACCAGCTGAAAACTCTTCACAGAGACAGGGCTCTATTTTACTGATGTTATGGTGTGAGTGTTAAAACTTACCAATTTCATCTTCTCAAACACAACCGGCTCCTTGGGTATGTTGTCACAGCTCTTTTCTTTCTGCAAAGACACAATAAACCGTTTTGTTAAGCGAGCAGAAACCTTGGGTGGAATGGCTTTGTGCGAGCCAGGCGAGACTAGAATTCTATTTCCTCTTTGTCTGAGACGCAGGCACAGAGCTTTTCTTCCTCTCTCTCTGTATCTGTGTGTGTTAGCACTCACCCTGAGCATCTGGATGTCAATAACCTTATCCATGTACTTCTTCTTATCATACTTGTCCCTGATGAAGATCTCTGCAGACTGGTCTGTCTCAGGCCGCTGGAAGCACTCAGGTAGGAAAGCCTCGTACAGGCGTTTGGCTTTGGCATTTCCCATTTCCTGAACGCTCTGGGGACAACAAATCACGGTAAACCATGTGTCATTGTTAAGCAGGGTAATAAATGAAAGATAAAACACTGAAGGTTTTATTTCTTTTGCTTGTGTGGGAGTCCTGCTTAGAAAACAGTGTGAATTTGTATTGTGAGGAGATAAGAATAAAGATGCTGACTGCAGGACAGTCACACTGGGAAGCATAATACCCACATTCTTGCCTGTCAGACTCTAACATGTTGAACTGAATACTAACAAGTGTCTCTTTCCCATACTGTATGTAAAAGCAACAGCAACCGCTCTGCCATACTGTAAGATTGCAACAACCAATTCTTGTTGTTGTTTTCTCCTGCATTCTAGCAAGTTCTGACATTTCTGCTTAATTGGAGATAAAACAGTCACATCAAACAAAGTAAATTCACTGTTGAATACATGCTGCTACTCGGCACTTGAATTAAGTCTGGAAATTGGTCTGGCTTAGCAAGACATGCTGGCACTTAATTGTAGCTATAGTAAAAGAGAACAAGACTGTGGGGAACAAAGAAGAGGGAATTGGGCAATTGAGAGTAAAAAAGCAAGATGCAGTATGTTACCAATTAAGACAAAAGTTACTCATGGGGATTCTTTAACACAAGTTCACCCACAGAGCAGCTCTCTCTGTCAGGGAAATTCATCTTCTCCTGGTTTGTATTAGTGACACAGAACATCCTTTTTCTTCTTCTTCTCTGTAGAAATTGTATCTACAGAACATGAACGGGTGTGGTTTTCACAGTGGGTGAAAGTTCCCACTTCATTCTTGTCTATGTTTTGTCGCGTTAGAATTGAAAATGATTGACAGGTTTCATTAGTGGAAAATGTGATTGCTTCATTTCTGTACCACAGCATTGGAGAGCATACCTGATGTTGTTCTGGAAAATTCCACGTGGGTTTCATTTGATTTTAGTCTAGTCACCTGTTTCCCAATGAGTCATCAGCCTGTAGGTCATACAAAACCCTGTTTCCAGATAAAAGGGATATTCCAGCGTAAAATTAAGTTAGGGTCAAACACACCGCCACACTGATTTAGACACCCCCTCGAGAGATGAATGTTGCCGACTGCTTGCTTCTCTAGTTATAACAACTTTAGTAACAACCGCACCGATAGCAATACACAGCGGTCTGAGGAGCCACGCACAAACCTCAACCAAAAAGCTGCTCTATAGCCACAAATAATGCTCAGAACAGCACCTAACTTCATCAACAACACAAATAAGGTCCAGCCATAGCACTAGCCACTAAACATCTTTTTAGCTTTGCCTAATTTCTTTAGCAAAGAGACTAAACACAACTCACCTACTCTCCTTCAGCAGCCTCTTGTTTGTAGGGAGAGCTTGGACGAATTGATCACCGACTGTAGCGCGGTGACGCAGCTCAAGGAAGAACATTTATGATCATTTCTTTGTGGAAATGCAATCACACCAAAACACTAAGGCAGATCAACCACTGTGTCTGCAGTGCAAAATGATTAATATGATGATTATTACTTCAAGGAAATGATAAAGGTATGATCATAAATGTTCTTCCTTGAGCTGCGTCACCCCGCTGCAGTCGGTGATGTGCTTGTCCAAGCTCTCCCTAAAACCAAGTGGCTGCTGGAACAGAGTGGGTGAGTTGTGTTTAGTCTCTTTGTTAAAGAAATCAGGCAGAGCTAAAAATATGTTTGGTGGCTAGTATTATGGCTGGGACCCTATATGTACTATTGATGAAAATAGGTGCTGTTCTGAGCATTATTTGTGGCTATAGAGTGGCTTTTTGGTTGAGCGCGTGACTCCTCAGACCACTGTGTATTGCTATTGTGGGGTCGTTACTGAAGTTGGTAAAGCTAGAGAAACAAGCAGTCGTTTCCTTGTGTTTTCCTTCAACTAATTTATTCCTTCTGTGATACTGTATGAACCAAGTGACAATTTGTAAATGAGCTATTCAGACCAAAACTATTTTTTTTAACCAGGCTGTAAACATGATTATGTCTGCTCAAAAGATGGGCTTTTGGAGTGAGTGTGTGTGTGGTCTCTAGCGCTTTTGCAACTAGCCTCTTGTGGCCACTCAGGGAATTGCAGTTTTGTTTTGTTTCTGTTTTTTTTTTTTTTGTACTTCTCTAGGTTGGTGTTGCCACTGAGTTTAGACCCCAGAAAATGACAACTGACCTGGACTTGCTCCTGTGTCCACTGGTCCAGGTTCACAGACTTGACTTTGGAGATGTGGACCCCCAGGTTTCTGTGGATACCAGCACAGCGGATGCAGATGAAGATACCCAAATTCCAGGACGCCCATCTTGGCCCTGACAGAGAGAAGATAGCAGTTTTTAATATGTGAGAGCTGCGGTTTAATGAAGTTATTTGGTGACTAAACACAGACAAAGTAGAAGAGATTCAGAAGGAAATCTAGAAGGGAGGTGAAGTCATCGAGAAGACGCTGATGAAGAATGAGAAACATTAATTTTAGTCTTATTATAGACGGGCAAGCCTGAAATTCAATTATGAGTTTGAATTCTGCTGGGAACAAATCTAATCCTGTGTAAGTCATGAGCTGCCCTGACACATTATGGGATCCAATAGGAAAGCTAGCCTACATAACTGCGACTGAGAAGAGAGAGGGGGAGTGTAAAGTCACACACACACACACACACACACACACACACACACACACACACACACACACACACACACACACACACACACACACACACAGAGCCTGGATACCTGCAGGGAAGATTACTCATTTGGTCATGAGCCTGTGTGAGTGGGTGCATGCTTTTCAGAGTGGGACATCTCATCCTCCTTGCCACCACATGTATCCTACTATTGTCATTTGATTGCTGTTTATCCTAATGCGGTGTGGGTTATGGCTTTATATAGCATTTCATGTGCCTCCGTGTGGCTCCCTTCTATCTGCAGAGCTGTCAGGACACTTTCCTGAACAGAAAACTCTTAGAGGGCAAAATAAAAACACTGGCAGGCTATTTTTCTGCAGAAATTATGCAACTGTCCTCTTCAGAGAATACAGTCAGCTTCAAAGAGAATCCTGGAGCTTCTCCCTCTCATCTCCCCCTACATCTCCCTTTCTTCTTGCCCCTCCTCCTCCTCCTCTTCCTCCTCTTCTCTGCCCTCCATCTCCTCCTCCTCCCTCTCTCCCTCTTCGAACCAGCTGAACCGCTCTCTCACCCTCTGTCTCCACCTCTCCTCTCAGCTCTGCTGCGAGTCCTTGCATGCAACCTTGCTGCAAATGAATGCACTGTGACCTTTTCACCACTAGGTGGGAGAGCAGATTCTGATTTGGATCAGGATATTCCTGTTAACCACAGCCACAGCACAGAGAGCTAAAGAAAGGCCATGTAAATAAAGGAGGAAGTTTCAGAAAACAAAACATGCAAATCCTTCCTCTGTCTGCTGCCTGCGGAAACACCGTGTCTGGTTGCAGAGTCAAATTATAGCATCTTGTCTCGGATACATCCTGAACTAAGACTAGCATTGTGTTTCTATGCTTTTCTAGGTTGCCCAGTTTGCAGGCTGCACATTTTAAATTATGAAAAAGGAGAGACACCAAAGAAGAAACCAACCAAAGGAAGGACAAAGCAGAAAACATCAAACAAAGTGTCACCAGACAGACCGTGTGTCCATCATCCTGAGCGTCTGGCTGCAGCATTAGCTGTCATGCTGGCTTATAACAGAAGAATTACTCAGCAAAGCCGTCTTAACTGCTGTAAACATTGGCACCGACACAGAGGAAGAGAGAGATTGTCAATTGTGTTGAACTCCCTGAACACTGGAATTACTTCACCCTCTTCATCCTCATTCTAGTGTAGCTCTGTGTCCTAGCTGCCATTTGTCTTATCTCTCTTATTCAACCACAGCTGCCCTCCTCCTCCTCCTCCTCTCCACTGTCTGTCTGTATCTCTCACTCACAGTTATAATTCTCCCTTTCTATTACATTCAACACCCCAAGCTTCTGTGGCGTCACCTAATTGTACTAAATGATGTGTTCTTACTATTTTTTCTATCACTTAAACCAGACTAGTTGTGTTGCCTTTTGGGGTGGTAAGCTGGTCTGTTGGACCTCTCTTTGTTTTTATATATTTCAATAATTTTTGGACAGAGTATAATGAAATCTGGAACAGTCATCGCATGGTTCTCTAAGAAAGACTCCTCTAAACTTAGACTGTCCCATTACTTTTTTTTTTTGCAATCACCACCATGAGTTGAGGTTTTTGGTTTATGCAACAATTATGAGATGGGTTTCCATAAAATTCTTGAATATTCATGGGGCTTTAAGCATGACTTGAGATGCTCACCAGACTTTTCATTCGACTCCACTGAATAGTCTGAGTTTTCCCATGTCAAGTTAAATATAAAACACCGGGTAGAGTCACACATGGTTCATGGGTAATGAATCCAGATGACTTTTGTGGTCTGATGGCTTTTTTAGTCTGGCACCACAATCAGGTTGACATTTAGTCTCATTAACCTTGGGATGGACTCTGTTAAATAAAGACAGAATATGATGTGATTTATTTATATCTCGAAAAGATCTGTTACCCCAGAGCCATCACTGAACTAAACTCTACAGGGAAACTGCCCATTCACCAAACATCTGCACAACTCTTGAAACACGACTTTCTATTAAGGAATGTAAATATATTATGAGTGAAGATACTTCATAACAGCATCAACAGATGAACTCAATACTGCAAAAGCTACAACAGGGTCATCCTGATCTGACATAATATTTAATCAATCCATGGAAAAGAGTCTGGTACATTTCACCTCTGAGGGTTTCGCCTCTGTATGTTGACACTCAGTACTTTACAAGCACAGTTTTGTGCTCAGGGAGTACTGGTATTCCCCATAAACTGTATTATCTCAACCAGTTTTAAAACCATGAGAAATCACTCACTTCAGAGCACTTCCAAGTTTTCATGTACACACACTTGCTGACCAGTAGATCACACATTTACTGTCTTCACAGTGGTGATCCCAGACATGTGATCTCACAGAAAGTAACGTGACTTCGGGAGACAAACAAACACGGATGATAATCTGTCATCAGCTGGCTGTGTGTTTGGGTCTGCAGCAAATAACTAGAAATAAGAAAATGAAAAAGTGTGAAAAGAGAGGACACGAGACAGTAGAGCTGCAGCACGCTTTGCTTTGCAGCGTGAGTGTTCTCAAACTAATTAAATGCTCATCCCTCTTACTTGCTAATAAACAAAAGTAGCGAATTAGCATGCTCAGCGTTGTTCTGCTAAACATTTGCATGTTAACATTCATTGTGTGCATGCTTCGGTTTGCATTTACTTGTTTCTCAAAGCTCTGCTGGGCTTAAGTGATGCAAGCACAGCTCCAGACCCATGTTTCCTTATACTGCATGTTTTTCTTTTTAAAGTGGGTTCACATGTGACCACAGCTGAAGGCAAAATACAAATCTCATCTGGACACAGTATAAGGCTGTTTTTTTTTTTTTTTTGGAGTGAATCACTTCTGCTCAATGCACCAGAGTAACCTCTCTGTTTCCGATCAATACAGAGCCTGAGTAAGGAGCCATTTAAAGTACGTATGTCCAGCATCAACGCACACCTCCAGGTACTTTGAACAGATCCAGCAGGACAAGAGTAGGAGGAATAGACATCTAAAAATGGAAAGACATACTGAAGGGAAAAATCTCTACAAATCAGATTCTCTCTGTTGAAAGGTTTGCATTACAGCGTCCTGTTTCTCATCTGTTTAGCAAGACCAGACAGTACACTTCTCCTTTTTCGTAATCAAAGAATGACTGCCAACAACGTATTTTACTTCTTGAAGAATGATCAAAGATTTATTGCATGTGACTAATAAATCTGTCCTCAATCTTTATGGGGTGAAGTACCCGAAAGTAGAGGGTTTGCATGGGAGATCGATGAATCATCCTGGCAACAACTAACTGTGGTTGTGGTTGTCAAACACGCAGCTTGAAGCACATCAGGGGAGAGGAAGGCAGAGCTGAGTCGAGAGCCAAACACAGAGACAAACAAGAGGGGAGTTTTAGAGTCATCAAATGGTGGACTTTAGCTGTTTGATGACCCGCTGAGATGACTAACAGTGAGCACAAACAGAGATCTGTAATGAATCTCTCTGTCACTCACCCACCCACACAATCTATCATACTACAATACTTGTGGGGACATCTATGGACTACATCCACTCAGTAACTCTTTATCTTAAAAGTTGTTACAGTAGACATAAAACTTGAACCCTTTCCTAAAGTAAACAGCTGGATTAATATTTTTGAAAGATTTGGTACACTGAACTTTGTTTTTCTTTTTTTTCCAAAATAGAAGATAGAGGACAACAGAAAGAGCAAGAAAAATCAGAGAGAACTTGATAATATTTGTGTAACAACACAACTTACATCTTGAAATGCTTCACTCAGTATTATAACATATTGTAAACAGACTGTATTGACTATGGACAACTTGGTTTGGTCTTCAATATACTAATTTTAAGCCGAATTGCTCTCAGTATTTCCAAGACGTTCTCCACTTCCTGGAACAACCACTTGTGCAGTAGCGTTGTACGCATTTGGCGGGAGAGTCGTCGAGAGTTGCTGTGATGACGCTCGGCTCAAACAGCATATCCCCGGGGTGATCTATGCAATCTTCGTTCGCCCATAGGCTGTATCAAATGTCAATCATAGCAAACATGAAGCCCCTAATAACTTTTAAAAATTGAGCTGTACAGAAAAAAGAGGACTTGAGCACAAACCAGTCTTACTGTAACTACATGTCAACATCACAAGCAGGGGGGAGAAAAATGTATGTTCTGTGTAATAAATTTCTAAAGTTTGTCCACAGCTCCATAGGGATTGCTGGAGGAGGCGGGATTTATGACCTATACTGCAGCCCGTCACCAGAGGGTGCTGTTCTTGCGGTGGCATCATCCATTCTATATACAGTCTATGATCTTATAACAGTATGACTTTTGCTGTCCACACTGAATCAGATACATGGTATCGTCTATGTTTGGGGAAACACTGTTGACTACCTTAACGGTTCGAGTTACTGCAATTAATCTATCTTAATCATCTAACATATTAAGAGAGACCATCTTAACTTGTGATGCATTAACAAGCACAAACTCACATACTCTCTCATTCTTTCTTCTGCAATTACAAATACATCATATGCCCACTCTGCCTGTTTTTCCTCCCTGCAAACCCCTCAGCTTGTTATCCAGGAATTTGGTTCAGCAGTAATCTGAATGAAGGGAGCGCTGTGTGGGGGACCCTGGGGAAACCGAACAACAAAACAAGATTTTTGGCCAGACAATCTCAGTTAATTAGAAAAGAAAATCGAAGCCACCTGTCTAGTTCTCCAGCTTTGAGTTGATTTTACTACACCACCTGCCCAGGTTTAAATAGCATTTCCATCAGATCAGACAAGGTGGAAGGGGGGAAAAAACCACCGGACCTGATCTTTCTTACCTGTTTTCAACACCAACACAGGATTCATTGAGGATCTTAGTTGCAAATGCAGTATTATTCTACACATGCTTAACTAACACCTCCCCTCCTAACTTGTTTCCAAAAAGTTACCACACCACACGTGCACAAACACACATGCACGAGCTGGTGGATTAGTTTCATTAGCCTATATCCCACAAGGATAAAGGGTGCTCTCTACATGTGTCCAGTTAATCCCAAAGAGCCAAAGTCATCACTTGGTCCTCCTACGCACTCCGCACAAACACACACTCATCCCATCCTCTAGCCTCTCAGCATCTAAACCCCTCCAAAACCCTGAAGCCACCTAGTGACCTAGTCCCACTCTAAGCTAAACAGATGGACCCCTATTGATAATTTACAAATACACGCCCACCATCTGGGTTGCAATGCAAGAGTCACGACTGAGACTCTGCAGGTGAGTCATTGAAGCTGAAGAGTTGCGCATCTAAAGATGAAAAGGCACTTCATTACAGTTGGTGTCAGTACCCTCAGCTTTATTTTATTCTCTTATTGAAAATGTCCGTTTAAGAGAATATGACACATCAGTCTTTTTAATAAATTGGACCAAAACTTACACCATCTCCACATTTTACAAAAAAGACATTTCTAAAAGGATTGAAAATAATCTAATGCAGATAATTTGTTTCAATGAAAACTTCTGATGACCCCAAAGGAGATGGTGGTAGTGGTGGTGAGGTGGAGATATACAACAATGACCATATTTTAGCTCTGCAAGTGACATTGCTGCATTTACAATCACTTTTGACTGTCAGCTATTCCTGGTATTTTATCTATTTCCTGTATCGTGATAAGGCAATTTCATGGGTAGAGAAAGAAGGTTGACTTTTCGGGCTTAGCACAAATCTTATCTGTAGTCTTTGGTAGTATGTGGTTGTATACTTATTTTATTTTATTAACCTTTATTTAGAGACCTCTTTTTGAAGGGAGACTTGGCCAAATATGGCAGCCACACAAAATTTCAACAACAAAATAATCAGACTCTTATAGGAGAACTAAAAAATCCAGAAATAAGTCAGCTACAACAACAGCATACAGAGAGCCTGACCTCCAGACTTTAACTGGGGGTTTAAATACGTTCAGGCTGACTATGTTTTTTAGTTTAAAATCAGTTTGTGGAATTTTTTTTTTTTTTAGCAAAAATGTGAAGAATACCAATAAAACCTTCTTTCCCAAATCAGTTTGGACTTTGGGAAAAACAAATTGCATAATGTGCAAGGATTAAAAGCTGTGATTTCCATCCTGCAGGGTTAAAGGGGGGAAAGGTTGTTTGATATTTTGCCCGGAAAGGCTTTACAAATTAAGATATGCCAAAGACTGAGCCAGCATGTTCTTAAAGCTGTCTAATTGACTGGATTACCCATTAGGTGGAGTTGGTAACTGCCCCCCAGGCCTGATGCTTCCAGATCCCACTGGCTCAAGGTTGCCTGTTCAGCAAGTGGTGTTTGATAACTCTATCAATTTTAACTTTAAATAGAAGAACAGGAAAACTGGTACAAAAATAAAGTAAAAAAAAAAAAAGAATAAAATAACCTTCGCCTGGGGTAAATAGACTGTTTATGTCATCTGTTTTGGTTGTTGCTTGGTTACCAAGTTTTATTCATCAGTTTCACCACTTTTCCTGTAGCCAGGTGAAGAAGAGTTAGCATTTGTTATACAGCAACAACTACTTGAAAAGATCAAGTTTTAGTCATACTAACTCAAAACATCAATCTTTTTTAATATCATCAAGTGTACTTTATGTGATTAACACAAGAGCCATGAGTTAAAATCTAGTGGGACCACATAATCATCAAGAAGTAACACTCACACAGAGTGGATGGATAAAGTAAATGTAAAAGGAGACCTACAGAGGCTCATTTCTCCCATGGGCCCACAGTCAGCCAATTCAGCAGCAAGCTAATGGCAGTGTTTTTGATAAAGGAAAACACACTAACAACCACGGTGCCCCCCTCTCTCTTTTACTCTGAGAAATGAACCTCTTTGCCAGCCAGGAGACACAAACAGCAAATCAAATCCCCTCTGGCCTCTGATTGGATGAGATTTGAAGGGAGGGAGGCTTTTGAGATTTGAGGCACAAGGATAAGACATGATATAGCCAGGTGATATCGCCACAGCAACCGGGGCCTGGTGTGAGTGTAAACACATGTACAATGGAGACAATAAAGGAGGAGGGCTTTTTATGCAAACACAAGCACACACACGCACACACACGCAGATAGGCCTGTATCCCCTTGAGATTGAAGCCAGAGGTTGAAGTGCTGACTACATTATGCACCTGTCTCACCCTCTTACTCCCCACCCCTTCACTATTTCCTGGTAGAAGTGAGAATTTACAGTCAAAGAGCCACAATTTGAGGAAGTAGTAAAGAAAAAAGAACAACATGTATAAATAACACACAATATCCTGCAGACAGAGGAAGAGATAGACGGGAAGTTGCTGCACACGCTATGAACTGCACTCCCTCTCATTACTGCGGTGTCTCAACAGTTAGCATAGAAAGTGATGCCCTGATATCACCACTAATGTGTTTTTGTGTGTTTTCCTGTGTTGGTGTAAGCATGCGCTCGGCTCCGTGCGTCTGCCGACTTCCTCCTCAATCACCCGGAGGGAGGCAGGTGATAAAGGCACAGTAATCTCTGTCAGAGCAAACAAGATTACACCAAACCTCCTCACCCACCATATGGACGAACGCCTGACTAGAAGGCAAGACAGGGGGGGGGGAGTCAATGCTTCTTAACGGTGTGCACATGTGCGTGTGCACGTGTTGGCTGCGCAGAGGAGAACCAAGAACAAAAATGCTAATCAGGTAGAAGGATAAATGCCGTTCTTCAAGCATGCACTTAGATTAAAGAGGCAGCTGATTCATCACATGAGAGATGGTGGGGAATGGGATGGATTGTTGACCTCAAAATCGGTATGGCGACATATGCTATCCGTGCAAAAAGAATAAATAAAACAGTCTTTTGCAAAAAAAAGATAACAGAAAACATGATGTTTGGATTTAAAGTGAGAGACATCTAAAGAAGACCAAAAACATATTCCTGAAGTGAAGGCTAGAAGAGGTTTAGGTGTATGTGTGGTTGCTATTTTCTCCTCAAACCACTAATCTCATCTTCAGAGTAATTAGACTAGTCTGTTGCAGAGTCACGCCAATCAAAACAGCTACGCAGAGGCCACCCTTTGTCTGAATCTGTGACAAACAGGACAAAAAAAATGCTGAATTATATATAAATGTTTTTTTCTTCCCTCAGTTTGGTCCATAAAATCTGACCCTTCACATAAGCAAAAAAATGATTTATTTCCTGTGCTTTCATAGATTGCAGTTCTAGGCCAGTCGCTTCCTTAGAAAAGCCACAAGAGTTTGATGGTGTTTTTTATTCTTTCCAAACTGACTTCTGAGCAGTCACAAGTGTGTTTGCCTGACAGTCTAACAGCGTCTGAGGGTTCTATTTATGTCTTATTAAAAAAAGACTTCTAAGGGCAACATTCACTGGAACTAAACCTTGTATTATTCAACAAAGGATTCACTGTGTTCTTGTGACATCTCCACTTTTAATCCAACCATAACCCCGCCGTCACGTCATCTTAACCAAAGACTGGAGGCCTACAAACTCACCATTGTCTATCAGCTTGGCATGTTAAACAGAAAAGTTATGGTAGAAGATTAGATACTCATTTTTAGCATATGAAAATGGTTTCCGATTTCCATTGATGTCACTGTTCTTCTTTTGAGTTTTAGGTCTGTTTAAACAAAAGGAATCTAACATTTCATCTCCGCCACATTGAGCTGAAAGACAATGAACAGACACACTGACAGACACAACCACTGTTTCAAGGAAAATTCTGCTGTCACAGTTTTACACAGTTAAGCAACTGGATAAGAAAGGAGTTATATTTTTAGTGAACACATTTGTGGGCTCTGAAGCAGCTGACTGCATAGTTTGGTCCAAAGTATATAGTCGTAAATAGATTACTGAGTTATCTCCTGCTAAAATATTTTAAGATAACTTTATGCTATTGTAACACATTTGTATTTGTATGATGATGCTTATTCAAGTTAGGCAAGGATGCTTGTAATAAATAATTCTCTTAGCCTTTTTTTCCAGCAGCTACCTGACCCCTTAAGTGTTTCCCATGAAATATTTCTGATGCTGCATCAGCACCTTAGATCACTTTTCCCTGCATCTGTCAGAAGCTTAAAAGAGGTACAAAGACACAGACAGAAAGGGAACATCTGAATGCATCTTATGTTGTGTCAGCCTGCGTGAACAATGAACAAAAAAAACATGCCTGCCTATTGCAATAGTGCTGGGAAAGTGGTTTGGTTTGCACACCTTGTAATTTCACGATGCTGTTTAGCATTTAATTTCTCAATCTGTTAGTCAATCACTGTTAGTTAAGGAAGCCAGCACGGATCTCAGCCTGAACAGGACTATGAAGTAAAAGTTGCCTCCCTTATTATGGGAAGCTGCTTGCTGATACTATTCATGAAGTTTTCATAAGCAATCCCGAGGGTGTCTGCTGAGTGACAGCATGCAATGATTTACCTACACTCAGAGCCTGCTCAGGAGAATTTACGGCTGAGGTGGAAACTGAGTGACGTGCTGCTGTCCTGTTGAATCATTTCTAAGATAAGCTATGGAGAGGCCAGTCTCATTGATCTCAACACCAGCAGTGCCACCGAGTGACATCAGAACCAATTCCAACATATCCACAGGACCAATACTAATAACTGCTCTGATAATGTTGCTGGAGATGAACAACAAAGAAGAGAAACATAGGAGAAACATTTCATACACAAGATTCATACTTAGCATGCTGCCTATTAAGCCATCAGGATGTGTGTGGCACCCATTCACACCGTTTGGACAATCAGATAAAGCCCTTAATTGAGATTAATAGAAACCATTTGGTGGTGAGTGCAAGGTTAGCGTGCACAATGGCTCAGGAGGGGGAGACAGGCGAGAAAAAAGGAGTCAGGATAGATGATGTTGGAAAGAAAAAGGCTTGATGTAGACATGTAAAACAGCAGAAAGAGACGGGAACTGCAAATCAGAGCGCATGTTTTCACTTATTTTTATGTATTTAGCATACAGTATATTATATTGAAATCAAGATATTGAATGTTATTACAGATTGTAGCTTTTTTCTTGATACAATACGATACAATAGGATATGATACAATATGATACAATACGATACACTTTATTGTACCCTTGGGGAGAATTAGTCTCGAGCTCATGCACATGCTCAGTTGCATCCACAATAGTTACAAAACACAAACACACAAAGTACAGGCCTGACTTCCTCTAGTATCAAAATGCCCCTGATTCTCTTACAGCTTATATATGAGGCTAACAGCCAATGTACCTCTATGCTCTGATCCCATATCCTGAGTTTTTATCACCATCATCCATCCTCATTTTTTTTTTTGGCAGCCAGTTAACAGAAAATGCAGTTTTAGAGTGGCAACAAAGAACAGTTTGCTGCTAGCAGACAGTGTACTGTTAGTCACAGCCTGCAAAATGTCACCGAGCAGTGTTTTTAATTTTGAATTCAAGCGCTTTCAAATCTTTCAAACACACACTCTCACACAAAAAACTTTTATGTCTAAAAGCAAATAACTGTTATAGAGCATGGCAATTTACCAGCATTCATTTGTTGCATGTTTTTGACGCTTTAATTCATCTTAACCTGTTCGAAGAATTGACAGTTTGTCCAAAGTCTACAAAAAATAGAGTGTTGTGGAATCACTTTGTTGATCTAAGCTCAACTCGGTGTATTTGCGACAAAAACAGCAGTGTTTACTGTTTACCCACAACCAGCGGCACCAGCGGCAGCAGCATGGAAAAACAGGTTTAGTGAATACCTCAGGACACAGTTCAAGGCCTTAGTGAGGCTACAATCAGCCTGAAGAGTCTACTGCAAGGGCACAAACATATGAAACTGAGTGTATCTATTACTTCACAAAGAAAATCATATAATACATGATGGAGCACCTGCATGAGGAAACCAGCATTCCTAAAATATTAAAGAACAATGAGAGACAGTGTGACATCTACTTCCTTGATTCATTGTCTGCCACCAAAAGCAATAACTGAACATAAAGGAAGTGTATTATGCTCATTTACTGTCATACAACTCAGTGCATTTTTCTATCATGTTGTATTGCATGTGGCACTGCTGTGTCCCCATTTACACCCAGCCTGCAGGAACAGTGTGTTCAGGGTGAATCAAAGTCAGAATACTGTCTTTATGTCTGAAACCAAAGTAGTTTCTATACTGGGGTTCAGTGAGCCTCAGGTGTTTTTCAAGGGCCCCTGTAGATGGAGTAATTTCTACTTATTGTCACATTTGCATCCCTTGATACAGTTATCCACGCCTTGACGATGACAATTCCCCATAAAATCTAATCTGGCTACATAATGAGTATGGATATCCTATAGGGTGGCATGATGTAGCTGCCTTCCATGCTCCTGCCTTGTAAGGATGTGGCCCCGTGTCTTTCACCATAGTACAATGTAATTGGTCGAAGGGTGATGAATGCAATGCCGCATTTTCGAGCGTAGTAAACACGCAAGAGGGTCGATTCATACCGTGATTGTTTTTCAGGCATGGAGATGATAAAGACACCTACCTTTAGACTCACAGTCAGCGCAGAATTTATTCTCTTCCAGCGCCAATAAAGAGTTGAGGACAGTCTGGTACCTGTCCACGTCTTTTACAGATTTGCCCGTCATCATCGCACCGGTCCACCTCCTCCACGGCTCCCACAGTCCGAACCGGCTATTGTCAAGTAGGCTGTAATTTGACTGAATCAAAGCGGAGTGTGCGCAGCCGAGGCGCTCCGTTCCTCTTCCTCCTTGGTGTGGAGCAGAGCGAGTTTGTCTTACAATGATAGGATGAGTGCCTTTCACCAAACCAGCACGCGTGTTATTTTAGATGCAAATAGACAAGGAAGGCGTATCGTGGAAGAAGAAAAAAAAAAAGATTATCAAGACATAAAATATGACACGCTGACGACTTACACGAGCATCTACAACCTATTACTGATTGGTAGTGAGTGCAATCTCTCTCTCTCTCTCTCTCTCTCTGTCTCTCTCTTGCTCTCTCTCTCTCTCTTTCTCTCTTACACACAAACACGCACACGCACGCATGCATGCACGTAATCTCACTGAAAAAAAATCGCTGCGTGGGTAAACTTAATCATAAGATTTGTGACTGCACTTTGAAAGGGGATGTTTTAAATTAACATTCAAGTAAAATGTGTTTATACCGAGACTGCCGGGTGTTTAAGATTCATCACACTAACAACATACTGTAGTCTGTACATTATAAATACTGACATCGTGTGGTGAAGTATTGGAAGTATTTTAAAAGACAATTTCTCAGTGGGCCTCAATGCTCCTCCGGGACACCAGGAGGCGATAAAAACAAACGCAAGGGGGAAAACAGCTGACTGATCGTCAAGTTGGCATAGACATAGGTCTATGGCAAAGAGGAAAGCAATAGTATAATTTTTTTTGTAGAGTAAAAACTAAATATTAAATGATTTGCTACTGACGATGGGGATTTTTGCTCTTTTAAGTACTTTTGTCATTTGTTTTTACTTATCCTTCTACTCTGTACTGCAGGGGTGTCAAACTCAACCGCAGCGGCGGCTGTAATCTGGATGTAGGTCTAACCTGAGGGCCAAACAGGGTCAACATTTCACCAAAACTGTCAACCTCCTTTTCAAAAAATATCCAAAACAAAAACAGCAATGATTATAAATCATTTGGAAATTCAAAAAAAGATAAAAAAAATAAGTTTAAAGGCAATCTGAGATAGAAAAAAATAATTTTATTTATTTATTTTTATTATTAGTTCAAAAGATCAGAGCATGATATTAAAAATAGAAAAATAATGCTTTTAATGAGCAAATACATGAGGAGAACGTTGATCAGGTATAAAAGGTCAAAATATGACTTAAAATTTAAAATTGGAATCTAAAATATAAAAATGACACAAGTCCAAATACTGAGTTGAACAAAATCAAAGCATGAAATAAAAATTCCAATCATGTTTGACTTGTAATCTTGAATTACAAAACTGAAAACATGAAATAAAACACCAAATACCCCCCCCCCACCACATTCTTGACTATTTATCAAATCTTCCTTACTCTTTAATTTCCTAGATTTTCGTGGCTTATTGAGGACATTTTCAATAATGGTGCTAAAGTTTACATTATTATACTGGTGGGCCAATAATAATACAAATATGATATGATCTCGTGGGCTAGATATAATTGTTCCACGAGCCAGATTTGGACCCCGGGCCTTGAGTTTGTCTCCTGTGCTGTATTGCTTTTACACAAACATTCTGGGTTTACATTCACAAATGGATTTAACAAAAAATTAGAGTATTTTCACAATGTATTTCTCTAGATAATGTTACTTTTAGAATGATACTACCAAACAAAAATGATTAACTCAATGTAATCTTATGTCTTGTCAAATATTTCATCCATAAGAATAAAGTTATGAGATCATTTAAAATGTATTTGAAATCTCTTAAAATGTTAACTGGTTTGAAGGAACAAAAGTTATATGATGATTTCAAGAATTTTCCCACAGATATGAACAGCTAAAAATGTTTTCAGAAAGAAAGAAAACCCTTGCCAAGTTTTGCACAGCATAAATTATTTTATCTATTTTAAGTTACTTTTATGTTTCTGTTTGCTTGTTGTTCTTCACTATCTACTTTATTTTACTGCCCTACTGTTTTTTTTTTATTCCTGTCTTCAGATGCAACATCGCTTTCCTGATGACATATTATTTCAATATTGAAATTACTGTATTGAACTGATTCTGCTATTTTTGGAATTGTAATTTTGTTAACTCTGAATAAAGCATAAAAAAAAATACCCCGTATTGCTTTGAGTGTTGGCATACTCTTTTAATTTGAAAATTGACAGGAAGTACAAGAGTGAATCTGATGTACTTGATTGTACAGGAAGTGCGTGACCTAAACTGGTGATTACGGAAATATCTGCTCAGACAGAATCAAATAAATAAAGGATTAATATCGGGTCGGCCACCTGTGTAATCCCGTAACACTGTCCACAATGTCCAGGCAATCCAATAGAACAACAGACAGCAAGAAAATGGTGAGCGACTCTCGCGGGATTAACGTCAGACTAACCGAGCTAGACAACATGCTAACCGTAGACAGGCAGCTGAACTAACAGCTGGGAACGGAATTTCTGAGCCTGCAAAGCCGCCTTGGGTGTTGTACAAGCTTTCTTTGCTTCACTGAAAGCATTTGAATCAACAGACTAACTGTTTTCGTCATTGCTGTGTACAAACGGAGTTTAAAGAGAGTGCAGTGCGTTAGCATGTTAGCTATGTTGCTAGCCTCAGTAATCCTGATGAATTCACTCTTAAATTAAAACAATGTTAAATACTTACATTTCTTCATGCGTAAGATGGAAAAATTAGAAGTGTAGTGATTTATCACAGCTACCTTAATGTTCAGTTTTTGTGAAAACAACTGAGTAACTTGTTTAACTCTGGGTCTGTGTACTGTGTGGACAACCACGGGTACTGACTCTACAATCAATAACCTACTAAGTGTGTTTCCTTCAGTGGGTGATTTAAACTTTGGGGATATTTTATTCAGTATGAGGGGCTGTCCAGGAACCGGGGAGGTAGACTTCCGGTTCCATGTCGTGGTCCTGTATCTGTTTACAGGCCACATGTCCTCAGTTTCACCCCCTGAATTATACTTTTGGGGAATATGACAAGCATCTGCCTCTCTAAAATCATAACACCTTTAACTTCAGGCTTTCTGGTGATTATTTGTGTGTTTTATACATGATTCAGGTTGGTTTGGTGCTTTGCTGTGGAACTCTACATTAGAAACAGACCACCTGTAAACTATAAACACCTAGATAATCTGACTCAAAACAGTTGAACAGTTCTTGCAAAAACTCAAGTTTTGAAAAGCTTCCTCACTTTTTAGTTTTCGTTGACATCGTCAGAAAGGTGATTATAATATGCCCCACCACCCATGATGTCTACGATAATCCTATGCGACCATGTCAACAAAACTGAAAATGATTGATGTATTTATTTATTGATGATGAAGAATGTTCCTGTGATAGTTTGTGAGTGTCTGTTATGTTTTCTAGACTTTTGACTTGAAACGAGATGATTACAGCACATATTTCCAAAGTTACAAGAGCGCAGTACAACTACAGATATAAGCTTAAGCACATTGTAGTAATGACAGCTTGGTGTTTTGTTTGTTAGATCTCAAGGAACCCTTTATCATGAGAAAAAAAGCCTTTTTGACTTGAGATAAGATGAATTCAGTTATGAGGGGAAACAAGCTTTTTGATCCACATATAAAAAAATTATGCATAATATTTTACTATTTTGTGTGGTATATAGTGTATATAATTGTATATTATCTCTTAATTTGTACTTATTTTATCTATTATTTATCTCCTTTTTCTACTTTATAAGGGGATTATTAAAGTATTTCTGATAACAAGGAAAATATATCAATATTCTGATTAAATAATCCAGTCACTTGTTAAACTTTTGTTCCATTTTTTTAAGACTGGCACGATTATATGCAAACTCTAAAGTTGTATTCTCTTGTTATGTCGTAGAACTCAGAGCTTTTCACTCTGACCTATGGAGCGCTGGTCACCCAGCTTTGTAAAGACTACGAGAACGATGAGGAAGTCAACAAACAGTTGGACAAGATGTAAGTATCCCACAACTTTTATCAAGAGCTGTTCACATCCAGCTGGAGTGAATGTGCATCAAGCTTTGATGGTAATAAAGAGTGAGCATTTAATTATTGATACAAGCATAGGAGCGTTCAATATTCTTACACCAGTCTTCTGTTTATCGGAAATGTTTGTTTTCATCTTACTTTTATTGTTTCATATTTCCCAATTTGCAAAAATCTTTAAAGCTAAACCAGGGTGAGGCTATCCAATTCTTAATTGATAGGGCAACTGGACTTGTTTGAAGTTCTTTAAGACATTGAGCCTTTTCTCTCAAAAGGCTTCTTTAGTTCTGTGTTGTGCACACGCAGTAGTTACTGTAGTATGTTAGTAATTTCAATATTACAATCTCACACCATTAAAACAGTAAAAGTCCTAAAAATACAACGCCATCCCTGTACGAAAGGCAACATAATAGGCAGTTGTTTCACTGTTGCATGATTTAACCCAGCTCTCTGTGCATTAATAAGTGATACACCCTCTGCACATATTGATTACACTTGGAGTTGCAGTGCTCTCTCTTGCTTGTACAAGTGTGTCTTCTGTAGTTTAACCAAGAGAAGAGTAATGATCGTTCTGGCCTCTTTCCCTTTGATTCAACACATTCACACTGTTCTGACACATTCTGCCAGCCTCTCTTTGACACAAACTTTTGCAGAGACATGACATAATCAGCTTTCATTACCAACACTTCTGTGTCAGAGGTTCCCCCAAGGTCTTGTTATTTCTTGGCCTGTGAAGACGAGAACACTGTTACATGATTTTTTAAAGAGAGGAAAAATTCTTGGATGGTGCTGCTGGATACAGTTCTCCTTTAAATGAGATTAAGAAAAAGAAAAGGGCGGGCTTATAACCTAAAAAATTCATAACATCCTGTCACGCTGACAGGACTTTGGACTGGATTTACTTTTCTTACCTGGCCTTAGAAGGTAGTGAGTCTGATGTGCCTACGTTGCCAGTCGCTGGCTAACTGGTCCAAAGCACACCATGTTTGGACTGGGACGCATCAGTTGGCGTCAGAGTTGTGGTTAGGATAAGTCGCCATGGCTTTCCTATCATAATGTCAGCATCTGCCAAGTGTGTTGGAACATTTGGAACCTTCCTTTATCTCTTTCCCATCATTCCTCATAAGTATTTTCCCCCCATCTCTGCCTTTCTCTCATTTATAGGGGTTACAACATTGGAGTTCGTCTGATAGAGGACTTCCTGGCGCGCTCCAGCATTGGCAGGTGTCAGGATTTCCGAGAAACAGCGGATGTCATTGCTAAGGTAATTGGAAAGGTCCAGGCCAATCAGAGCATGACCGTGGACTCCTTCCAAGATAGAGGCAGGAACAAGAAGGCAGAGGGATGACAGGAAAAGACAGATTAGAAAGAAGGACTGATGAAACACCCTAATCATTGATGAGGGTCAGATGAGAAAGGAGGGGAAAATTTGTGATTGCAACTCAGTCCAAGCGTGCATCCTTTAGAAATAGAGTAATCATGTCCTTAACAGAGGTGATCCACACTCTGTGGTCTGTGTCAGGTAACCATAGCCTAAAGTCTTAATATGTATCCCGGCTTTACCTGACTGTGTTAAGCACCCCAGTTGTGACTGCTGCTCACTGTTGGAGTCGTTCTACTGATGTAACCCTACACTAGCTCTGGGACCTGGCTCCTGGTCATATAAAGAAGGATCATGTCTGTAAGCGGAGGATCACTATGGGACAGCGGTTTTGGAAGGCTCACAGATAGCCTTGCCTGAGGATATCGCATGACCTCTAGCCAAACCTCCTCAGTCATTTGTAGGTTAAATATAAACAGAGGCTGTCTGTTCTAGGTTCAGAAACAATTCTTCTAACTCCTTTATCAATTTTCACATAAAAAAAAAATCAAAATCCACCCTGCGCCTGTGAATATTTTCATTGGCGTGACTACAATTCCACTATCTTGAAAGAGCTATGCGTGCGTGAGAAAGCATGCAGCCCTCTTGTGACAAGTCAAAGGGACAAAGTTCAGCTGAGGAGAGGACGCAACAGAGAGCAGGTGTGTAGATAGATAGATAGATAGATAGATAGATAGATAGATAGATAGATAATCTGGTAATAATCAAATGTTTGCTTGTAGAAACGCAATTTTGATAATAAAATTGACAGGATCGGAGCTGTGGGAACGGGGCAGATAAAGTCATAGGGTCAGGTGTGTCAGTTTTACTTAATTCTGCTGGTTTCATAATACGTGTTAGGTTACATAAATAAGCACTGAGTACATGATGAATGGTTATAATAATGAAAAACGACTTCTATAAACATGATTGTGTGCAAATTTGCAGATAATATCAGACCTGCCAACATGTACGCATTTTGACCTCCTAGTACGCTTGTACGATTCCATGTTCATGTATTGTTTGATCTCGACTTGTAACTGAAGATCTGCGCCAGTGAGCCATACAGATCTGCGCGTAAGCTGTGTGCTTTTGGCCAATCAGAACGCTTTATTTTCACTCAAGCACCTGTCCCATCTCGTCGGGCTTTGCGCCTCAGTTTATTTCAACGCTGTAGGCTTGCGTGGCAGAAATGGCAGAACTGCCCGAAAAAAGCTTCGGAAACAGCAAAAGTTTCTCGACAGCTACTGAAAGAGATGGCCTTGTCTCCGCGCGCCCAGGCTGCCTCATCATGCTTTCTGCGCCATATGCAAGACGGACATCGACGTTAGTCACCAAGAGCAACAGGTAATGGAGTTGTGTTCGCTCGTCAAGCTATGAATGGTGGCTCGCATGGTAGCTTCCTATGTGGTAACACAGCCAATAAATTTTTTCAAATGTGCTACATAAACATGCAACATCTGAATTATACCTCTCCCTTCACCCAAATAATTATATGAAAGGAAGTATTTTAAGCCTTAATGGTGGTTCCTGTGGGGTTATTGGGGGGTTATTGTCAAACCTGGCATTGCAGCCCACATACCGTGTGGCATTGTTTACAACACTTGACTGAAGCGCACATTAGCAGGCAGGCAACGTTAGCTCTGCTAGCCAGTGTGAAACACAAAATGGACCGTTTTTTTTTTTTATAAAAAAGGTAGAGAAACAAGCTCAAAAACCAGATGGACAGACACACAGTGTTGTAACAAAAAGTGGAGTGGATGAAGAAAATGAGTTTGAGGAAGCAGCAAACAAAAGTTAGCACGAAGACACCGGAGAGGGGACGAGCAGGTGAACAGAATTTGTGAATAAGAATTATTTGAAAAAAAAAATGCAGTGTTGCTGTAATTATTTCAGTGGTGGGTTGACAGTGGGGATCGCCCTTAGGTTTGGGGGTGGGTTGGGTAGTACTCATAAAAAATTTTCAAAGTTGGCAGGTCTGTAACATTACGTTGTCTTTTGACTATATTTTGATCGGAGCCACTATAAGGATTGGAACCCACTCAAAGCCTACTGCCACAATGTCACCAAAAGCTTTGATTCACCTAAAGGGGTGGAAGATTTCACCCGTGTTTTTTCAAAATATAATAGCACTCTGTTTTCTCTCCTACCCACCTCCTCGTTGTCATTCTGTGGCTGCCGTTAGGTTGCATTTAAGATGTACCTGGGAATCACTCCGAGTGTGACTAACTGGAGCCCAGCGGGAGATGAATTCTCCCTCATTCTTGAAAACAACCCGCTTGTAGACTTTGTCGAGTTGCCTGATAACCACAGCACACTGATCTACTCCAACCTACTGTGTGGTGTCCTCAGAGGAGCCCTGGAGATGGTAAGGTCAACTTCCAAGTTTAGGAGGAAATCCAGGATCAATTTTGAATTTGTTGAACATGCATATTGCTCAAGTCTAATTGCACTAATATAAAAGAAATCACAACACACTTTATATTTCTTCAAATATATGTTGAACTAGATTAATTGATGTTTACTGTGTTAAGAAATGTGACTTGTAATGCTTCTGTTTTAGGTCCAGATGGCTGTGGATGTGAAATTTGCTCAGGACACTCTTAGAGGGGACAATGTGACAGAAATCCGCATGAAGTTTATCAAAAGAATTGAAGAAAACCTCCCTGCAGGGGATGAGTGAAAAACAAAAAAAAGCATTCCTCCTCTATTCAAGTCTCATTTAGGGAGAACACCTTCACACTTTGACTGAAAGGATGAATCAGCTAAACTCCAGACACCATGAAGAGGGGTGTATTTCAACAGACTAACGGATGGATGGATGGATGGATGGATGGATGGATGGATGGATTCGCTCTTCTTGCAATGCACTTGTCTGACATTGTATAATACTCTCCTTGTTTTCCAGATGAACAAGAAGAGACTTGAGATTTCCAAAGTTTAAAAAGAAATCCTGTATACTATTAAGATCACAAATGGTTCTGATTGCAGGTTTGTGTTTGATTGACAGTTGTCGCTGTAAACAAGAGCAGAATTTGTCTTTACTTGATGATGTAAAAAGAGATTGTTTTCCTTTGGCTGTGTATAAAACTGTTCATTTTTGTGTTAAGGCTGGAAAACCTTACAATGTCATCTTTTTTATGTTTTTTTTGTTTGTTTTTGTTAAAGAAATCACTCTATATCGCTGCCACGTATGGCATGTTAATTTATGTATGTAGATGCATATGTCAAATAAAGGTGACATAGTTAATATGAAGCTTTTCCATACGAATGTAAGACTGAAGACGCTGCCTGGACACACACACACACACACACACAGTGCCCTCTATGCTACCTTGTCAACTCTGCTTCAGTGCCCTATTGGAGCGTTAGTCCTTTTGATTACCGCAACCGCTCTGCAAAGGCAAACAATAACAAACCTAATGCCTCTCTTATGTTTGTTCAGGCAACATGGAAGTAATCTGCATGCTTGTGGCTGAGTGTGTGTGTGCAAAAAAATAAAAACCACCAGTGGTTGGTTCTGGTTATCACACCTGTGAATGGTTTAACGCAGAAGTAACAAACAGAACCTCTCATTTAGACCCTTGCACACCTCGTCAATAACTGAAAACACAGGTAGCCATTCACAAGCACATGCACACACACGTGCACTCACACACATATCAAACCCAGGTCTTTCTTTAGAAGTAAAAATCTGGTCTGGATACCACAAAAACATTAGCAATGTTTTTCTTATTCTTGGTCTTCTTTTTGTGTGTGCGTGTGTGTTATTGTGTAACCCAACAATAACATTTGTACCAAACTCAAAAGTCTGCTGAAAGCACTTTAGAGGTTGAGATCTTAAGATAGGGATTTCCTTTTGAAAAATCTGTCAGCTATTAGCTGCTGGAAACCTCAAGGCTCTACACATCCTATTTTATAGCAAGAACTCATTTCTGCCCATAGAGTTGTAAATCCTCAGCTGCTTGAGGTCAAGTTCTCTTAAACGCCACCAGAGGTTGCTGTGTACATTGAGTTCCTCTGCTGTGTGCAGGATTGCTCCTAGAGTATGGCTTAGCTAAGGTAGTTTAGCATTTTTTGGCCAAAGATGGGTACTGTGGGGGAAATACATTCCCTTATTTGTGGGAGTTAAGGCTAGAGCTGCCAGAAAACATAAATAAAAGGATTGTTTTAAGATTAGGTGCATGGGAAGAGCTAAGAACTTCAGTGGTTGAGCAGAGTAGCCTCTGCCAGTATGTTTTCAGCCTTGATTTGGCCAGAGATTAGACAAACGATGACAACACGCATGCTTTGTACGGTATAATCCCTGGGAAAGATGTATGACGATGGGATTTTTGGTATTATTTACTGTCGTAAGCCCCTGCCGACTTCTGTCTGGGGCAGTGCTCATTTAGAAGGATGAAGAGTGGAAAGTGGAAGCAACCCGACAGCCATCGGCGTGCAATAAGCCTGGCGAGCCATTAGTTTAGCTCTCAACACATTACGTGCACATATCTATGCACCCTGTAGGCCTGTGATGTGTATGTTGGATGGGAGGGGGCAGGAAATAGTTTTTGTGCAGAAGCTCAATGTAAATGACTTGGCAGAATTAGAGCTTTGTACCTGGGGGATGGATAGACAGCTGGGTTTGTGTATTTGTGAAAACCTCTATTACTCTGCCATATGCTTGGAGGAATTTGACTTGACAAACACACACATATACACACACATACTCATACAGTGCATGCGGCCTAAAGTGGGGATGAATTTATAACCAGCACTGTACTCACAAATAGGCGTTAATACACACTGGGGAAACCTTGTCCAAACACACAAAAGGCCATTTTGTCTCTCCCAGCATTTCCACTAGTATGTGTTTTAAAAGTTTTTTGTTGAGTCCTTTGACAGTTTTTTTTTTCAACACTGCATTCAGACTAAAATTGTACCAATCACTACGATATGACTTCACCCTTCATAGCTCGTACATCTGTGTTTTCGATTTCTTTAAAAGAGTGCAGATGTTGTAGCAGAATGAAAACAAGGAGAAAAAAATAAGTTGTTGTTGAGGTACTTAGGACTGAAAACCATGAAGAAGTGCTTCAGACATGCTGCATTTTATGGATTTAACATGTTATTGTGTTTTCATTGGTATCATTTCTTTCACTTTCCCATATTTTTCAGAAAACTTTATTAGGACAGTCCTGGAAAACAAGTAGCAAATGTTACGGGCCCTAGACAACGTGCGCCGATCTGCTTTGAGCCAACTAAACGTTTCCATGTGGCCTTTATGGGAAACAAATGGTGAAAGGCACGCTGTGACAGTAAAGCCCAGTGCACAGACTGGTATTGACCTGCGCTTATTGAATACTACATCCCTTTCTTCTACCCTCTCTCCATCCTATTTGATCTCGATTTTTGTTTTCTCAGCTCCTGTCATCCGATTATTCTGCCTCTTTCTACATTTTCTTGGTGCTGCTCATGCTTAGCTGGTGTATTTAAGGAAACTTCGCAGTCTCCAAAACAAAAAGAGAATTTGTCAGAGTCAGCTTATTTGGAATATCTCACATCTAATGGGAAAGTTGCTCTTAGTGCTGACTGGAGATATTACCCATGATTTCCAGAGGTTTCCAGGGGTTGTGTTTTGTGTCTGGACATTGGAGAGAGCTGACATGACACCAGGTAGACATGAGAAAATGCAGTGAGTCAGCAAACATGTGTGCTCATGCTAAAAATCCCAGACAGACTGAATAGTGTTCCAAGGTAGCGTAGCAGTGGGAAGGAGTGGTTGATTTAATAAGTGTGTCTCTGGTGTGCACCTAAAAAGATGCTCTCATGAACTTAAGAGCTGCTGTTACATAATTCACATGCTCTACACTTGTCGACAAAAGCACATCCTGGTGAAAGTGTGAATTTGGTGGTTTGAGGGGATGTTCGTTAGGGATTTTATGTTCATAAACACCAGAGTAAATAAGCGTGGATGTGGTTTTCAGGGGTAATTATGACTTGATTTGTTACACAGTCACAGTATGTACCCAGTGAAATCTGCTACAGCATCTGCAAGCCATTTGGAATATGAATCATCACCCACTTCCAGACAAACTGTTTAGCACTTCCTATAAATCTAATAACTCATGCTTTGCTCAACAATTCAGCAAGGACTGTGCATCCAATAGGAAGATAGTATTGTTCAGACCTCCTTTAGTTATGTTTGGGTCATCAGGAGTGTTGGCAGGAAGGGTGAAACAAGACACAAATTTCCTGAAAAACACCCCCAACATTTTATATTAAAGCATGGATGATATCCAGCGTATCACATACAGTAAATCCAAAGTAACAAGAGAATTGAGTAAACAGAAAATCTCTGCAGTAAGAGGACATGCAGGGTTGAAGTGCATCCAAAGCTTGCTCTCTTTTCTGTATCACAGTGACCTGGCAGGTTTTGCAAGGGTTTCAACCAGGGCCCTGGACGCAGTCGAGCCATTTAATGCCTTGTTTTTAGTTTTTCCTCCCCCTTTTTCTTCAAGGCTTTTTGGATGGGAGCTGCTAAGCTGCCTTTGCTCTGCTTCCAATTTCCTCTTGCTCTTTTGTTCTTCCTCTTTTCTCCAAAATCTGATGAAGAGGAGTTTTTAGACGTTTCTGATGATACAGTTTTTACCCGTTCCAGATCCTTTTTATCTTTGTGCCTCATTTTCCCATAGTACACTCAACTTTTTGTTTTGTTTTTCTCTCTCCTTTCTCCTTCCCTTTTTCTTGACCTCGCAGCCGTTCGAGCTGGAGTTTATGTAACAGCGTCAGAACTTTCCAGCTTGGAACAGCCTCGCTTGAAGATGGAACAGGGAGAATGAGTGGAGGCGAAAGAAAAAAGAGGTGTCATGTAATAACACTCTGGCTTTTCCTTCAGGCTAAACAGCACCTCACCTGAGACTTTCTTATTCCAAGGTCTTGTCTTACAAATGCACTCATGTAAACATATATCTTTATCGATCAACCAAGCATTGGAAACATATTAAAACCAAATGAAAAGCAAGAATGTGAAAGTCCTGGTTTCCCCTGGAATCAAATCAAACCATTCTTCCCTCCCAAAGCACAGGGCTGCCTAAAGGCTGCAAACCAGCTGCACCAGACCATTCTGCCATGCCAAGCATGAACCTACCATGTGTGTGTCTGTCACATTTTAGTCTTTCAGTGACAAAACAACTACTTCTGATACTTCACATCTAGCTATCCTTTAAATCATGACCTCAAAACTAGTGACAGCACAAATCTAGACACAGGCTCAAAGGCTTTATGACTTCAGTGAGTCGTTTATTATCTACCTACTGCAAGCTCTTTTCCCATCGGTCTGTGATTATAAGGGGTCTGGATGTCCTGTTATCTAGGCCAGACATTCAGAACAGTGAGTATGACTTTCCATATAAAACACCTGTCAAACCAGAAATAAAATCTGACTAGGATCTGACAAGTGGACTGGGCGGTATGAGCTGTGTTGAGTTGTAGGTATGTGACAGTGCATGTTGAGCTCCATTTGACCGTCATGCAAATATTTCAATTATGAAATAGAGACAAGGCTTCGAAAATACATCCAAGAAATAATGACTCATGTTTTTAGTTTTGGTCAAAGATGCATTGGATAAAATTTTGATTAAAGCTACACTTTGCTGGGATGCTAGATTAAAAGTCACGGGAACACCAAATTGATCACTTATCCAGTGGGAAACAGAAAAATTCTGCGACGTGTCTGATAGATCTTTGCCCAAGAGTGCAAATACCAACCTGCAGATGGTGCAATAGGTCAACTCTCATTAGAATAAATCATTTAGGACAAATTCCAGCAGATTTTTAGGTCACTTTATTAACTTGTAGTATTTTACTGGTCACTGATTCAGCCACTGGTGGTTTTGTGAAAGTCCGGGTGTCACCAGAGTTTCTTAGGCTTTCATCCTCTGAGGGCAATAGTTTGTCCTGTCATGAACCTAGTCTCTGTTGGAGAACATCCAATCCTGTAATGCTCTTCTTTTACCACCTCCATTGGCAGATCAGTGTCCTACATTCAGCTTGAGACCGACCAAAGCACACTGCCTCTCTACTTGAACTGAAGTTCCTGTGCTTGTTCCATCTGGTCAGATAGCAGGCTGATGCTACTTGCATAGTACAGGTGTGTTAGGACTACTGCAAGGAATCACCTGATCTGTCTTTCTGTTTAGTGAGGCCAACTTCCTGCTCCTGCCCACTTAGGGGCCTAGTCCAATGCTTTTTGAAAAGGAAGGGTTGAGCGTGTCCCCTTGCAACACCTCTGCCTGGACTTCGTCACAAATGTCATCTGGGGTCACAGCTCTGCTCTTGTACGTGGACCCCAAAACTTGAAGTTGGGAAGAACAACAGAAATCTCATCATTATACCCCAGAGTGTGAAATCAGGGCCTTTTTGTAATCAACAAAAATAATTAAAGACTCGACTGCAGTCAGGTTGTTCCTGATCAGGATTCTTGATTAATTCCGTCAATTTACTTCTGAAAGCCAGGACCTGGATTTTGCTTTTCCTTTTCTTTTAAAGTCACTATTGTGTTCTCAGGATTTATTGAAAAAAATCAGCTCGTGACATTCAGCTCCTCTGGTTGGGCTCTGGGATCAATAAGGTGGCTCTGATGGAAACAACTTGATGATCAGAGCTCATGGAGCCAAAGGTCTTGCCAGGTTCTGCTTTTACTTCAGAATTATTTGACATGTGCATTACGTAGTCCAGCTGCATTAACTATCCAGTTGTTCAATCATGAATGGCTCACCTCTGAGCCAGTGTTTTCTGCCTGTGGCTTATGTTCAATGAGTTGGGTAATGAAACGACATGGTCTGTTTGTGCTTGATGATGTGATATTTGAAGGTGGAATCTTCCGTCTCAAAGTGGACATTTGCTAGGGGCTTTTGACACCTTTATTGCCACTGGTCCAAATTTTACTAGCCCAGATGCCATAAAATGAAAACAGCTCTTTTTCTGTGCTTATCATGATTTATTACGCATTTTTCTTTACAATATATTCAACACATTCAACACTTGATAAGCTCAAGTTCACTGTAAGGTCCTTTGTTCTGTTTGCTTGAGCCACCTGTTAGTTCTGGACCTAAACCTACCATTGCCACATCATGCGACATTCACACCTGTCTTGTTCTGAACAGCAGAAATCTTCTCATATGTGTGTTTAATGGCAGCTTGCTCTAACAGTGTGGTAAACCGTGATGAAAACCATCCTCATCTCCAATAATCCAAGCCCAGTAAAACATTTAATCTCAAATCTGCAAAGGCCATATGTTTTTGCTCAACAGTCCATTTTACCATGGAAGAGCAGGATCTGGATACTTCTTTCCAAGGTAAACAACTTTGTGATACTAATTCTTGCTCTCTAAATGATCCAGATTATTTGTCTCTGGTAGAATCAGCTCTTTCTGCTCCCGAAGTTCATATACAACAGTTGGCTTTCAGAACCAAGTCTTCACTTACACATAGAACCTTTGTGTAGATGTCTGCTGCCACAGTGCTGCATTCTTTCAGTGATAGATAATTTCACATTAGACGTTCATCTGAAACAAACACCCTTTGATTAACAGCTGATGGATTAATGGACGTGTGCAAAGACCTGTGAGCAAGTCTCAGATTCGGGTTGGCAGTCACTGGTTCAAGAGGGCCTCTGATAAGCCAATGAACTTGCTCTGCATAAATGTCTATTGGCACAGGCCATGGCACCATGACCCTGTAGTGTGTTACTAGAGGCTGGTAAAAATATTATAGATTTGTCCTTGTTAATTAGCCTGTTGAGGCTTATGCTGTGTTTTAACCTTTTCTTTTTTTATTAATGGCAAAACCAAGATAGTAAAAGTCAGTAAAATAGTAAACTTTATTATGTAAAGCATATTTCCCCAATATTACTGGATATAATACTGGATAATGCTACTGGAGTGTTAGAGGGTCGGTTTGGCCAACTTTAAAGTCTTCAAAGTGTTTCTATTCCTGCCAGGTTCAAGACCTCTTTTTCATCTGCCGGGCAGAGATAAAAAAAAATCCTCAGGGTGATGAGAGATTTATGTAATGGCCATATTTGTTGGAAAGCTCAAGCTGCAAGAACAGACCTTCCTGGTGGAAAAAAATGTAAATCCAAGTTCAATTAAGATCAGACACAGTACATCTGAAATCGCCTCTGAAAGATGTAGAGCTCATATTTTTAGTAAAACAGTAGCAGTCTGTTTCAGCCATTTTACTGCCTGTTGTAGATGTCCCATGCATGCAGCTGTATGACATTACGACATGTAAGGTGATGGGAAACATGCACCCGCTAGATGTAACACAGTTTTACTTATTCTTATAGTGAGGAATTTTGAGTAGCCTATAAACACAAAAGAGAAGGCCTTCATTTTAGGAGAAGGTTAAACTGAATTTTGAATGCATTACAGTGTGTGCATTAGTATAAATCTTTGTGTATTGATTGTCCTTCAAATACAGCTCATGCATACAGAAATACTTGTGTTTATTCTCAACAGGCAATGTTCGTGCTGAAAGTTCAACTTTTTCCTTTCCGGTTTCCTTGCTCATGTCATTCAACAATGCAACCGCTGTGCCAAAAGTTACTCTTAATTTAATGGCCTTGACAACCTGACGTTACTGTCTGTATACGTACATGACGAATTTCACATGAGTACTTATGTGCATCTGCCTCACCTGTGTGCCTCCCTCTGTGATTTTGTTACTTATTCAATGTGGAGGTGTTGAAAGCACTCTCTGCGGGCCTCATAACGCACAAACCTTTTTCCAATTAGCCGGCCAGGTTTGACTCAGTGGTGCTTGGATCTACTGTAAATCTGACCCAGACAAAAACACCCACTGGGTCCTGCTCCAAGGGGACAGATTGAGAGAGGAAGAGGGAGGAAGCTGTCAAAAGCTGTGTAGCATTTTGTCGGATGGTTTCCGGGCCTCTCATGCTGCAGGTCAGTGTCTGGCCCTCTGACTGTCAGCATCCACATCAGTTAGCCAGTTATAGACAGTCATATGGTTTCATGCAGGACAAAATTAAAAAAGCCGTTTTGGTCTCTGTGGCCATGTTACAACCACACACGTGTACATCTGCAGCCACAAACAGCACCACATGCAAATATTTAATATTGCCTCTGAAGAATGATTGGACTAGAGGCAAACCTCATGTCAGCAGAGTGGCCTCTTGTTTTTTTTGGTAAACAGCAGGAAGCTGATTGTCACCAAGTGAGCTCTCTTTTTGTTTGTTTGTGTTTCCAGCCACTGTCATCTGAGCACGCTGCGGTTTATGTTTCACAGTAACTATGAAGCCTTTTTTATTGGTAATATGTTGTGAGACCATGTAATTATTTCCTATCCTCCCCTTGTATTCTATGAAAGCGTTTCTGTGATTCAGAAATTCAACCATAATTAGTTAAACCATAATTGTATTTCAAAAAACAAAGGAAAGTGAAAGATAATAACTGAAAACATTCTGTTTTCAGAATACCACATTTGGTTTCTTTTGCACTTGGTATGCAGAATGCACCACTGAGACATTTTCAGTGGACAGAAAAGCCAACTAAGCTGAGTGAATGAGACCTGGACATCCTCTGAGATGTGCTTTGGAAAACAAAGGCATGACTCAGACTGTAAAAGAGCTTCCAAAAGTCATTTATTTTTCTCTATTTGCTTTTGTCTTTCTGTTGTCCGTCTCTGTTTTTGTTGCCTATTGGCAGGTATGAATGCATGCAAACGTATGATGATGTGAGGAGAATGAGGAAACATGTTTGCCAAGGTGAAAGAGTGACGACACTCTCTTTTGAGCAGAACGTGCGTCTGGGACAAGTAAACAGTTCATGTATTCTTCCATTAAGTACTTAGTCTAAAATGTTCCCCCATATTAAAAAAAAGCCCAATTCTGCCCTGAATAAGAACTTTAAACACATACAACATGGTTGGTGAGTCACTTTGTCTAGTAACTAAGTACTTTAAAGATGCAGTAACTCAGTTACTTTATGGTAGTAGTAGGGCTAGGCGATATGGGAATAGTTTATCATGATTTTTTTTTTCATATCAATCAGTACATCAATCCATGCGCAGGTGCCATGGGCTCCTTGCTCTGCCTGGGGTTTGTAAACTTTTGCATTGCGCATGCTTTGCTGCGTGGCACTGCTTCGGGTAGTGAAAAAGATTTGACGTATTCCCTGACATTGTGAGACCATATACTCGACATAATTTGCAGTACACATTACTCTGCTTCATGTCCAACCTCAAAAAAACAAAACACCTCCACACCACCAACGTTTTTGTGCCAGTGTTGTTATAATTAATTTTTCGATATATATCGTTATCGTTTTATCACCCAGCCCTACGTAGTAGCAATCACTATTACATGTTCCTTAGTTTAAGTTACTTGTCCTTTTGTTACTTGACTTTTGCATAACTTTTAAAGATTGATTCATATTGTATAGTTTAATAGTTGTTTTAAAAGTTAATGTCTGTGCTGCAGCTGGTACGAAACTCTAAAGGTCAAGGAGGAGTCATAAACTCTATAGTTTGAAACAATGGGATGCGTTGAACCCAGACTTCTGTTTGAACACTAAACTTACTCTAACACCTCAGGCCAGAGGCACCAGCCACCATGATGGTGACACCTCTCCCATGAATGCACGAGCCGCTGGAGTGGACCTGGTAATGGAAGCTCAAAGAGTGGACTGTTCAGACACACAACCCCCCCATTCACGCTCAGCTCCGGTGCTGCACGGTCTGGTTCAACTTTACAACATCAAGAGGGGGTGTCTTAAAAACATGCCCTGTCACTACTTAACCTCCAAAATATGTCACAGAAGTACACACCTGCCTATGGCTCACCAAACTTAAACACATGCTCAGGGGGATGTAGGGCCATGGGTTGGGTGGGCTATATCTGACATCGTATGACATGACATCATCAGGCTCGGTGATGGAGTGCTGTGTCATGCTTTGTTTGGTTTTCCAGCACAAACCACTTAAGCAGTAACGTCAGCTGTAGGAAAACTTGTAAGGGGGAGGATCCAACAAACACCGGTGAGCGTTGAAAGTGTGAAAAAACAAAAAACAGACGCATAGGAGGGAAAATTGTTAAGAAGAAATTCACTTTTGGACAGCAGAGTGACACTCCCTTCACACCCTCATCTCAACCAGTACGCACTATAATACCAACATTGTGATGTACATAGCTTATGATTTCAAGCATCTTGGTGGTCTGGTTTACTATTTTGGTTGTAATCATAGTCTAATAACCAGGTAAACTACACTCAATGAAGCCTTAAAGAAAACATGTACCTACTTAGACTCTCAGGAATCATAGATTTAGTTTTGGTTTGGGGAGGTTGAACCAGTGATCATTTTTTTGACCGCGGCTTAGTACATTTTCTGTACAATAAAAAGAAATGGGAATATCTGATTGGGCCCAACCACCAATATTTATAGCTACCATGAAAACAGTAGAATGATTGTGGTCAGTGGTTTAAGGTGTGGAAGCTGGAATCAGCAAGGAAAGAATGACAAGTGCAAAATGAAGGAGTCCGTGACATGTGAGTCATTCATTAGCACCTCTTTATGGAGTTGTGTACCTCAGTTTTTAGAAGGTACACTGCATCTAAAAATAGGAAATGTTTGGAAAACTGCATCTCATATTTCCATTTTCACATACGACACTTACGTCAAGTGTGAAATAGGTTTTTAACAAAAATAGAGGTGGTGTAATGTTTTTGAATACACATCGCACCACCACCAGACCCGCCCTTGCTGCTTGTGTTTTTTAGGCCAAGTAGGCCGCTCACACTTAAACAGCAGCTCTATGGAAAATCAGTTATTTTTAAATCCTTCAAAAGCTTGGTTTTTACTAAGCTGTTTTTGTACATTGTGCGCATATTCATTACAAATACAATTTATACATTTGATTAAAGTCAGTCGGAAACATACATTTTCTGTACCCTGACAGGGATGTCTCAATGGCAGGATATGACATCTGACAGTAACAGCGTTTCCTGTCCATTGACTCTGGGTGTCTGGGTGTGAGTTGGGAGGAGTGTCTTTCCCGCTTCAGCTGACAGATGAGGGCACTGTACGAAAGGCAAGTGGAAGGAGTCTGTTTGACTTCTCTGTTGGGCATAGGAAATGTGAATCATCATCTGGGGCCAAATCAGGCCGGGTCAGACTGTGTGTGTCTTTTGCACCAGAGTTTGGCTTCGTTTGGTCCAAACTCAAGACCATGATTTTCTCAACCAGTCAGCAAAAGTCAAAGAAGTCGCCACACCTATGGGTGGTATGAAAATCCCACATTCAAAGATAAGAGGCAGGATGTGATTTGTGGGCCTTAGTTAGTTTCTGAGGCATGTGTTGTTAGTTCCAAGATGTTGCAGTTTTGACCTCTCTCTGATTCAGTCTCATAAATTAACAGCAGAAAATCTATCCCAATATAGACTCCGACTTAATTCTACCAATAACAAATCAGTTGTAATAATAATTGAAAATATGCATCACTGTGCAGTTTCTGTGTTAGAGTCTGTCCATATGACCTGAGTGTCCAGATTGTTTTTTCTTTACAAGCTTTGGTGAACACAGATTTGTTACAGAGACTCCCAGAAGTAATTATGCGGTCAGTGGTGCAAGATGATTGGCTCAATTATCCCTGTCTGGATTATTGGGGGCAAACAGAGCTGTCCTGCAGAGTCAGGGAACAACGGTGGTCCTACTGTAAGCCGGTTTTGTGTGAAACTGGAGCCATTCTGTGTTGTCAAAGATTTCGGGCTAAAGCTGAGATGATGAGATACGTGAGAAGAGGTTTAAAAAAATTTGGCCAAATTGTTGAATAGAGTTGTCACGAGTGCTAAATGGGAGATTAATTTGAAGGGTTAATTTTGATGAGGTTTAGCCTCTGCACATGTAATTGAAATGAGAGCAAGTATCCATTTAGCAAATCCAAAGCAGTTTGGCCTAATCCACAGTTTTCTTCTCTTAATCATGTAATGACATCTTCAGTGCATCCAGCTCTCCCTCCGCATAATTTCCCTTTATGGTATTATGGTTTCAAGTAATAATTCCAATTTACCTCCATACTGCATAAATCTCTTTCACTGGTCTTTAACACAGGCTTAACACTGCATAGCAGGCCCAGCCCATATGCACTTTCCTTCATAAACCTCTCGATCCTATTTCCCAGACTATTATGCTTGCATATTTCAATCGGCATGGAGCACAAGTGAGGGGTGGAGGAGGAAAGGGGGAGAGGGAAGGGGGAGAGGGGAGGAATGAATAACACAAGGAGGTCAGCGAGAGAGACATTTCTTTCTTTCACACCATGTGTTACTGTAAGATATTCATTTCCTCTGCAATTCCTCTCTCTCCCTCCAGCCCTTTGTTTTTCTTCTCCATCACTGTCAGTGTGCACTGGCTGAGGTAGTCCAGGTTGCATTGAGTCCACTGGATCCTGTCTCTTTTTTGGATCCATGCTTCCAAATCGGTTTCCCAAATTGGGAACCGTGCAAAATGCAGCTGTGGTAACCTGAGAGCTTTCTGTTGTAGGTTTTAGCTGCCAAAGTCCATTAACAATGAGCATGTTTGACATCTGAGAGTGGTTTTCTGATTGAACCAAAGGAACAAATTTATTTATCAAACAGGATAGAGAATTGTTCGCTTCATATGGGATTCCTGGTCAGGCATGGTCGGCAGGAGCACTATCAAACAGGGCTGTCTTTTACAAACCAGAGATATGTCAGTTATAAATGTCATACAGCAGGTTTATCCAGAGAATTTGTATAAAGCTGGGTAAATGAGGCCCTCTCTAATTTGGTCCCCTTCTTTTTCTATTTCACTATTTCTCGCTGTCCTGCACTGCCTCTCCACTATGCTTGACATTATTATTTAACAGTGCAGTATGGCTTTGAGTTAAGAAGTTCTCATCATAAAATCAGAAAAACATGACTGTGGTTGTTCTCCAAAATGCAAAGCATTCTGCCAATTGGAGGCTGACTATAAGTCATTCCATGTGGAGGCGAGGGTTGCTAGGGCTGAGATTGTCACATGCTTGTGTTGCATCTCATTGGTTCCCATGCACAGTAGCCAAAGATACTATCCTCATTAAAAAGTATGTTTTCATTTAAATCTTAATGTGCTGTTGCTAAGTCATTGCATCGTCAAAACCCAGCCGCATATGGAACCGGGTGATTTTGACATCCAGACTGAATCAAATGAGATCTGTCTTTGCACCAGATGTTCAGTGATAAACAGATAAGAAGTTGTATCTACACAATGGTGTTCACTGATACTCTCACAGAGGTTTGGGTTTCTGACAAGGAGTCCAACAGTTGCTCAAAGTAACCTTCAGATACCGGATTGCCCTTCTGTAGAGCTTTAAAACTTTCTTTGGGGTCACCTGTGGATGCCATCTTTGTGCCCCAATCCAGTAATCAACCAAAGAAATTCTTGGTTGACTAAAAACCTAGGATTTTTCAACAGAAAATTGACTAATCTGGAGTTATCATTACTTCATAATTTCCTTGAAGTAATAATCACCATATTAATCATTTTGCACTGCAGACACAGTAGTTCTTCTGCCTTAGCATCTTGGTCTGATTGCATTTCCATGAAGAATTGATCATGAATGTTCTTCCTTGAGCTGCGTCACCCCGCAGCAGTCCGTAATGGACTGGCCTGAGGTCTCGCTGCAAATAAGCGGCTGCTGGAAGAGAGTAGGTGAGTTGTGTTTAGTCTCTTTGCTACAGGAATTAGAGTTAAAAAGATGTTTGGTAGCTAGTACTATGACTGGGATGCTATATGTACTGTTGATGAAGTTAGGTGCTGTTCTGAGCATTATTTGTGGCTATAGAGTGGCGTTTTGGTTGAGGTTTGTGCGTGGCTCCTCAGACCGCTGTGTATTGCTATCATGTGGTCATTACTAAAGTTGGTATGACTAGAGAAGCAAGTGGTCAGCAACATTCATCTCTTGAGGGGGTGTCTAACTCTGTGTTACGGTGTATTTGACCCTAAATTAATTTTACCCCGGAATATCCCTTTAATTAAATCCAAGTAGACTGATAAAAACTTAGTTTGAAACACAAACAGGATCAGGTAAAGAAGACCATGTTTTCAGCCAACTCACAGGCTACATGTCATTGAAACAAGGTACCTACGGTGGAAAAGTTAAGCTTGGAACAGCTTCGCTTACTGTTGTGTGAAATCAAGGACTCTCTGTTGCCTAAATAGCATCATGTAGTAAATCTATCATGTTGTAAGTATAATCTGTTGTGTTTGGAGGAGTCAGTGAGTGGCAGCTTGTTATTTACTGTAAAAAATTTGTCATCATAAAATAGTCATGTTTTTGGAAGATGTCACAAGGCATCGCTGAGATAATATTTAGCCAGGTGCCGACTGTAGATTGGAGACGTTTATACTGCTGAGTGCTTTATGGAATCCATACCCCCTCCTCAGTGGGGCCCTCCTTGGGATCAGAGTAGCAACACAGAGGCCTGCCTGCACAATGTCCCCCTGAGAAACAGAAGGAGAGCAATGAGACGAAAGAGGACACAAAGATGGAGGGAGCGGAGAGAAAGTGAATTCCTTTTAAAGACAAATCTCTTGGTCTGTGACAATGACAGTTACATCCAATACCCTTCAAGGCTGCTATTATCAAACAGTCTGTAAGAGAAATAATCACATTTTAGGCCCTAAAGTGCCCCACGCCAAAGTGAGGTAGAACTAAAGGCTTCTGCTGAATTCCTGCCTTTGGAATTTGGATTCCTGTGTTAGGAAACATATGCTTCGTATACGTGCTTGGCCTGGGCCCATGCACTGCTTTATTTTTCTAAACCAGACACCTATCGGCATGTAACAAAACTGTGGTCAAATAGAGGAGGGGCCTTAGCAGTGTGCATACCCCACCCTGCCTCCACTGCTGACAACAGGCGTAACGCCTTACCCCATGTGTTCATTTCCCCTGTATGTGTTGCAGAAAGTGAGAGAGGCTGTGATATTCAGCGAAGAGAATATTAGGATTTAGACCCTACTTGATGGCCACCTCAGTGGCTTGGGTTACCTCTACTCACTCTCCCCACCCCACTTCACTCCTTTTTTCCACATGAACAGGAAAACTCTGCCTCTCCCTCCCTCTGAGTGGTGGTGTGTAACTATGTGCCTATGAGGGAGAGGTGGGTTGAGCTGGATCTGCTCGGCCTTGGGAAAACCGCATGCAAGTGTGCGCTCGGCCTCCGACATGCTTCCCAAAGAGACACACATCAGGGATGTTAACTGCCCCTCATAAAATTTTCAACCCGCTCTCATCTCCACCACCATCTCTCTCTCTCTCTCTCTCTCTCCCTCTGTTTCTTCATGTCCTGTTTTTCTAAGGTTGCACCAAGTCAGGCTCTCTTTCTTTTGTTCTTCCTTTTTCAAATGTGCAAACATGTCAGTGGTAATTCATGTTGATAGCAGCCTTTTGTCCAAATATTTCCACTGTAACTTTAACCAAGAAATCAATGGTAAATCCTTTTAATCGAGATGTTTGCTGAGGTGGCCACAAAGTCCTGCTTTGCTTGGCTAGTTGGCAACGACCTGTTTAAACATCCGCCCCTTTCTCTGTTTAGAGTGGAGTTTTGGATTTAACCCCTCGCTCCGCCAGTCATCACACCTGATGGGAACAGATAGCTGAATCTGCTTAAGCTGTCAGTTGGAGTTGGTCTTGGCTACAGGAGCAGCATATGTAGGTGGTGTGTATGTGTAATGGATCTACAGTGTGTCAGTGTGTGTTTTCTTAGCGTGTGTGTCTTTTTGGTGCAGAATGTGTGCCGGGGTTGTGTGTGTCATCTTGATGTACTACGGTTATGTGGGTAAAAGTTACTGAGGGTAAAAGTTTTCAGAAATGCTTTACGCTGGATACAAAGAAATCTTAGTGACAGAAGTGTGACACAGGCCAGTGGCATGTCTTGTTTGTTAAAATACCCACAAGCACCCTCTCCATGCCAGACTTGATTCTGCTTTGCCTTTGCTGTAACATATATCCCTGATCTGGTCCTCCTCCTTTTTTGGACGGTAACTACACATATGTAAAAAGAGCTTGATTGTTTAGAACTAGTTTATAACAGAACCGTACTTCTCAGTTTATAATCATTTTAAGGCTAAAGCTCATTAAAACATCAACATTAAAAATGTTCTTCATCACAATTTAAGGTTCATCTGTTTTGTAAATATACAAACCAATGGCTGACAACACATCAGCTTCTCCCTCTGCTTTATCCTATATGTTTCATTCATCACCTCAATGTAACCCTGCATACTGTTTGACATAAATCACAACCTTTCCACTTATTTACCACGCTCAACTAGAATCTGTCTTTTTCACACACACACACACACACATGCACGCGCAAATACACTCACAAACACACATGTACATCATGCAATCTGTTCCCATCTGCAGGCCGTCGCAGCCCCCAGATGTTCCCTCTCAGGGTGATCTCCAGGATTTGGGGAGTGTTTTGAAGTGTCGGGCCAATGACGCGCAGCAAAGCCCCGGAGATTTCAGTGGCGGGTTCTGAAGGAGTATTTGCTCTACCTGCTAAACTCCACCGAGCTGCTACTGACTGTGGTAACAAAAGTGACGAAAAGAGAGGAAAGTCACATAAATGTCAGCTTTATTCTGTGGAAATCCGTGCAGCAGATAATTCCTCTGATCTGAAATTGTTGCAGCCTGTAGACTTTAGAAAATACAAATTAAATGTTGGAAACATCTCTCATACATGTTTTTTATTACCTAATGGAAGTGACTCTTTATTGACCCTGTCCACATCTTTTTCCTCCTAATAGATGCTTTTGCACATTTCGCCCCTCAAACGTGAGAGTCTTTAGCTGTGTGGGAAAAAATGTGTAAACAAATCAGTGGCTAAGATGTTTTCTTTGGTCTGCCCAAAACTTTGAACTTTTTCTTTTTTTTTTTACATTTACTTGTTTTTATGATAGTTTCTTCAGCATGACATGCTGTGGCTTGTCTTTTATTAGACACAGGACTAGAAACAGGACGCCTCAGTGTTATTTGGGATGTAGCCCCAAAGGTTGGATATGACTCTTTACCAGACAAAATTTGCACCATATTACCATTAAGCTTTTCTGACATCATGTCTACATATCCAAATGGTTTTGTTTTGATGGACACCACACTTAAGAGGAATAAAATGATAACAAAAACCACAAAACAAGACCAGACTCGGCACACTGTTGTTAAACTTTCACTGAAATTAGATTCTGAGGGAAAGTCTGTGAATGCTTAAACAATGTACTACAACACAGATTCTTATCAATTTATGCTCACTTTCAAGTATTCCATTGTCTTAGCACAACACGTGGTATTATTACAGGCATGCTATGTCAACAAGATCAGAGTCTACAGCAGCTTAGATAAATTACGCCTGATTTTAGATCTAATAATTAGATTTTTACCTCACATGCCCCATAGTCGCCCTGGAATGCTAAACAATAACATAACCTATGGCTACTGTGATTGTTTCGATTCCTGTTTTAAAGGGATGATTCAAAGTTTGGAGTAAGAGGATGTTGCAAAAGGACAAGTTAGAGACCCTGAATGAGACAATGAAAAAAAATCCTGATGGGACAATGAAGAGCTGAGGATCTCAATAGGAATAAAGCAAAGTCCTGGACCAGTGCCATTGCTAGAGCTACATCACGTGCATCATCATTGATCATACTGTACAGTAAAATATTCCTGCCATGACTGGATGGATTGGTTGTAATCAAAGGCAAGGATTGTGTGCTTATTTTCAGTCCCATCTTGTGGTTGCACAGTCCATGGTCAGTTTGGCATCCTTCCCTTTTCAATTAATTTGATTGCTCCCCGCCATAACCATGGGAAGGCAACATGTGGAGAGCGTCCAACTGTGGTGGTGGTTCCACATAGCCAAAGAAGCCACGTCGGGCCTATTCCAAACCTTGATTAATAACTTCAAATTCCCTGACAAGAAGCTAAGCATCAGTGCAGATAGCTGTAGTTAACCATCTCAGACACATAAGTTATCTTACAGATACAGAATATGAGATTAATGAGTGGTTTGAGGGGGAATTTGGCTATCACACAGCTGATAGGACAAGGGCCATTTAGTTGCCCTGGGCCCTTTGGTTCTGCATTCAGTAGAACTTACTGCCGATGAGGAATGTACACAACTGAAAGAGAGCTGGATCTGTACCCGTGTTTCAATATGTTTCCATTTTGATTCTGAAAACCCACACTGGAAACACAGGGCTTTGGCCAAGACCATCTCCGAAACAAGCCCATCCGAGTGAATGTTACAACTTGCAAACATGTTTCCTTTTTTTAAACGTAGGGAATGGAAAAGGAAAGTGCAGAGCACTTTAGGACTTACTTTTAATGATTGTCTTTAAATAGATCAACTCATTGGAGGGTCAGTCCTTACTTTCATGAAAAGGGTCCCGCTATTGCACCTATTTCTCCAGTTTTTGTCAATTTGTCTGTGACATTCTCTGAGTTTTTAAAAAAAAATTTCATTTTAAAAGAAAACCTATCGACTTGTTTTACTTTGCCTCTCTAAGATTGATGTCTTTAGAAGGAATTTACCCATTGTTTAATCTGTACTAACTTGACACACCAAATAGATTTTCCCATATTCAAGGCATGGGATATATTTAACATCCACCCTGGCAACACCTTGTGGACAGTGTTTGGAAGGGCAGGGCCTGTCAGAAAACCTTGAAGAGCGTTCTGCCTTGTTCATTACCAGCGGATCAGAGCAATAAAACATATGATATTGTAGGTGTGTGCTGCTGCCAAAGAGTGAACTACGTCGTAGGAGCCCCACAGGCCCTAGTTCTATGAGTTATCTGTTGGCCTTAACTTGACTTTAGTCCGAGGATAGTCGTCTAACATGAATGTACCATTCTGAATGTGATGTGAACCTCATCTAAGTTGACAAGAGCATATTTTCCCAGTTCTGATATAACTGCCACGTTAGCTGCATCCACGCTTATCGTTATCCACGGGCTGCCGTTGTCTACAGGGACTCACCGCAGTTAAACATAACCATAAGTTAGCGCCTCTTTCTTCATGACACTGATTAATTTGATCATTCTCAAATCAGGAACAAACATACCAGCGAGAAGCAGTGCAAGATGGATCTGCTTGTTGATAGACATGGATCTGGCCAATCCATCTGCCTGTTGGGGGATTTGGGAATCAGTCTAGGGTGTGTTTTTTTCTGAAAGTGTGAGGCTGTTTGAGCTAGATTGCACATTTAACTTTAGGAATGGGACAATTACTTGTAGTCGACTGAGGTACAATGTTCTCTAATGAACCCAACACCTCCTATTTACAACGATTGCTCAAGAACAGAATGCCAGACATACAGAGCTCCCTTTCCTGATGCTACAAGATGCCTGTTTTTGTGGTTCACAATTTTTCCACTGAGTCAACATAGAGTGTAACCATTTACCCAGGCCCTGATGTGTGTGTGTGTGTGTGTGTGTGTGTGTGTGTGTGTGTGTGCCTGTGCAGTTTAAAAGGATAAGGATGGGATTCATTGAGGTTTGAAATGGGAAACAGACCAGCAGAGACTCTTCCAGGGTTGATTATGTCTGTGGGATGGTGGGATAGGATGTGTAGCATCACTGTCCAAGCCAAAGGGTCTTGCTTCTCACCTGTGTCTCTAGACACCCAGACATTAGTGTTTCCATTACTTCCATGGCTTTGTAATGATATGGTGGGACTTGTTACTTTGGTATGTGCAAGATCAGACATAATATTTACATGAACAGATTGTTAGTGTTTTAATCCTCCAAGGAAAACAGATAATATACCAAGAGGCACTGCAACAGAAACCGTGAAATCTTCAGCTTACTATCTTGGTTAAATATGACAGCAGTGAGGAAATGATGGAGAGTATGTTGACTGGGAATATGATACTAAACTGTGTGTATCCGTTGGGTCAGGGTGCCAAGGGTCAAATACTCTAACACACTCACAGTAAAATTGTGTTTGTCCTCATCATGTTGGTGGTCCTTTTCTTGATGCTGGTGCTCCTTCTTTCCCTCAAAAGTACCATGGAATTTTTTGTTTTGTTTTCTCCTAGATCAAAAACAGGCCCCATAATATTCCACATTAACCTCGGCCCCTTGAGAAACAAAGCCAGAGAGCACCCCGCCTTTGATTACTTCAAGATATTTGCCTAATCTCTGATACCTGTTCATCAGTGCTGCTTTGAGACCGCTGAAACGAAAACATAGAACATTTGTTCCAGAAAAGGTGTGCTTAAGAATGAAAGCAACTCTTCTTTTCCCAGGTTAACTTGATCTGGCATGAATAATTCTATGTTGTTTTGCATATACTGTTTGCAGGTGACAGCTGGTTTTTCTAAACAGTTTATTTTAAATCAGATGCGTGTTGACCTTGTGCAACGCAGTCGGGAACAAATGGCCAAAAGGGAAGTAAACAGGTTTTGTTTGAGTGCATAAATGTTGTTTGTGCAAAATAGTCCCCACAGGAAACAAACCCTATTTTCGCTATTGAGGCGAAAAGATGACAGTGTGTTTAATAAATGAGCCTAAGTAATGTTAAACAACACTGCCAGTGATGCAGAAAGTTTATGCCCTTTTGAATATCTTAGCAACACATTGCAGCGCTCCTTGGATCAACACATGGCTTCTCCCATTAGGATGTTCATGGCATCAAGACTAAATCTGAACCGCATGTCAGAGTTCCACTTTCTGCCATCCTTATTTCTTTTCTCTTTTATTCCAGCTTCCTCCAACTTCCCCCTTCATGACCATGCAGCTGATACAGAACAATATTCCCTCTGTTTCTTTCATCCCCTATTTGATCGGTGTGTCTTAATATATTATCTGGTTGAAGGGGGTATGTTATGCTTATCACTTGCCCTCTGAACCCTTACCTTGTCTTAAACCCCCCTCCCACTGGAAAGCAAAGGTGTGTATGTGAATATGTGCACGTGTGTATGTTGTGCTCCTTCCACTCTTTTCGGCACATCTGTGTCGCAGCTGAACACCCCTTTAGGCAATGTCTGCACTGTTTGGTTTTCAACATCTTGTATGTGTGTGAGTGTGTAGGGATGTGTGTGTTTATGTATGCCCTATAAGATAAGAGGACTCTGAACAGGATAAGCGCTTTAGGAAAAGGATGGATGGTTGTCTTTTATGTCTCGGCATGTGCATTTGTGCTCCTTTCAACTTTACACAATCATAATTGCATTGTGTTTGTGTGTATGTGCATCTTGTATGTACATCTGGATGTTGAATACAGGTGGATGTATCACTACTTTATGAACCCAGTCAACCCACTCTCTGAACAGCATTAATGCAGTTTCAGAGCCTGTGTTTTATCATGTTACCCAACAGAGGCAGGGAACTATATGTATTTTATTTTTTAGCTGAAGGGTTAAACCAGGGCTGTCACAATGTACAGACATGAGACCACATTTAAAAAAAGAAGAAATATTAATATCATGCTAAAAACAAGCATACAGGAAAAACCTGAGAACATAGCTGTGGTCTTTTATGCTGGTTGCCACAGGTCACAAAATGAGGGACAGACAAAGAAGACATTGCAGCTGCTAGGAAGCTAGCTGTAGCAGCTCTCTGAGAAATGACTTAGCAATAAAAACAGAAAACAACAAAAACATTTGTAACTTTACTTTTACTTCTGTAACTTTTTGTAACACATGGTGATTTTGAGAGCATATAGGTTGCCAAAACAGGA